GTGTTCTATTAGGAGTACCAAATTTTGTTGTTGAAGGCTCAGGAAGTTCATCTTCAAAATCAAATTCCATATTTTTTGAGTGTTGCCTACAAGAATTTTTTTTTAATAATTTAAAATATTCACAGAAAGATTCTTTCGAAATTTACAGCTCTTTTGTCGGCGTCTCAACTTTTGGTATATCTTCTGCTTTCTGAGGGGTTTTTCTTCCAGGACATTTCCAATTTAGTTCTATGAAATCATGCGTTTCTAGATCTTTAAAAGATGCATTATTATAAAATTATGATAAAACATAATTATTTATTAGAATTTCTAACATACACTCGTAGTACTCGTTTATTTCCTCTGTGTGCTTATCAAAATCATCATCAAAACATGTAAGATTAAAGGAAGATTCTGACTCGGTCATATTGTTATCACTTTGTTTATTTGATGAATTTTCAAATTAGATTTTTGTTTATGTTTTTTAAAACATTTTCAGACACCAGGGTGTTAAAGTGCTACATCAACTTTCTCCACAAATAGCTCGCGACCAGTTAACTTTACTGATAGGATCTCTTGAGATGGTCGGTAGAGGTGTTAAAATTGTGAATTTTCTTAGAAGATTCCCAATCTTTCTAGAGTGTTTAATTTTAATTAGAGAGATGAAAAACGTTGTTTTTCTAGACACTACTTGCATACCCTCTTTGTAATTAATGCAGCGAAGACACAATCCCTCACGATTTTATTCGTTAAAATTCGAAAATATCTCCGACAGGAAAAATCAAAGTTTTTAGACTTTTACATTCTATTTATTATTTGTTTATTTGTGTTAAATCGATATGACATTTCTGTCTCATTATAACCATTTGATAGTGAAGTTTCTTGAACTCAAAATAAAAAAAATTACCTAAAAGTCTCGCGTTTGAAGTTTCAACAAACTAACAAAATTGGATAAGACATCTTACCTGATAACAAGATTACAGCGAACACCTTCTTTGTCGTAAACTTAACTTTGAAAAGTGCCAACGATGGTTTAATCAAACTTTAATAGAATAACTTTCTCTTGGGATAACTTACACTTTCTAGCATTGTAACTGATTGTAAAATATAAAAAAAAAATGCTTAATCTGACTCGATGCATACGACTTCCGGAGAATACCAATCAAAAGCATCAATGCAAATGCAAGCATTTCTTGGAATGTTTACAAGAGTTGATTCTAAAATCCATTTGGTTTTTCCTTCGGGACACCAACCGTCTTCAGGTGCGTCGTCACCAAGAAGTTCATAATTCCTTATTGACAACTCATCAATTGTTTCTTCAATTGATCCTTTTAAAAGATTGGGGCATATTGGTCCATTCTCTGGTGTGATATCTTTCAAAACGAAAATAATTCACAACGCTTGATATTCCTAATTAGAAATTGAAACTATCATAAGAATATTAACCTTCTCCTTTTGGAATATTCAAGCAAACGCACTTTGGAGGAAGACCAAATTGAGTTCCATTGAATATAAATTTATCCCGAGTAAGACAAACTCCATCGCTAGGTCCACTGCGAATAAGATTTTCCAGAGCAATTTCTCTGATTGGGCTTACGATATCGTAAGGAATTATGTCTGGGCAAATGTTGAAACATTTTTCACTAGTTGAAAATACCACAGAAATCGAAATGAAGAAAAACATGAACCAGAATTGCAATACCATTTTTATCAACTAAAATATAAACGACTTATCTAACAAGTTGCACGACTATATTGATTAAAACATCTTGATGAATTAAAGTTTTTGTAAGAGTGAATTTCTGAACAATCAATTTATTATTATTATAAATTTAAGAAACAATTAAAGAAATGAAAACAATAATACCATTACATTTCACGTAGATATATTGTCTTATATCTTAATTATACTACAAGCAGCACTTTGCAAAAAAGAGAAATGTTCAAAACATCTGTGCTTTTTTATATTAAAAACTTAAGTAAATTTTTCTCGTTCTAATTAAGTTTTTTTCAGATCAAATATAATTTTAAATGAAGATGTTAACTTCATTTTACTTCGCATTTATATCTATGTAGAATTCTATACGTTGTACGGTCCGTACCAATTATAACCATCCACGCATAGGCAAACATCTCTTGGAATATTTACAACAGATGATTCTATAATCCATTTAGTTGTTCCTTCGAGACACCAACCGTCTTCAGGTGCCTCATTCTTGTGCAGTTCATAATTCCTTATCCAGCTTTCTGCAAGAGTCTCTTTAACGGATGCCTTTGAATGGTTGGGGCATTTTTGTCCATTTTCTGGGGTCCATTCATATCTTTAAAAAAATTTCAAAATATTTACCGACAACAACAATTGAATTTAATTTTATTTTAAAAAAACTAACCTGCTCCTTTCGGGATATAAAAGCAAAAACATTTTGAGGGGAAACCAAATTGTGTTCCATTCATAATCCATTTGTCACCAGTAAGACAAACTCCATCACTAGGTCCATCACGAGTTAGAACCTTCATGATGATTTCTTCAATGGGCGTATCAAGATCGAAAGGAATCATGTCTGGACAAATGTTAAAACATTTCTCTTCAGTTGAGGATACCACAGAAATCATCAGGAACAAAAACAAGAACGAGTATCTCAATTCCATTATTCTCTGTCGCAATGTAAACGGTNGTCTCTTGAACGGATGCCTTTGAATAGTTGGGACATTTTTGTCCATTTTCCTGGGATATTTCTAAAAAAATAAAGGATTTTTTGATGACAACATAAATGGAATTTTACTTTAATTTTAAAAACATTAACCTGTCCCTTTCGGAATATTATAGCAAATGCATTTTGAGGGAAGACCAAATTGTGTTCCGTTCATAATCCATTTGTCACCAGTAAGACAAACTCCATCACTAGGTCCATCACGAGTTAGAACCTTCATGATGATTTCTTCAATGGGCGTATCAAGATCGAAAGAATCATTAAAGGGACAAATGCTGGAACATTTCTCTTCAGTTGAGGATACCATAGAAATTATCAAGAACAAAAACAAGAACAACTATCTCAATTCCATTATTCCCTATTGCAATTCAAGCGGTTTTTGAATTGAATAATAAAACTTTCACTGAACTTGAAATGATCATAGTTGTTCAAGATATTGTAATAAACTATATAATTCAAAACGTGCCATTCAAACAATTGGTATTAAAAAAAAAACATTGTCATGTCTGTTTCTTAAATTGAAAGCATTGTGATATCTACTTTGTAAATAATACGAAAACGTATGTTTTCTTTTTATTCTAGGCACACATATCTAATTATAAATGTTTTCTAAAATGCCGAAAGAGAACTCTAAGCTTTATTTGTAGAACATTTCGCTAAAATTTTCCACAATTTTAAGTAAATAAATTTTTTACATTTCAAAAATCGCATATTTTTTTGATGGATACGATGTGCTCTAAGATTTATTTTCTTCCACCAGAATGCATCAACTCTCGCTTTTCTTCACATAAAATGTTTAGTCTAACTTCTGTCGATACGTTAAAATTAATAGAAATTACATTATGAAGAAGTTTTTCAGTTTAATTAGATGACAAAGTGAAGTAAGGTAAATTTTCAGATAAGGCAAGAATTTTTTTTTATGAAGAAGTTATAAAAGTTTATACTTTCTTGCATTGTAACTGATTGTAAAATATAAAAAAAAAATCCTTAATCTGACTAGATGCATACGACTTCCGGAGAATACCAATCAAAGCCATCAATGCAAAGGCAAAGATCTCTTGGAATGTTTACAAGAGTTGATTCTAAAATCCATTTGGTTTTTCCTTCGGGACACCAACCGTCTTCAGGTGCGTCGTTCTTATGCAGTTCATAATTCCTTATCCAGCTTTCTGCAAGAGTCTCTTGAACGGATGCCTTTGAATAGTTGGGACATTTTTGTCCATTTTCCTGGGATATTTCTAAAAAAATAAAGGATTTTTTGATGACAACATAAATGGAATTTTACTTTAATTTTAAAAACATTAACCTGTCCCTTTCGGAATATTATAGCAAATGCATTTTGAGGGAAGACCAAATTGTGTTCCGTTCATAATCCATTTGTCACCAGTAAGACAAACTCCATCACTAGGTCCATCACGAGTTAGAACCTTCATGATGATTTCTTCAATGGGCGTATCAAGATCGAAAGAATCATTAAAGGGACAAATGCTGGAACATTTCTCTTCAGTTGAGGATACCACAGAAATCATCAGGAACAAAAACAAGAACGAGTATCTCAATTCCATTATTCTCTGTCGCAATGTAAACGGTTTCATTAACTGAAAATCAAATTTTTCACTGAACTTGAAGTGATTCTTGTTGTTCAAGATATTGTGATAAACTAAATAAATTATTTTAAGCTATTGAATTGTCGTTCCAATATTTCATACATATTAAAAAATATAAATAGATACGTTGTCATATCTGTCTGTAAAATTAAAATTGTGAATACGTAAACGTCTGTTTTTTTATACCTACTAGATCTGAAAAATATTTTCTCTAAAACTTATGTGTGTAATTGAAATTTATTCTCGACACGTTAATTATCTTATACTTAATGATATCAAAGAGTGGATGAATGTGAAAAGGGATTTAGGAAAGCTATAAATTTCACTCTGAATTATTTTTGCACTTTATTTAACTTTTATCATAAGTATGGGAATCTAAATCTTTGCAAAATTTATTTGAAGAGGTTTTAAATTTGTTAATGAAAATTTACTGAAAATAAAATAAATTGTTCAAAGGAGAACCATAAATTGATGTTGTATAGATACGAGCAGAGTTGGGCGATCATTTTCCGATCAAGATTGGCGATCTAATTTAATCTGATTCAATACATTCGATTTCTGGAGAAAACCATTCGTAGCCATCGATACAGACGCAAATATCTCTTGGAATGTTCACTTGAGACTTCATCATGATCCACTTAATTTTCCCTTCAGGGCACCAACCGTCTTCAGGTGCTATTCCACCAATAAGCTCATAATTCCTTATAGAGTTTTCCTCGATTGTTTCTTCAATGGATGCTTTTAAATGGTCAGGACATTTTGGGCCATTTTCAGGTGATATATCTATTAATGCAAGAGAAAATAAGATTTTCGTATTGAAAATAATGAAACAAAAACCTATGCGAATATTAACTTTCTCCTTGTGGAATATCTAAACAAACACACTTTGAAGGAAGATCAAATTGAGTTCCATCAATTATCCACTTGTCCCCACTAATACAAACTCCATCGCTAGGTCCATTACGTCTAAGATTGTCTATAGCAATTTGCTGAATAGGTGTAATAGGGTCGAAAGATATTATATCTGGACAAATGTTGAAACATTTCTCGTGATTTGAAGATACCACAGATACTGTGAAGAATAAAAATAAGAAAGATTTTTTTACTTTCATTTCCAGCAATTAAGAATTTAACAAATTCAAACTGAGAATGAAAAGTGAATTTATTGTCTTTAATCAGAATTTTCATTCAATCAATGTGTTGATCAAGTTATTGTGATAAACTGTCAATAAGTTTAAGAGCGATCTTAATGAATTTCAAAAAACTTTTGCTGTAACTTTGTTGAAGCTTCAAGTAGTGTGTAATTTTATAAAAAAGAGGAAAAGCAAACTGCTGTCTTATATACTTATTCACTTCTCGTGAAAACATATTTTTCAAACAGATATCTGAATAAAAGAACCTTAAACATACCTACAACTACAATTTATTTTTCTGTGAATAATTTCTCATGCCTTCTGATACAGAGACTGAAATATGAATTCGATATGGATGAAAATGTTATCAAATTTTTTAATTTGTTCTGTCGAATTGTTGTGAAATCAGAATAATCCCAAAACAATTCTAAATTAGTTTAGTCATCTACTTAAAAACAATTAAACATAATTTGACGTTATCTGTTTTTGTTGGCTTCTACTTAACAAGAGATAAATATTAAAAATAAATACACGCTTTTTGAATTCACTTGATATGAACATACGTTTATAGAATGTGTTGAAAAAGATGCAATTTGAAATAGAGATAATTATAATTCCATAATACGAATTCGTAAGAAAATGCAACAGTAATGCATAAAATTATGTACACGATTTAATCTCAATGTCATTGATTGAAAATATGAAAACAAAATTATTTGATGTTCAGACAAGACGACATTTAAAACATACCTAATAAAAAGCAGAATAATTTTGCTTTTGAAAATCATTTCTATTTAATCTAAAAATAATCAATAATCTACATTGAAATCGATATTTTCTTTTTATCAAGAAAAATTAATTTGTTATGCTACAATTCCGCCATCCATAAATCACGTGTTTATGCATAAAGATATTTAAGTATATTGTCAACAATAAAGGAATTTAAAATATAAGCGATAACAACCAGCTATTGGATGTTAAGAGTAAATTTTCAAAGATTCAGAAAGTTTTCAAAACATCAATCAAATATTATCAACAAAATTATCAACTGAGTTATTGAAAATAATATTGATGTCTGAATTTTATTATAGATCCAAATGATTTCCATTCACAGAGCTATTTCACAATTTAACTCAATCGCTCTCGGCGAAAAAACATAAAAAGGCGAATTTTTTCTCTCATTCATCAGTTGGCTCTTGAGACTTGAACGAAATTAGTTGTCGTTTCATCGTAAAATGTGACAGTGAACTAAAAACTTTCAATGTAATTTTTAAGTCTCAAGAAAGATACAGAAAAAAAATAGGAAAAGCAAATAAAGAAAGAAATTAAACTTCTGAATAATTAAACATTCGCGAATAAATTTTGAACAAAAACACAAAGTAAGCTTGATAGTAAATGGATTAATACTATTAAATTGAAAAGTTCAGCATGAAATCAAACATGAATTCGATTTAGAAAATATTTCAATATTGAATAATTTCACAATTTACATCATAATCAAGACTTTTACAACAATGTTAATCTTAAAACAATAGAAATATCAGCCAGTGACCTTGTGTGTTATCAGCTCTTCAGAATGATTTTAAATGATTTCTCGACAGTCTTATTGTAGGAATGAATTCATGTGGAAAGGTCATTGCCTAATTACATTTACATTGAAGCCTTTCCGTAAATGCTATTGGTACTTTCGTCATTGACATTCACTGAAGAGTTCGATTCGTAGTAAAAGTCGTGGCAAAAGTAATTTTTTGCATGCATGATCATTAGAGAACAAAATACCAACTCTCATTGGATGAATGTCGAAGCAAATATCCAAGTAAATATCTCTTGAAATCAAGCTTGACATGTCCATTCTCTCTCTACTCTCTCAAAATTTTCCGGCTTTTCTCAAGGGGTAATTCATTGTAAAGCTTATGCCGGCTGCCTCCAAATGATGCTTCGGAAAGTATTAATGTTTTTCTTTAAAAAGGCCATTTTCCAAGAATTTGTTTCGTTTTTCTTGGAACATGCATCAGATGAATTACCCCTTGGCTTTTCTCTCTCTCTTTTCTGCCATAACAACACAAATCAGCTGATAATTTTTGTTTATTTCTTACTCTTTTTAGTTTTTAGCTAAATTGGTTTCAAAGAAATAAACCAAAAAATTAACTTGCCTTATACTTTATTCAATTAAATTAAAATCATCATCTCATTTTTATCTACTTAAAAAAATAGTAAATTAAAATTATTTCATTTTCAGTTTAAAATGAATCATAAAGAACAAAAAACCAAACCAAAAAATCCCCACGATGCCGCATCGAGATTCAGTAAAATGACTTTTTGGTATCTTCGAAGTTTGTGTAGATTAGGACTCAAACAACAAATAACAGAAGACGATATTTATCAAACATTGAAGTCACATGAGTCGAAAAGAATTGGCGACAGGTTCACAAATCTTTGGGAAGAAGAACTGAAGAAGAAACATCCAAGTGTCTTAAGAATGTTTTACAAAGCTTATGGATTGCCAGTGCTATTAGTTGGTTTATCATTCTCAATTTGTGAAACAATAAATCGCTGTGCACAGCCTTTGTTTCTGGGAGCTCTACTTACAAATTTTTTGGAAACAGACTCTTCAAAGAGTTCTGCTTATTTCTATGCAACCGGAATCGTATTATCTTCATTAATCCCTGTTTTAACATTCCATCCATTTATTTACTACATTTTTGAAGTAGGAATGAAATTAAAAATCGGTGCATCGAGACTTGCTTATGATAAGGTGAGAACCTTAAATTCTTTAAATTTGTTTAAATTTATTCTTTCATTTTTATTTCAGATATTAAGGATGACGAAATCTTCACAAGTTGATGGACTTCATGGACGTTTAATAAATTTATTATCAAATGATTTCTCAAAATTTGATCTTGCACTTTGCTTCATTCATGATCTCTGGAAGGGACCCTTTGAGACAATCCTTCTTGGCTATTTAGCTTATCGTGAAATGGGAATCTCAGGAATTATTGGAATTATTTATATCTTATCATTCGTTCCAATTCAATGTAATGTCAAATCATTTTGAAATGAAATTTTTTATTTATGTTTTGTTTTTTTTTTAGCTTACATTGGAAAGATGTCAGCGACATTCCGTGACCGAACAACAAAACGTACTGACATTCGAGTAAGACTAATGAATGAAATTATCAACGGAATTCAAATCATAAAATTCTATGCTTGGGAGAAAAATTTCGCGAAAATCATAGCAAAGTTAAGACTTAAAGAATTGAAAGCTGTTCGTGGAAGTTCATACATTATGGCGCTATTGTACTCATTGTGGAGTGTATCGAGAGTTTCTCTTTTCCTAACACTCATTAGCTACGTTTATGCTGGCAATGTGATCACAGCCAGACAAGTTTTTGTCGTGACGGGCTTCTACAATATCTTAAACATGTCAATGGTAAGCAACTAATTTTTTCTTCTTGCAAAAAATATTCAATTCATTAAATTACCTTCACTTTAGGTTCATTTCTGGCCTTTGGCAATAACATTTTGTGCTGAAGGTTACGTGTCATCTAGACGTCTTAAAGAGTTTCTTCTTATTAAAGAAACAAAGTTGAATGTGAAAACGAAAGACGATGGCGATTCAATCGATAAAATTAAGAAGGCAAATCTGATGAAATCCGATGATTTTGTGTCATTAATTCCGTCAAAAAGAATTCAATACAAGGAGTCAAATGTTAAAGGTGCTATCAAGTTTGATAATGTTACAGCTGCTTGGGTGAATGAAGATGGCGAAGCGACAACTGGATTGACATCCATAAATCTTAGAATAGATTCAGGAAATCTTTATGCGATCATTGGTGCTGTTGGATCAGGAAAAACTTCACTTCTTCATGCCATTTTAGGCGAACTTGAATTAGACGCTGGTTTGCTTGAAATTCATGGGTCGTTGAGTTACGCCAATCAAGAATCATTCATTTTTGAAGGAAGTGTTCGTAGCAATATTTTATTCACTGAAGAATATGACAGAGATCGTTACAATGCAGTTGTTTCGGGATGTGGACTCGTGACAGATTTTGAATCGTTTGAATATGGCGATGAGACTTTGGTTGGTGAACGTGGAATATCATTGAGTGGAGGTCAAAAAGCGAGAGTGAATTTAGCGAGAGCTGTCTACAAAAAAGCTGACATTTATCTCCTTGCCGATCCACTGTCGGCTGTTGATAGCCATGTTGGTAAAAATATCTTCAATGATTGTATCGTTAAATTATTGAAAGGAAAAACTGTTTTGTTGGTGACACATCAAGTTCAACATCTTAATAAGATGGAAAATATCTTAATTATTGATAATGGTCAGATTACAGCTCAAGGATCTTACGAGGATTTAAAATCAATGGATTTGGCACTTTTAGCTGCCAGTGAAAATGTGCATCATGAAAAGAAAGGCAACGAGGATAAATCTGTCGATGAATTAACAAAAATGTTGTTAGATGAAATCGAAACAAAGCCTGAAGAAGAAAAAGAACTTCAAGAGGGTGGAACTGTCAGTTTGAATGTCTACAAAAAGTATTTAAAATCAATTCAAAGTATTGTACTTGTGATATTTGTTTTGGCACTTCGTGTAATTAATCAAGGAATTGCATCATTTATTGATTATTTTGTCGCCCAATGGGTGAATTGGGAAGAGTCGGTAGCAAGTGATAGTAAAACAAATCTTTCTAATAACAATAATCTCACTGAGATTCACAATTTCACTTTAACTTTGGATGATGAAACGAGCTTAGTCGATGAACAGAGACAAAATTTCGTCAATTATTACATCATAATTATTGTAACTTTTGTTGTGACCATTTTAATGGCTGAGTTTTCATTCTTTTATGCTTTATTAAGGTAAAATTCTTTACATTTCATGTTCATATTGAAATCAATTCAAATCATTGTTTTCTCGTCTACATCAGAGCATCAAAGAATCTTCACGACATGATGTTTCGAGGATTGACGAAGACTTTTATGCAATTTTTCAATCAAAATCCTTCAGGAAGAATATTAAATAGATTTTCGAAAGATATTGGAAGCATCGACACTCAACTTCCCAACACACTCTTCGAATGTACTTGTGTAAGTTTATTTACTATTTAAAAGAAAAATTAAGATAATCCAATTTTGTCTTATTAGTTCGTACTTGAAATCATCGCCATTATGATTCTTGTTTCTATCGTAAACGTTTATTTCTTAATTCCAACACTTTTTATGGGAACTTTACTTTATGGAATACGACATGTCTATGTGAGTACATCGCGTAATGTTAAAAGAGTTGAAAGTATTACGAGATCACCAATTTATGCCCACACAAATGCAACGTTACATGGATTAAGTACAATCAAAGCGCTGAACGCTGAAGAATCAGTGAGAGAAAATTTTAACAATCACTTGGATCACAACACTTCAGTAAGTTTGTATTTCATCAACTCTCCTTACTAGCGTTTCTAATGGTTTTTATTGTAAATTTTTAAAGGCATATTTCATGTTTTATACGCTCACAAGAGGTTTTGCTTTCTGGGTAGATCTTCTTACAGTTCTTTACATTACTGTCATTACTTACACATTTGTTCAAATGGATGCATCTCAAATACCAGGCGGCAATGTTGGTCTTGCAATTACTCAAATTATCGGTTTGATTGGAATGACACAATGGGGTATAAGACAGACAAGCGAACTTGAAAATCAAATGGTGTCTGTTGAAAGAGTCCTTGAATATTCTGAGCTTCCGTCAGAAGAAGAAAGTGGAAATGATTTGAAGAAACAAGCGCCAGTTGGATGGCCTTCAAAAGGAGAAATAGAATTCAAAGATCTTTCATTATTCTATAACAATGAAGTTAAACCAGCAATCAGAAACTTAAATTTTGTAATAAAGCCTAAAGAAAAAATTGGAATTGTCGGACGAACGGGTGCTGGCAAAAGTTCAATAATTCAAGCGCTTTTCCGTATGACTAAAATTGAGGGAAAAATTGATATTGACAACATCGACACGCAAAGTTTAACCCTTCACGAGCTGAGAAAAAATATTTCGATAATTCCACAAGATCCAGTTCTATTTTCTGGTTCACTACGATCCAACTTGGATCCATTTGATGAGAATAAAGATGAAGCTATTTGGAGTGTTCTTAATCAAGTCGAACTAAAAGAAACAATTTCATCTTTAGCTGGTGGATTGGAATGTAGAATCTCAGATGGTGGTTCCAATTTCTCGTTAGGACAGAGGCAGTTGATATGCTTGGGTAGAGCCCTTCTTAGAAAGAACAAAATATTAGTTTTAGATGAAGCGACAGCCAGTGTTGACTACAACACTGATTCGTTGATTCAGAAAACAATAAACACAGAATTTTCTGAATGCACAGTCTTGACTATTGCACATAGACTGCATACAGTTATCAATGCAGATAAAATCTTAGTAATGGATGGTGGAACAATGGTTGAATTCGATCATCCGCACGAGTTACTTAAAAATGAAAATGGTTTCTTTACAAAGCTTGTGAAGGAAACTTCTTCTCAACTTGCGGGTATGGCGAAAGACAATTATGATAAAATGAATTTGAAAACAGTTCCTAATTTGTAATATTTTCTCACTTTTTATAAATAAATAATTGCTTTGCCTTCATATCAACAAAAAATTGGACTTTCTCAATTTCAAACCTTCCTTTTCAGTTTTCCAATGTTTCTCCTCTCGTGGCATTTTTAAAATGTGTAAATATTAAATAATTTTTCATTATTTATAATGAGTTTATTTTCTGAATACTCTGGAAAAAACATCACAATGCGATTACTTAAAAAAGTTACAGATAACAAAGAAAAATATTAATTTATATTAGCTCATGCAACATAAAGCTTTTGATAGCTTTAAATGAAAGCTTCATGAACTTTTCAAGCTTTTCAATAGATGGCGCTAGTAGACAATGGGCGTTTTAATAGAATTTGTAACATTATGAATGGAAAGAAAAAACACCATGATCGCTTACAAAAATATTCATGACATCATTTACTTAACGTCCCAACAGAATTCGATTTCTTTATGTGGTAAATATCACGTCTATTGAATATCGAGCGCAAATTTTTAAATAATAGAAATTGCCTTCAGTTATCAAGCTGTCACTCGCTTAAGGACTATCTGATGGATTCTTTGTTTAAAAACTAAGTCTTCTCCGCTAAGTCTGTCTAAAATTTTTAAGAAAATAAATAAAACCTACCATAGCTTTTCGAAATAATTACAGACAATGAAAATGTTTCTCAAAAAGTTCAATTTACAGAAATGAGAACGAGCACGATACGAGGATGCTTGTAAGTTGGGGAAGCTTCATCCAACCCCCGCTTTCAAATAGGATGGGGCTTGTAACTTCATGAAGTTCTCCTACGCATTTAAGCTTTTGATGGTACATACATATCGCTCATGGAAGGAAAGGCGAACAAAATTCGTCTACGTACTCCACTCGAAATAAGTAGTTCGCTTTAACAATGAATTTTGTTGTTAATATGAAATACTATTCCAATATTAAATCTTAGACAATTAGCCTTAACCATTTTTACTATCGTAAAAATATTTGGACATTTTATGCATGCATTGTTAGTGCAGCTTAACGGCACCACACATTCAACATGTTCCCAAATGATCATAATTTTTTTAAAAGATTTCTGTCGACTTGTTTTTGGGTGTAATACTAGAAAATTCATCGTTAAATGATTAGAGCATAGTAGAGTAGATAGATACATTTGAAATTTCAATTTCAAAAATTACATTTATCTAACCGATGTAAGTTTCGAACGCAAAGTTTTCATTTTGGCTCCAATATAAGGTTTTTGAAATTCAACAGTAACAGTCTGACTTTGAATCGAATCAATGCTTGATGTTATTTTTATATGTTTCGAAGCAAAAGAAAAAAAACAACCGTAATGAAGAAAGAAATAATTTGACTTCTCCATGCTTCCGCTTGTCGTCGTGGTAAAATTGTAGCTTGAGCATTCGATGACGAACAAAAATCGATGTACGTCGTGTAGAAGCCTTGGTTCTATTCATTGGAGTTCGTTTCGTTTGTCGAGCTTCAATATACGCTTTTATATATATTTCTCACAATACATTCATATCTATACAGAAAATATTTTGTACTCAGTGTTGCTGCCGACCCAACTCCGTCGAAACGACACAAAACCGACTGTCGAGAGAAAGAGAATCGTAAAGCAAAAGCAGAAAATGAAAAAAAAATGAAAAAGTTCCAATGTAGCGAGCGCTCTATACACACAATCTCTATACCTACAGCGTATATATTTTTCCCTGAACATTTTCTGTTCGGTCGAAAACGGGTCTGAAGTAAAATAATACTCTATGATGTATCAGTAAAATTTGTGCATTGCATGTTGTAAGTTCGTTTTACGGAGAACGCTCTCTCAAATGTGGCATTTATTCATTTCAAAACAAAAATAAAAGTATACATGCTTGGAACAAAATATTGAAAGAATTTTTTTTTATATTTTTTCAATTGTGACAGAAAAAAGTTTATTAAAAAGTTAAGATTTAAAAGCAAAACATAAAAAGTTAAAAGAATTATTTAGTGTGAATTTAATTTCAAACATTAACTAAAGTTAAAATAACGACAAAGCAAGAAATAAAAAGCATTTCGACAATGATCAATAATTATTATGAACTGTTAGTACTACTAGTTGAACAAAACAAACATTTTCTTTAAAGGTGAGTGTTGATAGTTTGAAAGAATTTTTGTTTACATCATGCTTGGTTTTTTTAATCACCTGTCCATGCGACTCCGTTTTGTTGATAAAAAAAAATGTTTTGATTGCGAACAGAAGAAGTAAAAAGGGAAAGAAATGTGTATCTGCAGCACTGATATGTATTTATTTATTTCTTGCTTCTCTTGATTTCTTCTCATGCCTCATGCTCATCATAAAAGAGAGCTCGTCGATATGAAACGCTAATGTACTTTTCTCAATTTTTTCCAATCGTGCATTTGCAGTGGAACGGCATAAGTGCTGTGTACGATATTTTCTTTTCTTTCTTCACAATTTAATGGGAAGCAAAAAAAAAGAAAAAACAGAAAGAAAATTCATACATTATTGAAAGACTCGACTTGATTCGACTTCAAGAGAAAAAGAGAAAATCATTTTTGTGTAGGTTGCTTCGCTTTGCCGATTTTCAAATCTTCTTTTCGTGAGTTTCGCTGTTTTTTCTTTCTTCTTTTCTTTTCATATTTTTGGTGCCTTTACTTTGGTCGAATATTTGTGTATAAACATTTTATATTTTTTCTGCCTTTCATTCTTATTCGTTTCTTTTCGAATTTCTCAATTTTCTTTATAATATTCTCTTTTTTTAATTATCGTCGTCTCTCTATTTACCTCTATGTTGTATAACATGCTTTCAAGTTGATTATTCTTAAAGTACTCCAACATAAATATTATATTTATTAGAATTATTTAGAGACAATTGTTGTACTGTGGCTAAAGTCAGATGTTTATGTCCGATATCCAGCTAAACATTAAATCAGGACAAAATAGATAACAAGTTCAATTCCCCCAAATTTAATCTGTTATCATCTCCTAACTTTCCTACATTTTTTTGCAATTCAAAAATATCAACTTTTTTTCACGGTTTAATTTTTTCTACTTATGTCTGTTTTTGCTGTTGTGCCATGAAAATTTATTAAATTAAAAAAATGTTCCACCAACATTTCATCCCATAATTATACGCGCCAAAAAAGTTGATAGCAAAAATTCAACATGGAATTATTCGTTGCCAAAACTCATTTAGGACAAACTTATCAATGATGTCACTGAAGAAGAAATGTTTGCTGAAATATTTATCATCATCTGCTTTGTCACAATGCATGCAGTCACATGGAAAAGAATATAAAAAGAAATCAAATTCTACCTCATTTTCAATTATCAATGTTAACATAACAACACACATCTCATTAAAACTTAGCAAAGTTCAAATAAGAGTGCACTTGATTTTTCTACAGATCAAACAACTCTATAGATCAATAAGCTCACTAACAAAGCTTTATTATACTCGATCGGAAAATGCTTCGTTTCTTTTCCATCTTCAATGTTATGAACTCTGAGCGAAGCATGAAGGTAGCCTTCGAACAGTTGTTCCATTTAATGAAAAGAAGAAAAAAGAATTAGAAGGGACTGAAAATATTTATGAAGAAAGACGAAAAAAAAACCTTCCCCTAATACCTTTAACACGATCGTCGTTCTTTCATTTCATCATCATGAGGGAGAGAATAGAAGCTTCGAAAGCGATGAGCATGTTTAATCATTACAAGCTATTTTCTTTGCATAGCAAAAAGTAACGTCAAACCACAAGCTATCGGCATACCTACTAAAAATTTCCAATATTTGTGTGCGACTTGCCGCTATTGCTAAAACTTTTTTTCATGTGATTCTTTTAGCATTTGCGTGTCGTGAAAGAAAAAGAAGACGCAAAAAGAGCGGGAGAGAATGTCATATAAAAATCGTGTGTAGGGTGATTCAAGCAAACTTTCAAGTTTACGAAGGGTGATGAAAAAAGAATTATACCTACTTATTTTATGTCTCTTGATTCGCGATACTGACTCATATGCGAAATGACACAAAACAAGATGATGAAAATTTCTCCTCCAGCATTCATGCTCAACTCGTGCCGAAATCTATTTGTTTGCTCGCGAAAATCGAAAGAAAAAAAGGAAGACTCTTTACGAAATTTTCGAGAGGAATGAGCGACACGAAGCAATGCTTAATATCTTATAATTTTCCAAAAAAAAGCAAAAGGAAGAAGCAGAAATACGATAATAACCTCCGAGTAAGGGTGGTGAATAACAGAGGTTCAGGGGTTTTAGAAGAAGTTTTACAGCATGTGGGAGAGAAAAAGAGTGATAGAGAGAGAGGGACAGAAAAAAAGAAAGAAAGAGCGACTGATAGGGGAGAGAGATGTATAAGGGTGAAAACAGGGTTGATAAAGGGGAAAAATGTTGAAATACTGAAACTCTGCTAAAACGTGTCATGAAGAAGGAAAAAGAATTTCGAACCCTCGTTACACTGTTTCATACAAACAGTCAGTCAGTGACTCAATCTCATGCTGCCTACCTACCTTCTACAACGACCCAACGAAATGACTGAAAATGTATATAGGGTATTGTATACTGCTGACTGAGTCGGTCTTTCATATTCTTAGAATTATTCACATTGTTCAGAGCTTCAAACTTAAGTATGTGTAAGTGTGTGTAAAGCGGATGTGAAATAGTGTGCGAGTTTGTCGCTACATGGAACGTTTCTCCATCAATGTTTCAGAAGAGTTTATTCAGTCCCTGCTGAATATATATATTAACTGTAACTATGGCAACATGTTTTTGCCACAGAATGTTCTCTATACCGTCATCTATATAGTAAAGCAGCAGCTTTTGCTATGTTGAGTTTTAGGACATGCGTATTAGCTGCCGATGTCAACGCCGAAACAAAACTTTTTATGAATTAAATGTTACTCACGATTAGAGCCATCAGAGGCTTTTCTTTCTTTTTTCATTATTCTCTGAATCATAACTTTGACATGGCATGAGGAAAACTTAATGTTTTCCTTTTATCCAAATCTCGAGTTTAGAAGAGAAAATTGCGAGCAGCAAGCAGCCACTCAACATGCATTTGTGAGCGATGTTTGATTGTAACTGATCACTCTTTTTTCTGTTTTTCGTTCAATTTCGATATTTATGAGTAGGAAAAAAAACAACATTGAGATGGTTAGAACGCTCTTTTTAATGTATGAATTACAATACAATTCAACAGGTGACTTAAACGTCTCTACGGCATGCTTTAGATATAAATGCAATGACTCTTCGGCTTTTTTATGACATCACGCTTCGTTGAATCATTCGTGTTGCGCTTTTATTTTTGGAGGAAAATATAAAAATGAGAAAGTTGGCAATGTAAAGGTGCTGCTGATAACGTTTTTCTAATTCGGGATTTGAAAATTCAAAAATTATTTTCAGTTGCGCAAATTTTAGGCTCCACATTGCTGTGGATATTGTGGCCTGGAGAACGAAAATCATTACATATATTTCTCATCGTTCATCGTTCGATGGTGTGACTCACTCGAGCGATGTGAGTTTCAAAATAGTTCACTGAAATATAACGATCGCTTTGGTTGGCATTCAGCTTTAATAGAAAATTGTACAACATCTCATCGCATAGTCTCCAGTATGAAAAGAAAAACCTTTTAGACTTCATCACGGTAAAATCTACCGTCACGTCTCTCAAGTACACACTTCGATGTGAAGTAATAATGCTAGCAAAAATCCTAGTTGAAGTAAAGAAATTCAACGAATGTTTATCGTTGATTAAAATTTGCCAAACAGTGAAGTCTCTTACTGGTTCAACGAGGTCATTTGCACGAGTCAAGACAGTAAAATGAGTCAGGAGAATTTCCTGTAGACGGCAGCATTAGTCGGAATGACGAAGAAGTATAGTATAAAAATAAATCTGTAGGTATACAACAGAAATGTAAGAAAGAAAAAGACTGAGAGAAGGAAAAAATTTCTGTTTTACTTCGTCGGGTATACTGTAGAAAGATAATTTCAATTCAGGGTATACCGAAGTGAAAAAGAAAGAAAGGAAAAGAATATACGAGATATTTTATAAGAGATGACGATTTTTATAGTAATATACGAAGCTAGTATTGGTTTGTCTTTCGTATAGAATATCTATGCCGCTGTGTATGTTCCCTTGGATTTTCGCTTGCTTGCGTCTGTTCTCTAAATAATAAATACCATAAATATTTAAAGCCGAGGAAAATGGCCACAAAACCCGATTCCATATAACAGAAACAACACGAAGCAAATTACGAAGCGTTCTCGAATAGCATTTTGTATGAAGACAACGTTCGGATTTTGCTTCGTAACATCGAACGATTTGGTTTTTTTCCATTTAGTGAAACGAGTATATAAACCCGAACTGCTGGTTGAATGAATGTGGATGTGAATTGTACAATGTTTTTTTCTCTTCTCTTCGCCAAAGCGCTTTCTATATATTTTCTGTGGGGAGAAAAATATGTTACGTACAAAAAGTGTTTTATAAAATCGAATCGCTTGAACCTTCGTATACATTAAAGTCGAACAACCAACAAACGGCAACAGAGAGAGAAAGATATTCATTTTGTGCTGAAATAAAGTTTTATGTTATGCGCAGAGCGAATACTGTGGGCATTGTACGGAACATCTGTCAAGAAAATCAATGGAATTTCATGAAAATAAAAATTGTTTTCAGTTTCAAAGTGATGGTACTGACTTACGTTGCTTCGTTCTGAAAAGCATTTTCTTTATTAAAAACAGGGACGTTCTATATATATTGATGATGATGATAGAGGAATAATACGAGAAGAAAACCTTTAAGCCAATGCCCTTCTCCGTCGATTTGCCACTGGCATTTGTTTTCCTCTCTACCCATGTTTCGCTTTGCTTCAAAACGTGGTTGAGGATGGAGAAGGAAAAAAAGACTTTTAAGAGCTAGATAGATGATTTTTCAAAAATTTTGTCGGTTTAAGATTGCACAAAATGTTTTCGAATTTGGAAGACTCACAATCAACCAAATTTAGTTTTGTTTTGTTTTGTCTTAGAGATATATCTGCGATGTATTTTTTTGGATTGATTTTTTTCTATTCTGAGTCGAAGGTTTAAAGCAACGATTGTGTTTTTTACATTAACGCTTTTTTCTACTTCCATTCATTGTCATTATCAGCAATTCATTATCGACACGGAGTATTTTTTATTTTCTTCTTCCATTCCTTCTAAAGTTGATAAGTGATAAGAAATTTTATTGACAAAATGATTATTCGAAATGAAAATATTTCTAACGGCTCCTTTAAGATTCAAACAAGCAATTTAAGTATCTTCAGTGTTCATGTTATTTCATTTCTTAACATTTTCAACTCAAGTCGCTCGCATATTGAAGAAAAAATGCCTTCAATGCCTTCAACACAAATGTTAACGACTTGAATTCTACATTGAAGTTCCCTCAACCAAATGCTGCTTTACTTGCCTGCCTGCCTGCTGCATGAAAACGTCGTGTCGTCGTGTTTGTTGAGGGAATGAAAACTTTTATTCCCACACATATACTCGCACATACAACGGAGCGTTAGTTTCACATCGTTCCACAAGTCTTATTTGAATCGATATTCTCAGATATTCTCATTGTAAATTTCCGTTTCCATAGAAGTAACAAAAATGAACCAGAAGAAATATCGGTAGAAGAAAAATTATCAAACATTTCGTTTTCTCCTTTTATTATATTTTTTTTTCCTTTTTTTTCTTCTCCCTACGAGTCGAAGTCTTTTTATCGCGTAGGGAGAGTGAGTCTGCGCAGAATTCATGATGATATTGGATGTTATGATTTTCTTCTTTCCGTCCTCGCGATGTGCACTTTAATATTGCCGATCGCACATTTCTTTCTTATTTTAAATCAGATTCGTTATAACGTCTTTCATTTTTTGAATTAAAATTTATTTTTAATCTTCGTCGGCAGTTGTTGATTTTTTCTTTAACTTTTATTTTTAGTAATACATTTTATTTAAATATTTTTCATCTTCCATCTCTCCCTTCTTGACTATTAATAACCACGACTGACGCTTTTCATATCATTTCCATCTTCATTATGAATTGGAAGGAATGTGAAATAAGTCTGGCGACATGAATATCTAGATATATGTATTGGAAAAGTTTCAACAAATAGATATCTAAAATATTTTCCATATTATTTCTAAGAATCAAATCTACCTTTATACTTATGTATTTATGTATAGATATGATTCTTATAACAATTGTATTATGTGACTTAATAATCATTATTAAGGAAAGCTTTTAAATGATTTCTATTTTTGTTTCTTGTGCGAAACATCAAAATATGAAAAGCACAACAGAATAAGAGACAACAGAAAGTTTATAGAATTTCTGTGTAGCTGAAGAAAACAAATAGATATCAAAGTTTTGCGCGACTGGTTTCAATAGAAGCAATTCTTTCTGAATTCTTTACTTCTCTATGTTTCTATTTTTCTCTTCTTCTCTTACATCGTCAACTGACGTCGTCTTCGTCGTCGTCGTTCCAATCTTCAACCAAAAAGACTGGGGGAAATGACTGTAGGAAAATAACAGTATTACATGAAATCACAAAACAGACCTTTTCTTCTTTCTTTTCTATCTGCATCTCTTTTAGATATTGTTGTTGTTATATGAGGGAAAATCTTCATTTCGGCAAAAATTGATGCTGTCCGTGATGATTTTGAATAGGAAAAATGCATTAATCTCGATTTCCCCTTTGCGTTCTTTATTTTTCTCAATCCTTTTAACGTTATTTTTTGAAATTCATCTTCTTTCTCGTATTCATTTTACTTAGATATTTCATTTTTTATATATCTATATGTAAGTATAGAGATATTTTATTTTCTTCATTCAAATAAAGCAAAAGAAACTTAAGTCGAAAGTATCTCGAGCCATGAAGAAACGTTGAATGTAAAAAGCCAAAGAGAAGAAAAAGATTTTTATTTTTCAAAACATTTCGGCCTTCATAAACTGGTTTCTGCTTTAAAGCGAAGAAAAAAAAAGTTAACAGAGAGAAATATTCAAGACAATATCGAGAAACAAACATATAAGAAGCATAGGAAAGAAAACTGAAATAAAAATTTGAAGGGAAAAAAGAAAAATTATGAAGCGAATGAAGAGAGAAAAGAAGAATAAGAAAAGATTTTAGATTAAGTTGAGTTCAATTTTATAAAATAAGAAACTTTCATAGCTTTCGATAAGCTTTGATACGTATAAGGACGAAATGAATTGAATGAAGTCTCCGTCACGTCACCACTCGAAGACAAATAAATACCACAAACTTCGTCTACACGATGCGTCTCGCTCACTCGCTTGAGCAAGCCGATTGTCGAGTCGAGAAATGAAAGTCTTATTCCCATACGAAGCTATGTGTTTAATATATTCAGGTTACGAAACTGTTTTCTTTGTTGTTTACTGAAGGGGGTTTGACTTGAAACATCGAACTAGGATACTATACGAACTTAGAGTCACGAATGAATGTTTTACCTGATGATGAATATGATTGACTTGTTGGCAATGCTTTTTCTAAGTTCAACATTTTCTTCTCATTTTAGGGATTAAAAAACCAATAATCGAATGCAAGAACGTAAAAGAATTGAAATGATGGGTCTTCAAGCAACAATAAAAACTACAAAACGCAAATATGAAATTGAAGCGGATTGCGAGGCTGAGAAAAAGGAAGCATCGCCACCTAAGGCAATCAAATATTCAGTATCGAAAGCAGTCACAAATAATAAAGTTACTTCAACTAAGGATAGTTTGAAATCAGATACTGACATCATACCACCTGAAACTCATCAATGGCCCAACGAGCCTATCGTAGATAGTATTAGTAAATTACAAGCTGTAACCGAAACATGGAACAGCAATTCTCTGTCTTCAACTCCATTTAATTCCACTTCAAACACTCTGTCATCATTGGCACAAACAGCAGAAAATATAACCAGGTCAACTCTTGCGACGACATTGCTAGATCAGGGCGATCTAATGGATTCAGATGAAGATGACTTCCAAGAAGATTTTGACTTTGAAAGTGACGATGATGAACTATTAGATGATCAAACAATGTTAACAAATCAGAATTATGCACCGATTCGTTACCCATCTCCATCACCATCAAGACAAAATTATATTCCGGCATCCCCAAAACCTGGATACACACCCGAGCCTTATCAAAATTGTTCGCGAACTCCAACAGCAGCAACTCAATTTAATAATGGCCCACCTCATCATCAATCACCCTTAAGACCGTCTTTTTTCAACGGTACTAATAATGGTAATGGCAGCTGGAATTATTACAATCATCAACACTATGACTTAGCACCAACTCAACAGCCACAAACAATTCGTTGTGCGGAGAATGGAAAATCATATTTCGAACTTGGTAGCTCAAATTATTGTGGTCCTAATCGAATGTGCAACGGTGGACTTGGAATGATGAAGAATTGTTGTGAAGGAAGAAATAATCTTTGGTGTACAGCGAAGCAATGTTATAAAGAGAAACGTTTGAAAATGATGAACCTTTCAATGTTTAAGCTCGCTCGCTTCCGTCAAGCGTCCGATCAGTCTCTTTACCGTTCAGTATTAATTTGTAACACACTTAAATCACTTGAGAAAGAAATTGAATTAGAGAATCAAATTTATCATCAACGACTTCAACATCATCATCGACAAGCACTCCATCAGAACCAGGCAAGCATAGAGTATAGTCAAACATTTGCTCGACCCGGTGCTGACTCGAAGCAACAACAAAACAATAATCTTAGCAATGAAAACAGTATGATAAATTGTAATAGTAATTTAAATGCATGTAACAACAGTTTTTCACAACCTTACAACACTAATAATTGCATAATTAATCGAATTTCATCGTTTAATGAGCCCATACCGTATGAGCATCATCCCCTTAAAGATCCTTCAAGTGGTAGAGCAACACCTTTTCCATCACCAGGAATTTCATCTTTAGCTGCTCAGAATAATGTTAATGACACAGATTCAGCGTTTGGTGATGTTGATGATGTTGATAGCGTTAGTACAAGAAGCATTGATTGGGGATCAGTATTGAGTCTTTCATCCCAATCAGCCTTAGATCCATTAAGCAATAATGATATTTTCACTAATCCAACATCATCAAGTACGACATCATCAACAACGCAAAACTCTACCACGATTACTAACTTGAACATTACTATTTCTAATGGATGTGGAAATGTATCAAGTAATTCAAATACTCCTTCGAGCTCATCTGTATCAACGCCGATATCCTCCATTATAACGACGCTGACAACTGTTAGTAGTTGTTCACTCGAATCACTCACGGCCTCATCAATTTCTGTATCGCCTAATGTATCCAACTCAAATTGGGATTTTCCATATCTTGAAACTGAGTCATCAAATAACTCCGAGTTTTACGAGTTAAATTGTTATAAACTTGCATCGGCCTTGAATTCGATGGATGATTTTGTGAAGTCTGATCCTTTAGTAACACCAGTTTCATCTGTGTCACCATCAAATACAAACGAGCTCGAACAGTTGACTCATATTATGGTTGGGAGTTAATGCTAATTTCGTTGATTGTTTAACACAATCAAACTTCCTTAAAAGCTTTTTCTTTATGTTTATCATAGAAGTTTTAAAGAAACTGTGTTGAATACTCAGGTTGTGATGGCTGTGTTAATTAATACAAAAACAAAAGAAAAAAAAATGGAAAGAAAAGCAAAACAGCATAAAACGAATATAACCATATGACAAGAAGAATTGATTAATACGAAATCTTAAAGAAAGTGCAAAAGGAATTCTCCTTTATTGGATAATCGAGACAGAATGTGCTATATTATTTTATATTTTATGTTGCTTTTATATTTCACACAATTTGTGAAAAGAGTAACTTGAATTTAAATATTATTTTTTAAAAAGGAATCTAAAAACACAAAAGGTGACAGATTGTAATTTACAAGGAACGAAATGTAAATATTTATTATTTTTCGATAGAGTTATCTATTGGTTCCACAAGATACCTATGTATAATGAAAAGAAAATGATAATTATAAGATAAATACTTAAATTGAATTCAACAAAATGATGCTAGTCCATAATGTAAATTCTTTTTCAATAAGTTAAATATGTACTTTAGCTCTGACATTAGCATAAAAAGAAAACAGATCAAATTATTGAGAAATAAAATAATTTAAATTTTAAAAATTTTAGTAAAAATTTAAAAAAAATGTCTTTTGTTATGAATGTGTCTTTTTGTGTTTATTATTTTCAGGAAAATGTATGCGTCGCTTCCTAGGTAGAACAAATTTGAATTGATGATGCAAGAAAGACGAAATCTTATTTACCTAAATATCTGCTGACCGCTTGTGATAATTAAAAAAAATAACGGTCAAAAATATTTCGAATGTCAGGGCTTGACAAGTTTTTGAGAAATGTTTCCAATAATATCCGCTAGGGAGCAGCCTGAATCATGTGTTTACTTTTGTTAACATTGGTGCATGTTAAAAAACCCAGGAAAAATCTTACAAAAATAAAAAAATCACGAACTTCTTCTTAGAGTCTTCTCAAAAATGACTAATAAGCAAATGCTTCTTTGCTATAATAAAGGATGCCAGAAGGAATTCGATGTGAATGATAATGGAGAAGGTAAAATGAGGAAAAATTAAAATATGTTCTAGAAATTTCCTAAAAAGGATTTTTTATGTTAAGAAGTTTTTCACAAAATCTTACATTTTAGATAAATGCTGTTTCCATCCAGGTCATCCAATTTTTCATGATGCTTACAAAGCTTGGTCATGTTGTAATAAGAAGAGCATTGATTTCACAGAGTTTCTAAATTACAAAGGGTGTACGATTGGAAAACATTCGAATGTGAAGCCATTAGAACCAGAAAAGAAGAAAGAAAAAGATGTTCCAATTATAGTAGAGAAAAAGGAAGTTAAAGTTGCTAAAGAGAGGCCACCTTTTGATTCACCGTGCACGAAACTGGAACCAACAATCAGTCCTTCATTTAAAAAGCAAATGGATAATCTGGATCTGACTAAGAATACTCAAATTTCATCAGATGGATCTATTCCAATAGGAACAATGTGTAAACATGGTGGCTGTAAATCATCTTACGAATCAAAATATTCTGATGATGAAATTTGCCTATTCCATCCTGGGGTTGCAATTTTTCACGAAGGATACAAATATTGGTCATGTTGTCAGAAAAAAACAAGCGATTTTACTTCATTTTTAAATCAAGAAGGATGCGAAACTGGAAAACATAAATGGATTCAAGACGAGGAATCAAAAAAAGTAAATTGTCGATGGGATTGGCATCAAACAGGTTCAACTGTTGTTGTTGCCGTTTATGCTAAAAATTATGATTACAGGAAAAGTTTTGTCAATGTGAATCCCATTCGGTTGACTGTGAAATTGATTTTTCCACAACAAGATGATGCTGAGTTTAATATTGATCTAGAATTGAGAGGAATAATCGATGTACCAAAAACGACAGCGAGTATGTTTGGAACTAAGATTGAAATCTCAATGACCAAAGCTGAAGGTGGTCAGTGGCTGAAACTTGACTATCCTAGAGAGAACCCTGGTGAAAAAGAAAAGCAAGATCCACCAGCTGTTACTGCATCAATTTTAGAGCCTGAAAAGAAACCACCTCTATGTGAAGAAGAAAACGTTTCGGATATTGATTTGGATGATATTGAGTTGGTTGAAGGTGCAAAAATCACTGAATTGGGTGAACTTGCTAGAACATGTCAGTTAGTCGAGGAATCATAAACGCAGTGTTTTTGTACTTCACAATATTTCTTTTATTTATAAAAACTAGAAAAAGATTGAATCTTTTGTATTTTGTGTCAGTTTTCTTTTACTTCAACTTCCTGACATTTTCACAATAAAAAATAACGCACAAAAAGATTTTGAATTTGTCTGCGCGCCAAAATTTTCTGTAATTTTTTTTATCTCACCGAAATAAACAAAAAGTATAAAAAAATGAATTTTGCAAAAGTAAGTCTTATAAAGTTTGATGATTATTTTAAGTGAATATCTTGACATTTTCAGATGATGGTTCGCTCACCGATTTTGAGATTCTTTTCCAGCGAAATCCCTAGAGTTGAGAAAAGTAAAGACAACATTTAACCTGTAAAGAAAATATTTCATAAACAAATTAATTTTTTAGCTGTGAATACTGTAACATTGCTGGGAAGAGTTGGAGCAGAACCACAAAAGAGAGGATCTGAAGAACATCCAGTTATGACATTTTCACTTGCGACTCACAATAACTACAAGTAAAATTAACATACTTATCAATTTAAAATTTTCCTACAAATAATGAAATTTCTTTTAATTATCGTATTGTTATTTATTTATCTTTAGATATGAAAGTGGTGATTGGGTTCAGCGAACAGATTGGCATCGTATTGTTGTTTTTAAGCCAACACTTCGTGATTCAGTTCAACAATATTTAAAGAAAGGCCAAAGAACTCTTGTGACAGGAAAAATATCTTATGGAGAAATTACTGATCAAGAAGGCAAAACACGTTTGAGCACCAGCATAATAGCCGATGAAATAATCTTTTTCCAGTAAATTTCTCACATTCAAGTATCAAATAAGTCAGACATAATGTGTAGAATTTCTTATAAGAATTATTAAGTTAGATACTAAAGTCGTATTTTTTCAAATAAAATTTATGAATAAAAAGAAATATTTTTTCATTAAATGGCATTTAACATTCACATGTTAAAATCTTCAGAAATATCTGACAAACTTGACGCTGTTGTCATTTTTAAGTGAAAGCATGCTTAAAATCAGGGTTAGATTAGAGAAATTTCATTTTAATCTCGATTAAGTTAACTCTGATTTACTGCTAAACGGTGTTAAAGCAATAACAAAAGTTTTTTGTTTTTCTTAGTTTCCTAAATTAATAAAATAAAAATATGTCTAGAAATCATGAAGAGGATCAAAATAACGAGTTAGAGGCTCTTGAAAGCATCTATTATAACGAATTGGAAGGTGAGTTGTATTTTTTGAATAAAAACATGTGAAATTTTATTTATTTTGATATTTTAGTCATCGAAAGAGAACCAAGAATAAAATTCAAGATTGGAATATCAACTGAGGAATTTGTTGAAACACAAGATGGTCTTAGTTGTGAACTTCTCTTTACGTTCACATTAAAATATCCTGATGAAGCTCCATTACTTGATATTGAAAATGATAACTTTGATGATGAGGTTTTAAGAGAAAAACTTATGGACAACATGAAATCAGTAATTGAGGAAAATATTGGCATGGAAATGATATTTACTTTAGTAGCTGGAGCTCAAGAGCTATTGAATACTCTTTTCGATGAAATGAAAACATCAAGGGAAGAAGCTAAACAGAGGAAAGAACAAGAATTGGAGGAAGCTGAGCGGAAAAGATTCGAAGGAACAAGAGTAAGATCCAAGATAACTTAAACGTCTGTTAAGCATTCATAACAGGTCAGTTTTACTATTATTCTAGGTGACTGTTGAGACGTTTATGAATTGGCGTAATGAATTTGAAAAAGAAATGGGAATTGCCGAGAAGAAAGCAAAGGAAGTGGAAGTTAATCGGAAGTTGACCGGTCGTGAGCTCTTCATGCGGGATCAAAGTCTCATCGATTCTGACATCATCTTCCTTCAACAAGCTGGTGATTCTATTGATAATGTGAAAATCGATGAAAGTTTATTCCAAGCACTTGATCTTGATGGAGAAGACTTGCCTTCAGATGACGACTCTGATGATCCCGATTTCAAACCTTAATAGTTTATTGTCCGCTTCTCGATATTTCTTACAAAAATAAATCAACATTGTTAATCGTTTTATCTTTTGCAATGCAAATTTTTATTTATTTCTTTATGTTTTATTCAATTTCCTTTCTTTAAGAAGATTTATTAAATTTTCAACTGATTCAATTCCACCAGGAATTTTCTCGTTAATTGCGTCACGTGTTTCTGGATGATCATCCCAATTAACTGTTAAGTCAGCTAAACTTTCAAGTGAAACTGGTTTTTCAGCAACGCCTGGCTGTGGTGCTTCTACAATAGCTTCTTCAACGGGAACTTCTTCCACAGGAACTTCTTCAATAGGAGTTTCTTCCACAGGAGCTTTTTCTTTAACTTCCTTCACTTGCTTTGCTGGTATCTTTGATTGCTTTTTGCTCGCCAAATGTTTATGAATCATCGCCTTGATAACTTCCTCGGCCTTTGAAGCCGCTTCTGAGTTAGCCTCCGACTTGGGTATTCCGTTGATGATGGAATGAGCATCGACCATTCCTTTCATTCCATTGAAATCGAAATATTTCGGAGCGCAATGAGCTCCTGTTAAAGCTACAAAAAGGACAAATGTGACAACAGCGAACTTCATCTCCAACTGAATGAAGAACAAATATCTTGAAACTTCTGTTTGTTACACGATTTAAAGACTTTTATGTATCTTATGACATCAGCAATCATCATGATAAGATTTTTATCAATTCATCAAAGGCATGACTAAGTCGCATTGATTCATTTATCGTTTTATGAGTGTAGGAAAGAAAAATATATTTTCTTTATTTAATCTTCTATTAACAACTACTCAGATATTATGAAATATCTTTCAAGGTATCCCACAAACCAAATCTTATCATCTACATAATTAAAGTCAACAAATAAAAGAAAAAAATAAATTCAAATGTCTTTGAAGTTGTCATTTGATGCTTCTCGTCTTCAATGCTTAAATTTCAGCTGACAATTTAGAATTTCGGAATATTTTCACTTTCAAGAGACCGGGATTTGCTTCAGTTGAACTATAAGAAAAAAAGGAATGGAATAATTAATTCTTAAGAGAAATTTGATCTTCTTACGTTAATGATCTTTCTCTTAATCGGGTTTTGGTTTTATTTTTGATGTTAGCGACTCCGTTGTGTGAATGATTACCACGACCAGTTATGATGAACAAATCTTCGTATGGCTTTTTTATGGCACGCAATCGTGAAATGTTTTTATCGAGAAATGTGTCGAGAACGATGACAGCTTCCACTAAATTCATGAAATGTAAATCAACTGTTGTGTTCGACGATTGGGTTTTCTCATGAATCCCAGCAATCATGTTTGCCACTGTATGTTTGGCTTCTTCAGCTTTTTGTTTTTGAAGCAATGCCATGTTTGACAAATAAATAGCGAGATCAAAGTTTTTATTCAAATGTGCACTTTTTGCTTTCTCAAGTAAAAGTTTTTGCTCTTCCATGCACTCTTTAACTTCTTGGCGAAGTTCTTCGATCTTCTTGAGATGTTCACTTGTGTATGCACTAAATTCAACATCCGGATACAAAACTTCATCATTTTCCTTTGATTCTTCTTTCCATGGTGCGTTGAAGATTTTCTTTTGCGAAGCTGCAATTTGTTCTCGTTCTTCTTTTTTGCATCCAAGTGAATCTTGAATCATATCAACAGTGTCGTTGAAATTGTAGTTGGTACCGGCAAAAATCTCCATCAAATCGTTCTTGTTTAACTCGGGAAAAATTTCTATCAACTTTTCTTTACTTATTCTTAACGCAATGTCATCATCCGACTCTTCTTTTCCTTTTCCCGGCTTTTTCCACTGACTCGATTGCGAATTTGTTTCAAATTCTTTGAAATTTTCAATGGTAAGAGTTTTTGAATTTCCATTTCGTTTCGCTGATTTATTTTGTTTTGATTCTTCCTGTTCATGAAGTTTCTTTGCAAGTTCTTCATCGTCTTTCAATGTTTGCAGTTTTTCTTCTGCTTCTTGACTATAAAATGCTTCCATGACTTCAAGATATAATTTATGTGCAGTTGATTGTGTGATGAAGATTTTTGGTGGAAATTTGTGATTCGGTTTTATAATACTTTTCAACATTCCACCGCCGAATCGCTCATCAAGCTCGAAAATTAAATTTTCAGCAATTGGAAGTGCGTAAAGTTCTTCACTATCGACAGGCGAATTTGGGAGAGAAATTGTTTTGGTTTCTTCTGGTGGAAGAAATTCATTAATTATTGGTGGTCCCAGCGATTCTTGTGGTCCTTTTTTCCAGCTTTTTACTTCATTGACATGATCAGGGTAATGTTCACTCCCAATCGTGATACTTTTCTCAATCATTTCCTTTGTTTCCAGCCAATGAGATAAATCAATTTGTTTGCTTGCTTTCTTACTTTCATTTGTCTTTTCAACACCATTTGATTTCACTTTTTTCCCTCCATTTCCAGTATCTTTTATGGTGAAACATGTGCAAGTTAATTCATTTCCACTCTTCATTTCATTTGTTAAGTTTTCATCACATAGAAGATTAACGCACCAGTCAGCATCGCCATTACAACGTTCGAAGAAATCCCATAGATAAGAATCATTGACATTTGGATAAAGTTCACGAATTTGTGCGAAACTTGCATTTTCATTCGGACAATTGCTTTTGTGAGGTGCGAGTTTCATGTCTGCTGCTTGTTTATTCTTATTCTGTTTCTGCTGTTGCTTTTGGGATGAATTTGTAACTTCAGGTTGAAGATTTTCTTTGGGTTTTACATTTAAACTGTTTAAGAAACTCTCTTCAAGTTCAGTTGTTGAAGGAATTGAAACCTTTTCTTGTGAAATCTCTTTAAATTCTTCACTTTCTTGTTCCTTTGATGTTTTCTCTTCTTCACTGACAGTCTTTGGAGCTTCATCATCGAAAGTTATCAGATCAGAAAAATTTGTTTCTTCTTTCTCTTGTGCTAATTTTTTTCTCATTTTTGGATGTTTTACTGGCTCGAGATTTATTGATTTTAACAGTTGATTGACACTTAAGCCATTTTGATAATTTGATTTCATTTTCTTTAGTTTCTCATATGACACTGAATGTTGGTTTTTGGTAGCTAGTTTCCCTTCGAAAAACTTCCAAGGCGTGTTGGGTTCCATGATTTCGATATGGTAACCATATTGGACAGCAACTTGCATGTAATAATACATCTCCCAATAACAGACGTTTGTGTTGTCAACTATAATCGGACTGAGTCCATTTGCTGCTGACTGTGTGAATAAAGTTTGAGTAAATTGATGAGCTTCTGGAAGTTTTTCTGGTTCGAATTTATAAAATCCGTTCCTTTTGATAAAATATTTATCAGCTGATATAATATGGTTATCTGGATCATTTTCAAGACCAATTGTATCCTCGATAATTCGATGAGCTAGAAAAGACTTTCCCGATCCAGGCAAACCTCGCATAATCACACAAACATAATATCCTTGTTTAATCATATTAACAACCGAGTGATAATTTCGAGGAATATAATCAAATTTTGGTTTCAATAAGGCACTTTGAGTGGAGTATTTTGGAATAGCTCCTGTTGATCTTTGATCTTGATTTTTTGTAACAATATTGTTGTGCTCAATTCCAAGGTTTACATTTTGTCGATTTTCCCGCGAATCAACAATTTCTACTTCTTCAATTAGAGTATCACATGAATCGTCTGGAGTATTCATTTCAACAAATGTTTAATGCTGTCTAGAAGGAAATATGATCTGAAACAAATTGATTGTTTGTTATTATTTACAAAGAAATCTTTTCAACCCTGACAAGAGCATTCTCGTCATCAACAAAAAAAATTTAAGCGCAATTATTGATTTATACCTAACTTACAGGAACTGACAATGTCACGATTTGAATGTTCTTTAAACTTATTTATTAATGTAAGAAGATAAAATTAAAGCCATTTATCTTTTAGTTTATAAAGGAAATTCAGAATATTTTTTTGTTTATCTAATCTTTGAATTCAAGGTTAGTGAATGAACCGTCAGGTGGAGCTTCTTTATGACAGTCAGACAAAAAACATCTACATATGTGTGATTTTCGGGATTCAGTTAGCTTCAATTGGTCTTGATATCATTGTCGGATAAGGTCACTGAAGGTCAATTAGGACGAGAGCGGAAATCTTGAAAAACTGTGAAAATTCGTCAAATCAGTGGTTTTCTTCGTCGGGTAAGGATTAAAAAATAATTTTATAACACAATTAAAATGAAAATTTACACAAATTCATACAATGCAATAAAGATTTTCTCAAGCGAATCTTACAAATGATGAAAATTGCATCAAAAGAAGTGAAAAAAAAATATTGCAAATTGATAAAACCACAAAAAATTGCATAATTTTCTATCTTCTTGCATAAATCTAAATCTAATCTATTTTTCCATAATCAATTATTTAGCAATTAAGCTCAAACTCATTCAACATGGCAAAGTACAAGATTGTGATGGTAAGACATGGTGAAAGTGAATGGAACCAGTTGAATCTCTTCTGTGGGTGGTACAATGCTGAACTAAGTGACAAGGGTCGTCAAGAAGCACTTGATGCAGGAAAAGCAATAAAAGATGCTGGATTAAAGTTTGACCTTGCTCATACTTCAGTCTTGAAACGAGCCAACATTACACTTGATTCAATCTTGCAAGAGTCAGGACAGACGGGAATTCCAATCCAAAAAACATGGCGATTGAATGAACGTCACTATGGAGGCTTGACTGGTATGAATAAGTCTGAGACTGCCGAAAAATATGGCGAAAAACAAGTTCAAATCTGGCGACGTTCATTCGATACTCCACCACCTCCCATGGAACCTGATCACAAATATTACAAAATCATCGTTGAAGATTCCATCTACAAGGATGGACCATCTAAAGAAGAGTTCCCTATGTTTGAGTCTTTGAAATTGACAATTCAGCGAACTTTGCCGTATTGGAATGACGTCATTATTCCTCAATTGAAGGAAGGCAAAAAGATCATTATTGCTGCTCACGGAAACAGCTTGAGAGGAATTGTTAAACATCTTGATCGTAAGTTAAAGATATTAAAAATATTCAAGTCGTTACAAACATTATAATCACTTATTTATTTTTAGAAATGTCTGATGAAGCGATCATGGGCTTGAACTTGCCAACCGGCATTCCTTTCGTTTACGAACTCGACGAAAACTTTAAACCAGTGGTTTCCATGCAATTCTTGGGTGATCCTGAAACAGTTCGTAAGGCTATGGAAAGTGTTGCAAACCAAGGAAAAGCCAAGTAAATTGTAACATAATATTGACAAAAATATTTATCTCATCTAAATAAAAATTGACTCGAAAACAATTTTTTTAACGGCTTTTTATTTGAAAATGTTTTTTGAAATCGAGGGAACAATTTTGAAACTTGTGACATTTCTGACGATTGAGCATAAAAATTGTAAACATTTGTGATTGAAACGATGCTGAGGTTGATTTTTTCATTTCGTTGTTAACTATCTAAGCGAAAGGAAGTGAATAGTTATTACCTCGCGATGTTGAGTGCAAAAATCTAACGAACTAATAAAAAATAACGCGATGGGAGAAGCTGAAATTGAAAAATTGATCAAGAAATTGTTTCTTATCTTATTTGTGTTTCTCAATATATCGCTGTATAACAACAAAATTTTTGCCTTATCAGTGGATTACTCAAGACATCATTGCAATCATGAACATCCAAAAGCACATGAGGTAAGTAATAGCTTTCAAAAGTTGTTGTGAAACATTTGGCATTTTTTTCGGTATTTAGTATTTCAATCGTGTAAAAACAGAGTCCACAAAAAAAACTTGCGAAAAGAAAATAATAAAAGAAGCAATATTGACGGAAAGAAGATTATGACACAATATGTGAAGATATCAAAGTTAATAGCTGGCGTATGTTCAGCCGAAAACGAGACGAAGAGATTTCGATAATGTTTAAATAAAATAAAAAGAAGAAAATTATGCAACAGCGAGGAGCTCTCTATTATTAATATTTTTTTATGTAAACATATATGCTGCCGACGATCCACATGAAACTCAACGAAATAAATTTTGGTATACCTAATCGTGTACGGTTGAATATTCGCTTTGTTAATCAGTAGAAGAAAGTTTCTTTCGACTCTTCATCGACCCGTGCGCACCTTTAATTTGCATAATTACTTAACAGTTCGAACATTAAACGATTTCGGAACAAATTGACAATCAATTCTTGATATAATAATACCTAACAATTTCATTTTCACTTCTTTCTTGGTGCGTTTTTCTCAAAGTGGATTTTTCTTGTCGAATGATTTTAGTTTTTTCTTTCTTGATCACCATGAAGCTAAAGTAACGACAATTACAATTGAGAGTGAAAAGAATTTTTAAAAGAGAAATCGTATGGAATTAACAATTTTATTTAATTTATTTTTTTATTATCTGTTTGAAATGTTCCACTCAGTTTTTAAAAATTTAATGAATAATTGCACATTGAAAAAATATAATTACTTACACTCAACAAATTATCTTTTTTTTACGCTATGCTCGGTTTCATACAAGTAGATATTTTTTACGATAACGTTTCATGTTAACATTACTCATTTGAGATATACTTCGAATGATGATTCAATTGATGTGGTTACTTGCTTGTCTGCCACCCGTTGGGTGACACACGAAATGTGAATTGTGAAAAATATTTTTTAAACAAGTTTTCGAATGAAGAAGAAACTGAATGAATGAAAAGGAAAAGTGAATAACAAAACTGAGTTTTATAATGCACCATCAATAGATAGAAAGTAGAATGTAGGTTAACTCTATTCATATTAATCGCTTTATGTTGTCATTTATGCGGCTTTTCTCTCCTCTATTCACATCGCAAGCTAACGAGTGAATAGATAAATTGCTTGCATCGATTTCATGGTCATTAAATCTGCGATGTTGCTTCCTTTAACAACACTTTTCAGTTTGGAATAAACTTGAAATGTTTTATTTGTAAAGATAGTCTGACCTTATGAGATGTCGAAGTATTGAATTGAATTTTTTATTTAAACTTCTTGAGACTTGATGTACAATTAGAATTATTGCGAACTAATGGAGGTATAAACGTCAAGTTCAAGTTGAGCCACAAGATTTTCTTTTATTATACTCGCTTACTTAACATCATGATGAATTATCTAGAAGCGTGACAAAACTTGCGCAAGAATAAAATTTTATGCTTCATATTTGGATAACTGAATTTGGCATTAAACAAAACAATCACCAACAGACACAAAGCAAAGTTAACGAGATTTCGTTATTTGTGCTTCGTTTTCTTGAAGTCACGATTTATGAACTGATTTGCTGTTTGAACTTTGTTTAAACCATAAAGTAAGAAAAATAAAATCACCAACTCTAGAGTAGTCAATAAACTCAACAACCGACACAATTGAATGAAAATAATGAAATAATAATGATGAATATCTAGAAATGAGTAAAAATTAAAATTAAAATCCGTTTTATTCTAAGGTGATTCATGGTGTTCACTTGGGTGAAGCAGAACATATCATAAAGAAGCGAAGCATAGACCAACCGCTCAGAATATTAATGTTCTATGATGAGTCTGTGTATAGGTGAGTTGATGACATATTTTCTAGTTTCTTTTCGTTCATTGAACTAGATAAATATTAAAAGGGCACAGATAAATATGAGTTTTAAAGGTGAAATTCTTGTTTTCTTTCAAAATTTTTGTTGATGCAATGTGACATTGAATAGAATTTTCCGCACGAATGCTAAGTTTCTATTTTTAACTTTTATCTATAGACATAAATACCTTTTACTAAAAGCTAAAACATTATTTAAAGCTAAATTAAAAGCAATTGCTTCATTTGTGTTCAATGTGCAGGTTCACAGACAGATAATTTTATTTTTTGTTGTTGTCGTTTGTTTTCACAGATTGGACGAGGAAAAGTTTCAATTAATCAACGTGAGTGATAAAAAAAAATAAAATTTGAGTCTATTATCATCATGTTTGACATATGTAAATTTGGTGACTTACAGAACACGATATTACCAGAGGCAGTTAGTTTTTGGGAAAAGGCTTTGTATGTTCGTGAAACGAAAGAGACAATAAGACTGAATCGAAAATGCGAATCAACACAAGTCTTCATCAAAAATTCATTGACACATTGCATTGATCAGTGTAAGCCGATTACAATGTGTGGTGAAGTTCAAGTGCCAGAAGAACATTTAGACGTTTGTCGAGTTTGCAATGCAACTGGTCAAAATTGTCGAAGTGATTCAAATTCAAAAGTTGGTGCTGGAATTGTTGGAGCAGATTTCGTCTTCTATGTGTCAGCAAGACAAACTGAACGATGCCACAAAGGCTTAACAGTTGGTTATGCTGCTCATTGTCAACAAGAGTCGAGTCTTGATCGGCCTATTGCGGGACATGCAAATCTTTGTCCCGATTCAATAAGCACAAAACCACAAGAGCTTCAAACTCTTCTCAGCACAGTTAAGCATGAGATTTTACACGCTTTAGGCTTCTCCGTTAGTTTGTATGCATTTTTCCGCGATGAAAATGGAGAGCCACGAACACCAAGAAAGCCCGATACGGTAAATGAGATAAAAACTTGAATTCTTAACTCATTTTATTGAAATTTAATATTTTGTATCTCTCTAAACAGGGAAAGCCGTTTCTAAATGAAAAGTAAGAGTTTAATTAAATATAACCAGAAATTCTCGTTGAATGAAAGTGAAAAGAAAGGAAAATCAGAAAGAATGACTTTGATTTCATCAATATGTTAATTAATTATTTCAAAATACTTTCACGTGAATTTATTCAAATCTAATCTCGTTCTTCCTTAATCTAACACCAAAGCTTCTTCCTGATTAAAATTTTTTAAAAATTTTGTCGATTTCAACACAAAGTCATTAGCATATTCGATGTTTCCGTGCAATAATAATTTCAATAAAGTCTTTGTGTTCTTTCAGACTCCAAATACATCAATGGAGCAACAAAACTATCCAAAGAATTGTTAGAAACAACTGGGCAGTTCGTAATGGAGTAATTAAGAAGAATATTGACATGATGGTAACGCCTCGTGTTGTGGGTGAAGTTAGAAAACATTTTAATTGCTCAGAACTAGAAGGTGCTGAGTTGGAAGATCAAGGTGGAGAAGGGACAGCGCTAACGCATTGGGAGAAACGTGTTTTTGAAGCGGAAGCTATGAGTGGCACACATTCGTCGCGACCGGTTTTTTCTCGAATAACTCTTGCTTTGATGGAAGATACCGGCTGGTACAAGGCGAACTACGAAATGGCATCAGATTTAACATGGGGGAAAAATCTCGGGTGTGACTTTGTTATGAAAAGTTGTAAATCGTGGATCACTTCCCATCACAATAAGTAAGAAAGTTTCTTAAATGATCATCAAAATGTTTTCCTTTCATTGCTTCATTTCAGCGGACGTTCCATTCATCCATTTTGTTCGAAAATCAAAAGAGATCCACTACAAACAGAATGTACTGATGACAGAAATTCTGTTGCTTTGTGCAATTTAGTTAAGCATGAATATCCACTGCCAAAAGAATATCAAAACTTTGATAGTTTGAATCACGTCCATGAAGATTTGGAGTACTATGGTGGGTCTGTGTCACTTGCTGATCATTGTCCGTACATTCAAGAGTTCACATGGAGAAGTAAAAACGTTGTTGTGAGAGGATCACAATGTAAATTCGAAGAGAACAATCCACATCATGAGAAGAATTTCGCACTTGAGAAATACGGTCGTGAATCGAAATGTTTTGAGCATTCCGAACGAATGTGGGAGGAAAGATCGTGTCAACAAACGAGAGAGTGGCAACATTGGGGTTCTGGTTGTTACACTTATTCTTGTTCGAATGGTAGACTTCACATTCACGTCAGCAATTACACATTCGAATGTTTTCATCCTGGTCAAGAACTCAACATAAGAATTCTCGAGAATAATTGGCTCCATCATGGTGCCATAATCTGTCCATCATGTCATGAACTTTGTGACAATTTCTTTGCTTCAACAACTGGTGAAACTTGCAAGACACCAGAGGAAGCTCCATCGAGTTACTTTTATCCTAAAGACAACTTAAGATGTCGTGCAAACGTTCTTACGCCAACTATTTTAATTCTCGTCGCTTTCACTTTTATTAGGCTTTAAATTATTTTTATTATTTGAAATTCTACTTCAAATTCATTCCATGTGCAAAGAACAAAAAGAAGATGTAAATGTGATAAATTATTCTTTATTGTATGTTTGTTTTTCATTAAGATTCCTTTATGTACAGTTCAATTGGTAAATGTGACGTCTTTTTATTATTTTTATCATTCAATTTATGGTTAAAAGGATCTCGTTGTGGAAATTTATCAATAATTATGCTTTACGATGTGTGACAGCTTCTTTGTTTATAAATGTCTAAATTTCTGTCTATCTCTTTGCCTAATTATTAATAATAAGTTAGAATAATTGTAGTAACCAAATAATGAAAAAGAAATAAAATATTTAAATTGATTCAAGAGTTACCACAGCATATGCTTGCACTAAATTAATTTTGTTTACTTCACTTTTATCTTTTCAAACAAAACGTTTTCAGAGAAAATAGAAATTTATATTGTTGAAAGCTCCATGAAAGCAAAGCTTTGATTTCAGTAACAAATGAAAGCTTTTAAAACTTTACAATTTCTTTTCTTTTACTGTACTGCGCGAACTAGTTGAAAGAAAGATTTCTCATGTTAATTTCTTTACTTTACCTTCTTCAGTTCTTTATCTAATTTGAAATAAATCAAAAGTCAAGAATAAATATCGAAAAGCTTAATTAACTTCTTTTTTCCATCTTCATCGCGTGTCGTTTTGCATCAAAGAAACTAATCAATGAGAAGCGCATTTCGAATGCCAATAACGACCTTTTGAGTCGACAAAGATGATTTCTGTGGTATTTGATTGTGAAAACAAAGAAACTAATTGTCAGATTCCTCAAACATTCGCAAGACTTAAATAACCGTTGAGATTGCTTAATGAATTTTTCTTTTTCTTCGAACTATCATTGAAAACAAATCAGATTCATGAAGGAATTTATTTTTGAGATATTTCGTTATATAATTCGCATGATGAAGATCAATTCGATTTAGATTGTTTGAAAATACTTGTATGTAAACATTTTTTCAGTTCTTTTTGTTCGTCAAACCTTTGTTGATCAGTAAACGACCTAGAAAGTTTCAAATCGAAGTGTTCGTCGGTTTTAAATCTTTCCATCTTCATGAAGATTTCTTCACTGTTTTTCCAATCGACTTTTGGAAGACGACATACGGATGCACTTTGTGAACTTGACGATTTTAAATTAATGACTTCATTTCTTGATGACGATGCAAGAGAGACGTGGGAAAATTGTGGCAAAATCTCGAAATTGCTATCGGATTCATCATCGCAATCTTCAGCTTTGTCACAATTCGAATGATTCAAATGACTAGCTTCGTTTCTTCTTTTGAATTCAGCACTTTCCGATTCTTCAAACACAATTTGTTTCTTTTGTGAAGATCCACATTTCAATGCCATTTTTAAAATTGTTTCTCTGATGCGATTAGAAATTTGGAAATTATTTCGATGCTAAAATGATGAGCCGTTAAAAAATTATGATCTCTGAACTTTTTTTTACTTCTTTAGTTGCTTTTTTGAAGATTTTAGCGAAATCAAGGGTTCCTGATGCCAAGTGGAATTTAAAGAGGCGTCGAAACACATTTTTTTAAAAAATGAAAGAAAGAAAGTTGTTTCAGAAAAATATTTTTTAAGAACTGTGAAGTGCGGACGTCTGTTTTGAATCTGATTCCTGTTTAAGTGTAAATTTATCAAGTCACCGAAACAAGTTTATATTTAAGAGAAAAGCTCCGAAAATATGAACTCAAATTAACAACTGTTGTGGTTGTAAGTTGATTGAGAACGATCATTCATCGAAATCCATTAGAAGTGACTTTTTGAAAGTGATACATGTGGCGACGTAATGTGTAAATATTTTTGAATTTTCTTGATCTCCTACTTAACTATCTACATATCTTGTTTAATTATAATTAAACTTGTATTAAAGCATTCATCTAATTTAAACTTTCGAGCTGCAATAAACAGCAAATGAATAAGTTGTTTATTCAAATTGAAATGAAGACGTTTCTAGGGCGAGTCTTAACATATTTTTTATATCATGACCATAAGAAAAGAAAATTATGATTGGATTGAAATCACCTGATGAATAGATAGGACTTGAAAATTGATTAGGAACATGTCAGTGCGAATAATTATTTATTATTGTGAAGTTTCTGCATTGCAAAATGCACGTGCTTCAGGTGTTTGAAGTTTACACGTAACACACTCAAATACTGTTTAATGTTAATCAAACATGATTCAACACATTGCACTTGATCCAAACAAAGAAAAGCTGTGCGTAAAAGTAAAAACCTTCTTGAACTATGACCCATTTCCTTGATTCACCTTCTCATCAAATTTCTCGGTCAAGATTTTCCATTTCTATAGAAATTTATGTACCGGAAATAATTAAACATTGAATTGGTTAAGTGAAATGTGAGCGAGTGTTTTTTATCTCTAAAATATCGCATGTGGCTTCTTGATTGTCAGCACACGATTTTACCTGAAAAAGTAACAAAACAAGTATTAAATGTAAAAGTTCCACGAAAACATGAATCTTATCCAGCATTTTTCTTTTAATTGAGATTCGACTTAAAACGAAACTTTTGAACCGGAAAACTCATTCAAAAAATTTTTTGTAGTCTTTTTTTCTGTTTTGCCTTCCGTCAATATCTATTTTGTTCGATTGTTTATGGATTTTCTGAAGAAACAAACAAAAAAAATGTGCAAATTTTGATATTTGAAGTAAAGGTCAATGACAATTAGAAATAAGCAGAAAAGACAATTGAAATCTCAATGGTTTTCAACAAAAAATACTTAACATAAAGACATGATTGAGATTAATGTTACAACGATGACTTTACAAGATTCTCTTCCGAAAAGTATTTTGTAAACCGTTTATGCTAATCATGAGAACTAAGGAAAATCGTTTTCTCTGGAAGAACAATGGATAGTGTGGTCATGTGTCGAGATAAAGATAAGCATACTCGTTGTTATTATTTACACTTCAAAATCTTGTACAATAAAAATATGATGCGGCATTTTTTATGTGTTAAACGCTTTAGGAAATTCGAAACACAACAAAGAGAAGATTGAATAAAGCATGGAAGTAAAATTCAAGATCACCTGTGAATGTTTTTAGCAGTCGCAGCCGGCGAATTTCTTCTCTTTTAGCAAGTAAATCCAAGTAAGAGAAGAAATTATAAAACTGAGAAATTCAGCTGCGCTTGTGTACCAAAACTTCCTCCATTTCTCTCCATACCTTTTCACTAGTTTAGTTAGTAAGTAATATGATGATAAACCCAAGCATCGCATCACATCAGTTTGATTTTGAACGCTGCCGGTGAAAGACGTGAAAGAAACAACTTTCTACCAAAAACGGTTAATAAATAAAAGAAAATAGGAAGAGAAAAAGAGTTGATAAAATATTCAATAAACGAAACTAGTCTTAGATAGATAAAAGAAGGTGAATAAGCAGTTTATAAAGTTTTTGTTTTTATTTGGAAGTTGACCAAATCTGTGGTTTTCGAATTTAATATGTAGACTAATTTGAAATTCTTATGCAAAGTTTCAATTTTAAAGCTTAAACTGGAGATGACAGACAATAAGATTTAAATTATGTGAATGATTTCGAGAGGAATTTGTTTAATTATATTTAAGATATGTTAAAGAAAATTCTTAGAAGACGAGAAAAGAAAAAGCAAATGAAAATGGAAGTGATAAACAAACACTTTCTATTTCTAGTCTTCGCAAAATATCAGCAAATTATTTAGAATGAGAAAGCGAATGAATAAATGATTGAGAATAATTAACCTGTAGTGACAAAGTCGACATCTTAGTCAACCGGATTTTCAACTTTCAATGCGCTGCAATCTCGTACAGAATAAAATGCGACAGTCAAGGACATTAGCACGTTTTCACTGTCACCACGATGCGGCCAGTGACTCACTGACCCACTTTTCTTCGTCCAACACTTGAGCACTCCCAAATGTGTTTAAAATATATAAGATGAGAGAGGAAGATAAAATAAACATTCAAACGAAAAGTATTTTATTTTATTTCATATTTTTTTTGTTGTAAAAGCACATAAAATATACGAGAGAAAAATGCGCAAATGTGGGTCAATAAACTTTTTCTTTTCGCCGAAGAAGATCTCTCATAAAGGAAAATGAAATAAAAAAATAAGTAGATATAATAATAAAACTACAAAAATTTGTTGAAACGTAATCGATGAATTGTTTGACGCGACGATGTCTTTGAAATGATTGTTTGCATGCCTTTCTTTTCTGCATCGTTAGAAATTATTGTTATAAGAAATTTCACTTAATTTTTAGAGTCATCTCTGGGGGCACTTTACGATATGAAGTCTTTGTGATGATCATCATCAAATTTTTCTTCTTATATTCTTCACCTATATCAGTCATAATTTGATTGCAATCGAAAGTAGAAAGAGTTGTTGCTAATAAAGAGTAATCTGCTTAATTTTTGGCATAGCTTTATGTGTGCCGCTGAAGCAACCAAGCTCACCTCTTCTTGATGATATTTTCTCACCTCAACAAGATTATCGTGACGGATTACGATTAATTGATGATTTTCTATGTTGTTGTCTATGTCAAATGAATCTTCGTTAACCTTCCTTGGCTAACATATTTTTAGAAACAAAAGATCAGATGAAGACACGATAAAGTTAATTTAAAAGAAAAGAAACTTTCCGGATAGTTTAAAGTCATCAACGAAAAATTTGTTTACATAAAAATTATTCCATCTGTGACGCATTAGAAATTTAATTTGCTATGAGAACAATTGATGTTGTTGCAAATTTATTCTGGAAAATTGGGATGAAAATTGCTTGAATGGGGATACTTGATGAAAGTTTCACCGACACTTTATTAAACAGTGAACTTATTTTCTTTACAGTTTTATTGTGTCGCTTAAATATTTAAGCCATCTTTGTGCATGTTGTGACCACTCTTCAATAATGAAATGCTAAAAAGAATTTAAATAGAGAAAAATTACGAAAGAACAAAAGAAATCAACTTCAAGTGCTATGTGAAGTAATAAAAGATACAAACAAACAAATTTACATTGAAAACCAATCACTAACAGGCACAACCTAGTGTGAAAAGAACTTTTTTCTAACTTTCAACTCACTTCGAAATGTTTCGAAGAACAAATCAAACATTCAAGAAAGCAACAATGAATAAATTCGTAGCAATTTGTTTATTAGCAGTGACTTTACAGTTAGTTTCATGTGACAATAACTCAACAATTGCACCACCTACAACACTAAGTGACTTGATAAAAAATGAAGTGAGTGATTATGTCGAGTTGCCGGCGAATTCTTCATCAGTGAAGAAGGAGAAGCCAAGTTATTCAACTGGTAATGAATTGTGGGACAAGCTAATACGCGATTGCTTAAAAAAGCCAACATTTTCGTGTATCCAAAAGAATGTTTACACTTATTTGGATACGACACTAAACCTAAATGATGTCAACGTTACGAAGCATGTCCAACTGACCCGCAATCAAGTGGATTATAAATTACCTGAAGTGCCACAAGATGAAGAAAATGAAATTTTCTTCGAAGGTCGAGGTGAGTTTGCTTGTAATTCGTCTTTACGCTTGATTTCGCTTATTTTGTTTAACAATCATGATTAACTGCTTTCCTTTAACCGGTCAAATTTAATATCTTTTATTGTATGCCAAATTAATTCACTCATAAGACACAGTTTCAGAAGATTTTAGCATTTCATTGTGTCTTTATTAAAGCACAGAATGTTGGAAAGAAGAAACTAAAAGTTACAGCACACCAAACGTTTACGGTCTTTGTTTCAGTTTTTTTTACCAACAACCGAAATTCTTTTGCGTAATAAATAAAAAATTTCTGCAGTTTCATGATGAATGAATTTAAATAACTAAATAAGTAACTGGTAGTGAAATAAATCTGAAACAGTTGTAAGGCACGAAGTTTAATTATATTATGTCCATATGTTTAAGCCTCGCCAATTGAAGAAGTTTCAACTGCTTTATACGACAAAGGGGTCAAGTTTTTAGTCACACATAACATGGACGTGAAACTTCCTGAAGTCATGTTCGATGGCGCTACATTCAGAATCTCACCAAGATCGATTGAGGGTAATGGAATAATAGCTAAACTCGAGTACATCCCAAACACAAAAGTAATTGAAAGCAGAAGCTCATCTGGCGATTCACGATTGTTTAAAATTAAAAAGAAGATCAGTAAGTGATTGTGTGTCAGAAGAATTATCGACTGGATAATTGAATTCTCAATTTTGTTTGAATCTATTACAGAGAAGTTTTTTAAGAACAAAATCTTACTCGCAGTTGTGGCCATCGTTTTGATCATCAAAATCATAAAGATTAAACTTTTCTGGCTGCTTCCATTGCTGGTAAGATTTTAAAGAGCTCAATGATGGCATAAATTTCGTTTCTTTTTTATGGTTGTAACAACATACAAAATTAGAGAATTTCTCATGGTTTCTGTTGTAACTAAAAGCATTTATTAACACAACGGTGTGACAAAAGACATCATTATGTTTTGCAAAGAAAGATCTTAAAGCCTTTTAAGTTATTAAGTAGACGTCTTAGATCAGAAACTGATTTTTATGTCACTCATTCATCTGAAACTTATACGTTGTAACTAAAACCTCTAAAATATCTACTAAAATTATTTTATATATTTCTCATTCATTATTTAGGTTGGAGTTGGAACGGCAAAAAAACTTGTTTTGAAATTCCTTCTCTTTTTGTTCCCAGCATTATCACACGTAAATAATCTTTCAATCAAAATATGTTTTGAAATTATTTCAAGCATTAATTTTTCACTGTTGACAATTTCAGGTCTTTAAATTGTGCGGACATTATCAAGCCCATCAACATAAGACCAACTACCATCATCACAAACACAACATCAAACATCTTCATACGGTATTTTTACATTTTACTTTCAATTTTTCCTTTTCTTTTGTTTTTGATTTATAGTCTGAATAATTATTTAATGGGAGCATTTATCCACTTACATGTCTTTATTATATGTAGGTCTTGTATGATGACCATCACCATGGACATGGTCATGACGATGGTATTCATCATATCAAGGAGTTCATCCATTCGAAGCCTCCAAAGGGCCACATATCTGAATATCTTCACAGGTGAGATCATAAACCGAAAGTAACGTTAGATAAACAACATTAATTAGTGAAACTAAAATTTTTTTACTTATTTTTAAAAGTTTTTGGGATTTGATTGTTTAAAATTAGTTTGAATGACATTTTGGAAAACTAATAGAGTTGATAATTAACATTTACAGTGCTCCCGTTCCGCCTCATCTGAGTTACCAACCAGATGACGATTGGACTTTTAGTGGGCCAGGACTTGGCTCAGAGTGAGTCATTTGCTTGCTTGTTTAGCAATGCTTTTTTTTATTTTCTGTGCACAAACACGTTACCTGCCTGCTTTTGGATTGAATTTCTTTTCATTTATATGTTCACCTTTTCTAACTCCGCACAAAATTCAAATCATTTTCCTTACTGAACGAAGTTTTGCTATGTGACGTCACATGGAGAAAGAACAAAATTATAAAATTTCCATAACTTTATGAATTTTGGAAACACGAAAATATTTTGGATGTTTAATGTGACTAAACATGAATTTCATTCCCACCAACTATGCACTTTGTTTATGTTATTTCGTTTGTTAATTAACTTAATGAATTTCATCATAAAATCATCACAAATGTGCCACCGTGCTTAGGTTCATTGCGGGTATCAATGATAGAAAATCGATGGATGATACAAATAAAATTGCGCCATGGGGTTTGGCTCATCCATATCATGGCATTGTGCCACCAACATCTCATCAAAACGCTTTTCCACCTACATCTCATAGTTTTAATGTAAATCCACTGTTTCTTAAGAAGATTAGGTAGGTGAAAATATTCGGCGGTCGTTCATTCATGCACAAACATTCACCACACAAATATTTCACAAAAAGCACCAAATTTATTTTGTTCGACACACGATGATTGTGATTCTAATTTCACACTTGCATGACAAGAAACTCTTTCTTTTTTTGTGTGTTCAAATTCAAAATCAAACAAATGAAGTTATTTATTGGAAGGATTTTTATTTTCTCACAATGGCCAACACTTTATTACTTGAACCATCGAAAATTTCTCTTGTCAATGTTTTCATTCTTCAAAACCGCTTTCAGATATATTTTTGATAGAAATTATTTTTACAAAATTATTAACCGCATTTGGATATTATGAAAGCTTTGAATGAAAATTTGCTTATGAGTACTAACAGCAACTAATTCCATAACCATAATTGATGCTTTTGATACATTTTATTATTTTTAGATTTATAATTACATTAATTTAATTTATCACACATTACAAGACTCTTATTTTAAAATTTTTCATACAAAACCATTCGACATCATTAACCTGAAGTTAATTTCCGTAAACTTTCATGTTGATCTTAATTTCACGCTCTTTTAACTGATCTTTTTATTTATTACAAACTTGACCAAAAAACAGAACTTGATATTGAAATTTAAAACGAGTTAAGTAACTTGGAGGTTTTCCTTTCTAATTAGGACATTTAAGATCTTGAGCGACACATGAAAATACGAGAGTAGTTTTTCAACTTTCGCATTGAAGAATTTAATCATCATAACATTAAATTTTCGATAAATCAACCAGCAAACCTTCACATTTTTGTCTGCAGAAAATAATTTCATAAATTCTTTTATTTCTCGTTTTAATTAAATAAATATTTAGAGCGGATAAGAAGTCGGCAATTCAGAATCATCTGGGACCATCATCGCCAAACTTTAATGGACAACATTTAGCTTTTGGAGGGCACCAACCATCTTATGGCCCACCACAACATTCCCCTGGAATTCCTTATGGTGTACCACAACAAAGAATCTCAGGATCAGCTTCGCAATTAAATCCACAATACATCAACTCTCCACCAATCGACAGCAATTTGGTATGTTTAAAATTTAATCACTTACCTAGTAATCAAAACTTAAAAAGCAAAAAAGAAATCAACTTCATCAATTTGCCTACATTCCATTCCATAAGTATCTAAAAATAAATATCTAAGGTTCGGCTTCATTCGCAAATTAAAATGTACTCATAATACAAAATAACATATCGCACATTTCACCCTATCTAAGTAACAGTTCTTTTCGCCAATTCAATTTGCATTACGATCAGTCATCGTTTTCACTCTCAAACCATAAATGCTTGTATTGAATGAAATAAATATCCATACATACGTTCATTGAATCTCATCTTAACTAGTGCTTACGGAAACGAATAAGAAATCGTGTCTCGGCATACTTTTACTCATTCGTTGTTTTCGGAGTTGTTGAGAAAGAGAAAGAGAAGAAAAGAAGACTCAACAAAAATTGTACATTCCATTTTATTCTTGAAACTTTTTTATTTTAATTTACTGACAGAGTACGCACTTATAGGGCTTCTCGATGTCAAGTGAATGTTGTTCAACAACTTTTATTATTTCTCGTGACATGACAAGTCCAATTCCACTAATTTTCATTATCTTTGACTGATTTGATATTTGGCGCAGGAACTAAGAGCTTATTTACTTTCAGATTTCTTTCTTCTTCTCTCACGCTTCTTTTTATTAGCGATATAAGAACTCAATGTGAATGCCTTCAATTAACGCGGTAAAAAGAAAAACACATCAAAGTGGAACTCACAATGTAAATAAATTAAAAAGCGCATCAAGTGAAATGTGATGTTTCTTAAATGCATTTCATTCTCAACTTAACACCAACTTGTCGTCATTTAAAAATCTTAAATTGCAATTTTATAATTCAAAAGCGTAAAATCAAATTGAAAACCGCATGAATGAAGTTGGCGATAGAAGTAAAAGCCTCAAGACACAATCTTAGAAATTGTTTGCATGTTAAATTGCAGACTTTACACGTTCACATCATTAAATGAGAATGAAACTCTCTGTTTCTATTAGAAATGTTACATAATTCTTGCTTCGACAATAAGAAGTGTGTTAAATGAAAATTACTATCTTTCACTTTCTTGTTTCATGTTTCAGATCAAAGCACAACGTCAAGAGGCTTTGCGAATACAGAAGGAACAACAGTTAATTGCCAAGCAACAATCAATGCTTAGTAAGCAACCTTTTGTATCGGATGTTGAGGTGAAGAACTTTTTTTAGAAAATTGTAAAATCATTTCTAATAATACTTTTTTCTGCATGATTTCTCTTTAGCCAATTACACCGAAGTTAATCGATCCATTCTATAGTCCGATTCTAAGTAAACTCGATCAAGTGTTTTATCAACTTGGATATCCCGACGAGCCTTGCAGAGAACGTTTAGTTTGCAACATGTACAAAACACCAACCAGATATAGTCCACATAGTAATTACGTATCAGCTGAACTAAGCCGGTAATTTCATACTTTAATTTTCAAATAATTACACGCTTTAAACATTCAATTACAATTTTTCGTCTAGTGACTCATCTGAACTTCAAAAACCTGCAGAGACTAATGTGGCAGTTGTTCGTTTCTACAAATACGTTCAAGCAGCGAGAGACGGACAAGAACAAACCGATTGTGCAAGCATTTATCCATGCAATTTGCCAACGAAAAAGTAATTCAGGAAGTTTAAGAAACAGTTGTACGAGAAATAAAAATGATTGGGAAAGTTCACATGCTGGGTGAAAAGTTCAAAAAGCATTATTTCATCTCGTAAGATTTAAGATTTCAAGCTTTGTAAATAAGGCATAATTATTTATTATCTAACACGACGAATTTTTATTTATTTATTTATTTAATTTAAATTATGATATGAAGTTACTCAACATGTGAACAATCCCCAATAATTTATTAATTACTGATCAATGAAATGAGAATTTAGAAATAAATCTTTGAACAATTTTGTTAAGCTCTCTTAAACTAATTCAAGAACAATTAGCAGAAGAAGTCGTAAGATTATTTATTTCTTTCTGTTTCTCGAGACTGAGTTGGTCGAGAAAAACTTGTTAAAGTCGTTAATGCTTCATAAAGTGTTATGATTTGATGTATAGCACCGAGCATGTGTTTAAACAGTTAAATATTTAAATATCCGAAAAAGAAAAGAGAAATTGATGATCACATGGTTGAAGCATAGCGACTTGTACTGATTTGAAATTTGATTTGTGTTGCCAATTAAAGGTTCGCATTGCAATGAGTGTTTAAAGTTAAGACTTAAATGACCACATAGACGAGGAAAAAGGAAAGGAAATGAAATGTTTTATTACTTTAGATAGAATTTGTGCGATTACGACAAAATGATTAAAATTATTTCATCAGCAAATTTTGTATTCGCACAAATCTACTAATTTTACTGCTACCTCTTAAGACATTGAATAGTATCGAGAATCACCGTAAAACTCTTTTAATTTTGTTCATACACAATTTTACTTTCTTTCACTTCCTTCCTTCGATCAATGAATTAGCCTCCTAGCGAGGTGAAAAGTAGGTTCAATCAATAGGTTAGTAAAACTTCAGCACGCAATCATTTTAAAGAATTAGGAAAACAGTACGATTAGTTATCGGGTATTTATTGCTTTCATCACGAGAGCTTAACGTTAAGTTTGGTTTGAGTCAGTTTTGAATGAAGAATTATTAGGAATTTAATACAATTAATAAAATAATGATGAATTATTTCCAACTTTGTGTGCTCCATTTGTAATTCTTTCTATTAAATAAATAGTGCATCTAATAAAAAGAAATTAATATAGAACATATCAAGTTTTTATTACTTCTTAATCATCGTATGATTTGAACATGAACATTAGCACGTTATTTCAATTAATTTTCATGCGTGTTTAATTCGATTCCAAAGTACGAAAGCTTTGCACATCTCGCATGCTTTATTTTGACTTTAATTTAAAGTCACAGCAGTTGAATTCAAGAATTTCCCGACACAATTGTGAAAGCAAGGGATTTCTAATGCATTCCGAGATATTGTCTTGACATCTCAGAAAAATGATGTTAATCCATCTTCACGTTCGACAATCTGATCACTTCAAACATTGAAGTTAATCAAACGACAGTTTCTCTTTAAGACTTTAAATTACTTAAACTATTTTACAATTTAATCAAGCGAGTGTAAAGCCCTTGGAATTTATTTATGACTTTAAATAGACTCTGATTCAAAGCATTATGAACTACAAAAAGAGATCTGTCGACAAGTTTGACAGAATCATGAAAATACTTCCGGTAATCTTGAAGAAAACTTTAAGTTGTTTTGTCAATGAGAAATCCCTTTTCATCGTCTTCAATTTCGCGTTTAGCTGTATTTAACTCACATAAAAGAATCATCAACAGCTATGGTAAGAAATGGACTTGATTCCATTTCTGTTTTCATAGTAAATTGAAAGAAGAATTTCGGTGTACAAACGACCGTCACGTGGAACAAGTTCAACATCATTTTAACATTTGTTTTGTGTGTTGACTTTTTTAACACAAATTTTCTATTTACAAGAGAAAAAAATGAATGAACATGATCATTCCAAAAGATTAAACATTGTGAACATAAAAATTTAAATTGAACTTTATCATCAAATGCCATCGTTTCAATTTCAACTTCATTTGTCTTTCAAGACACGTAATTAAAGTGGATAGTCGAAGAAGTTAAGTGAGAAATTTTCTTGTCAATTTGTGTCCAATATAAAATTAAAAGTGAAAAAAATTAAATTCGTTAATGTTCGCGTAAATTTATACACAAGCATAGGCTGGTGTAGTTCACATTCAACTGTCCCCACATACAGGAAAGAAAACCGTCAACAATACACAACATTAGCACAATATGCAAATCAATTATCAATTTTCTTTAAGCAATATAAAAAGCTTTGTTGATAAATCGCACCAATTCATTTTAAGTGAGTTACCCGCGGTGTCAACTTTTAGTGACTTAGACAATTAATTAAAAAGAAAATGAGAAAATTGTTTCTAGCATTATGCTTGGTGACCGTGTGTTATCAATCAGTGTATGCTGATGAACTTTCCGCAACTCAACTCATCAATGATATCTACAAATCATGTCTCAGTCAATATTCAACGAGTTGTGTTAAACCAAAAGCTTTAGCATGGATCAGCCATGCAGTGAATCAAGACACAATTAAAATCAACGGAGAATTATCAATCATAAGAACAGGAGAAGATGAATTTCAACCTGAAGAACGTTCAATTAATCCAGCAGTTCATCTTTTTGATAAAGTTGACAGTTTCTTATCATCACATTCACTGAGAATTGAAGTTCCACAAATCTTGAAGAACAATGAAGCACGCGCTTACATTCCAGAGACATTCTTAACTGGTGGCTTAGCTCAAGGACTTCAGGTTCCATTAGTTGAAGGAAATGTTGTTGAAGGTAAATAAAATTAACATTTCACTTCCCTAAATCATTTACTTCAAATCTTTTTTGTTTCCCTAATAGGTCGTGGTTTCGTTAAGAAAGTGATGATTCCATTTTTACTTGGCTTGAAGTTCAAGACCACAGTTCTTGTTCCATTAGCATTAGCCTTGATTGCATTGAAAACATGGAAAGCAATGACACTTGGACTCCTCTCACTTGTCATGACTGGCGCTATGGTCATCTTTAAATTCGCTAAACCAAAGATTGTCAACTATGAAGTTGTTCACTACCCTCATCCAATTGAACATGTTCATGCTCATCCACCACCACCCCATGCACATCCAATCGTGTTCGAACCAACACCCGGCTGGGCTAGAAAATTTGATTCACAAAATGTTGCATACAAAGCATATTTGTAAATCTTGAGACAATCATTTTGTACATTAATTTATTTATTTATGACGGCTTCTGTGTTCCAAATAGAAATAAAACTTTATTTTCAAATGAATGTTGTTGGTTTAATGCTTCATCATATTGCGGTTGAATACATTCAGCTGATGTGCAAGCTGTTATATAACGTTATGTTTAGATACATATCTGCATGTTACTAAACACATAAACAAATCTTTATGATGTATTGTGCTACTGAAATTCATCTCTCATTTGATCTGAAGTTCATCTGTGAAAACTCATTTAGATTATTGCAATAATATCTTCATTCTCTTCCTTTTCTATGTTGCAGCATATATTTTTTTATATAGAAACTTAACAGTCACTTAAGCATAAAAACTATGTCGCAAAATCCAATTAGATGTGAACATTGTGAATAATTTTCCGCTTTGAGATGAGATTTTTTATCATTTTCTGTTTCTTGCATGGGAAAGCTGATAGATCAAGGCTGACCAGATTTGATTAGATACAAAAATCAATAAAGATAAAGAAAAGTAAAATCAAATTCACACGTCTGTAAATTTAGAAACTTATTGAACTGTTAATTATGGACTAAGGATCTGAATGAAAACATTTTCACATTCATTGACAATTCATTCGTGTCACAACGGTTTTGGTGCAGTGAAATTTATCGTCACGAAACGTGATTTATTTCAGTAATGAATAAATTCCATTTCAAAGAAGTTATTTAGATTAAATTCTGTCAGAAGTCGTGAAGAAAGTAAAACAACCAAAATAAATGTTTTCGCGACAGTAAATCGGTCGATTGATCGGAAGTCAAAAATACATACGAAGAACAAACGAACATAAATAAAGTGGTAAGTGAAGAAGACACAAATATCACCACTGGTGGGTGTTGGTCATTAGCATTTCGTATAAAAAGTGACTACCATTAATTTCAATTTATCAGTCGTTATCGCTTAAGCACAGTGAAGACAGTTTCGCGTAATCATATCAAATCAAATTTGCGAAATAAAAAAAGCGCTTGAATATGACTCGGAGAGTGATTTTATGTTTGGTTGTTGTGATGGCTGTTTCAGGTGGGTTCGTCCAATCGAATCCCGCTAAACCAGCATTCTGGAAAGGCACACCAGTAGCTGGTCTTGTCGATGAGATGCGTTCAATGTGCAATGAAGAAAATGATTCATTTGCATGTATGAAGCTTAAAGTGATGACTTTCCTAGACACAATTATCAAGAAAGACAACTATAAGATCACGGAAGATGTTGAAGTAAGACACAACGGATATTCACCAGCCAACGAACAAAGAAGCGACAAGGATATTTTAGAAAAGGTCGAAGATTACGTTCAAAGTCATGATGTGACAGTTAATGTCCCAACTGTTGGTGCTAAAGTTACAATCTCACCTAAAAGTTTGAACGACGATGAATTCAACGTCAATGTCAAGTTCACAAATGGCGCTCGCAGTGTCGATGAAGGCAAGGCTCATAAACATTTAATTCAATTAATCTCAATTATTAATTCAATTACAATTACTTCACAGCTCGTAAATCTAAATTGAAGAAACTTTTCATTCCTCTCTTCGTGTTTGTACTTCTGAAAGCAATGACATTGATTCCACTTGCTTTGGGTGTTCTCGGTCTTAAAGCTTGGAATGCACTTCAATTATCGTTCTTCTCATTCATCACCGCTTTCTCTCTCGCTATTTTCCAACTATGCAAGAAGGTAAATATTAATAATTAACTTGAAGTTTCTGTGATAATTTATAACATTTTTATTAGCTTGCTGCTGACAGTCATCATCCACAAATCGCTGCCCATGGACCATGGGATCATGGACGTAGTATTAGCGAAAAACCATCAAGCGAAGGACAAAACATGGCTTACAATGCTTATGTTTAAAACTAAACAAGAACATAAATTGAGCTGATGTAGATACATGAATTGTAGATTAGATTTGGACAATGAAATTAATTTATTTAATTTATAAATGCAACAATAAAAAGAATTGAAATGAAAATTAAACTATTTTTGTTATGATTATTGATTGTTATGAGAATAAAAAATGCTTTCAATATGGAATTAATTGATACCTAATTATGTTGTTGTTGATATTCTTTTATGTAAAGCCTCAAGATGGAAAATATTTCTCGGATAAAATTGATATCAGATAACTTCTGATTTGTTATCATTAAACAACTTTGTTGTCTTCGCTATAATCAATTTAAATGTTAATGATATTAACAATTTGATACAATTACAATATGCTTAAGTGTCACGCGATACATTATCATGAACATGTTTCAGTTAACTTTCAGAAATTTTCAGTTTTTCATTAGGAAAAGTTTTTTGGAAAATCAAATTATGTTTGCTGCTCCAAAAATTTCATATTCAACGCTTACCTTTCTCGATTTGTGGATCCATATTAAGACATAATAATAGCGGATTCTTTACAAATATCCGCATGCAAATTGTTTTCAATGGAAAAAAGAAGCAATTGAAGAAGCAAAAGTATTCAAAATATTTGACTTTCGAAGCTTGCATTGTTCGATGTGATGATGGATGGATTTTACATCATTAAATATCCACTAAGTAGCTGCTCATTACCAACACCTCAATCTCTTTCTGTTATCATTTAAAACTTTCAATCTTTAAATTCTTTTCTTAACCGCATTTCATACCCACAACATGCTGAAAACAAAACTTTTCGCCTCATGTCCAGAATATTAATCAATGAATTTCTAATGTAAACCGGATCGCATTACTAATACGACAAAAACGACAAAAAATTGAATTGTTCCGCAACAAGGAAAGGAGAAAAACTTTAAGTAATTTCTCTCGCCCCCAATGAAGAAGCGAAACGAAAGAAATATTCGGCCTGATAACCCATTCGGTCGTTGTTGTAGATATTCAAAATAAAGACGACACAACGTTGAAATAAAAATTCAAGGGAGCGGTGGTATAAAATAACGAACTGAAAGCAATTTCATATCATAATCAGATTGTTAATTAAGCAGTGCATGTGTGTGGATTAAATTGTCACCCGCTTCGAAAGTTACTTTAAGAATTTCTGACTTCGATTCTGAATTTAAGAATCAACGAAAGAGAAATGTATCGAATTCTAACGATTGGATTATTTGTTGTGACGGTGGTGCATGGTGCAGCGATCTCAAACGATATTACAGAAACGCCGCGAATTCACACCAGCGAACAGCTTATTTCAGCAATCTTTAATGATTGCTTCGAGATGAATGGCATGTCGTGTCTGAAAGGAAAAGTTCTGACCTACTTGGATACCGTTCTCGGTTATAAAGTCGAGCAGTCTCGTGCATTTGACGAGAAAAACGTCGACAAAGTGATTTATGATCGCGTCTCAAGAATTTTAGCTACAAACGAAATTCGAGTGAAATTACCTAAAATTATTTTCGGTGATGTTGATGTCACGTATCGTGCTGATCGTGGAGTTGATTTTGAAGTAATTGAAGACTCACAAGAAGGTGCGCTTTCTTTCAAACTAAATTGTACTTAAACTTTCAAAAATTGATGAATTAATGGTCGTAATTTACTTTACAGAATCTCGTGGCTTATTAAAGAAGAAACTTCTCTTCCCTGTTCTTCTTCTACTTAAACTTAAAATGAAAGCCTTAATGCCAATCTTTGTTGCAATCATTGGATTGAAAGCTATGAAAGCTCTCATTCTTTCGAAATTGGCCATCACGATTGTTCTCGGCTTTTTAATTTCTCAATTGGTGAAGAAAACTGGTCTTGGAATGCCAATGTCAATGATGCCAATGATGAATGGAATGGCAGGAATGGCAGGAATGCAAGAACCTGCAATGAATTATGGACCACCAACTACGCCAGCAGCACCTGACTCTTCTTACGGCCCAGCAGCATGGGAGCCTTCAAGTTCAGGTTCATCATACTCTCGTGTTTGGGAACCTTCTGCATCTTCGTCCTCCCATAACTTAGCTTACAGTTCATACTATCCAAGTGCTCCATCTTCAAGCTCTTACACTTCTAATGGTTCTTCATCAGGAGCAAGCTCTTCATCATCAGCATCATCAGCTCAAACAGCAACAGCAACAGCTTACTAAACGATAAAACCTTCGATACCAAAATGTTCTCCATTTTCAACAAACAATTTATTTATTTTCGGAATAAAGTCATTTTAATTTATTGAAATAAAAGTTGATTAAATGGAAATTCCTTCAAGCTTTTCTGAAAATTCATGTCGTCGATAGAAAAATTTAATTTTTTTTTTTAATATTTTTTTATTGGTTCCAAATTGGATTTCAAAAAGTTCAACTTTTCGTATTATTCTCTTTAAAACATTGTTTTACTTTTTAAACAAATCATCGCCAAAAAGTCGCTTGTCTCGCTCTTTACTGTTTTTTTTAATTTTATTTAATTTTCATTTATTATCAACGCGCTATAAGTCCACATGAATCTTTTGCTCGCTTTTTGTTAAGTATTTAAATATGTTTCTTCATCAACAACAAAACTTCATTCTTTTGCTTTTAATTGTAAGGCGTAAATTACCTATAAAGGGTTAACAACCGCTTACTATCCGATATTTAAATTAATTTTTAGTAAAATCTCTTAAAACTCTCATGTATCAACTCATAAGGATGAAGCAAAATGAAAATGATAAATTTGCGTTTTCACCCTCTAAAGAAGAATTAAAACTTTAACAATATTCTTTGTCCCTATTTAGGTAATAATAAAAAGAAAAGTTTATCTACACAAGAAAAATAAAAAAGGAGTCAATTATTTAGGTACGAGAAAAGGGTGATTAACGTTCATAGATTATGAATAAGAGTAAGAAAAGTTATTGCAAATATAAATTGAAAAGACCGCTAAGTTAATCAACAAAATATCTACAATTTATTTATTTATCTCTCTGCATTTAATGTCAATGAACTTACATTTGTGTATGATTTGTGATTGTTCTAAATTCAACGAGATATTTAGACTCAAAGAAAAAGGATTTTTGCTTTTCACACGAAACAAAATTTTTTTTATTATTTTTTTAAGAATTGTTGATTGCGATTCCTACTAAAGATTAGATAATGAAATATTCGTGATTTTCGTCTGTTTCATTTCAATCTTCATTTATTTTCTTTTTTTTCACATCTCAGGAAATAAAAAAAAAACAAGAAAAATCATTCAGATGTCATTTAATTGGTTACACTAAGTTTCAAAGGTGGTTAACTTTTATTTTTTTTAATGATATAATTGTGATTTGTTTTTATCCATTCACTTCATGATAAGGATGGGATAACATTCTATATCGTCATCAATTGGTTTTCTTTCTTGTATTTAAATTAACACAATGTTCTTTTCACAAACGAAAACGAATAATGAATTCAAATTGAATGCTTCTCATTAATGGTGATAAGAAATTGTTTTACGTTGTAGATGTCATTTTATTGATTGATTGATTTTATTTCTTTTAATTATTGATTTGTTTCGAAAGAGTTCTTGTTCTTAATGCCATTTGTCAACAACTACCTCGTTAACTATTTAAGAAAAGAGAAAAAATAAATAAGAAAAGAAAAATAGTAAAAATTAAAAATAGTTTTCTTTAAATTGTTTAAAGATTACGACATAAAAATCTAATTTAATTTATTTATAATCAGTGCTAAAATATTTTCTCTGTTTTGTCTCATAGAATCAGAGAATCACATAAATTAGCACCGAATTTGTGTTAGATAGTCGAAAAACTATTTAGCTAAACTAGGATTGTTAAGGATTTCTATTCTATTACATCGAATAGTAGAATTTGTTTGGATTTACTTTCGGATGATGCCAAGTTTTGACGATTTATTTGGTTGATTGTGGTTGGTATGAGTGGAAGTTAGATTAGTTGGTGGTCTCGAATTGTTTGTCTTCGATTTGATCGAAAACATTTTTAAGTTTAATATTAAATCCAATAAATTAAGGATAACCAAGATGATAAATTCTGATGATCCACTGGGCTATGTTGTTTCAACCTATGATGTTTGATTTTTGGTTTGGTTTGTTTGGTAAATGTTTTAAATGGCAGTAGGGACATTCATCTTTATATTTTTGTAGGAAGCTTAATATTTGGTTGATTAATGAAAATCGGGATTACCTTGGAGAGTGAAAATAAAAAATAAAATAAAATTTCCGAGGGTAATGCAAAAGGAAAATTTCGATAAGACAAACAAAAATTACCGGAAAGCATTTTTCTTTCATATCAAAGAAAGCAGATTTGTTGTTGCGCGGATACTTACTCAACTTTCATCTCACACATCATGCAAAACAAAGCTTTGTTATCATTTCATGACTGTCTCTACGATTGTTGTTGTTAATCGATATGATGATATGATAAATGCATTCAGCAACCTTTCACTTAAGGTACTTGAATTATGAAAATATATGTAAAAATGCGGAATGGTAAAAGCTCTGTAAAGTTAAAGGTTTCAAAGCTTAATTATCATCTTAAAATAATGTTAATAAAAATGCGAATTTATGGATTCTTTTTTTATATATTTTTTTCTTTCATTTTATGTTAATGTTCTCACTGATTTTTTTGTTTTATTTTCAACGAAATGAAAAACTCATTAACTGACTGACGCTTTTAAATTGGCAATTGCAATTATTGGGTATAAAAATGTCCAACTGCTAAAATTTTTCTCCTTTCATCAGTTCTAATATTTGTTTTAATCGAAATAAGTCGTTATGGTGTTATCATGGCCTAGATTACGTCACTAGGCTAATTTAAACATTGAAGAATGTACTTATTTATTCCATCTATGATATTTTTAATATTTTCTTCTATTTACTGTGGGAAATTCGTTCAGATTTATCTGTGACGTATTGGATTGGAAATATCTAGAAATTTCACCTAACGACACTAACGACATCTTTATGTGAATCTTTTATGTACAAACGAAAAGAAAAATAAATCAGTTGTTCATTTAAAATTTCAGCTAAGGAAATTTTTTATGCAATTGTAATAATTGTCTACACTTGTTTATGTTTTTGTTTACGAATTAAATAAAGTACCTTTCAATAGTATGTATAATTAGTTAAAGACAAAACCTAAGTTGGTAAATTGATTGAACAACGATTTGAAAGCATGAAACTTGAAACTCTAAGACAATTAGTTATTCATGTCCTTTTCGTGAACAAAATATCCACACGAATTTCAAACCCACTGAGTGTGAAATATCTACATTCAAATCATATTTAGTAGTCATTAGATTATAATAGTGAAATTTATCGACAATATTTATTCAATTCAAGAATCCTCTAACTAGAAAATTTATTTTAAAAGTGCAGAAATATCTAGGAAAGTTTTTTTTTCTTTTTGTATATTTTCACAACTCCCCGAATTTGATTTGCTCTTTATTTGATTCCTATCATAGGAAATTCAGCATATCTTCATTGACAGTAAATGCCTCTGCTGAAAAGATCAGAATTCAGTTAAATACGGCGGATCTGATTAAAAGTAAAGTAAAGACGATTTAATCACTTTCATTAATTTTTTTCGCTTTTCTCTCAACAAATTTCCGACTTTTTCTTCACAGGCACTTTTCACAATTAACTAAGAGTACAAAAAAAATCTTCATTTTGCAATAATTCTCAAAAGTGCTATCGATTCTTTTTCTCTAATCAGATTTGTTCATTTCTCTTTAATTTATTTCCCATGTCAAAGCAGAAGCTTCAAAAATTCTTAACTAGATTTTAATTTACCCAAAAAAAGAGCGAAAAAACGCAAGTGAGAAATTTATTACGATCTAGACATGATTTTATTCTGCTACGCGTTAATTGTATAATTTACTTCAATCTATTTTCCTAGCTCATAGTTATTTATTGCAATTTATTCATTTTATATCAACAAGTTCTATATGTACACCTTTAATGGGCCTAAACTAGAACTTCGTTACTTTAAACTATCTCTGATATTTATTGATGTTTTTGAAACGTGATTCGGGGGTGGGGGTGGTGGTTGAAGATGCTTAATATTTGCATAATAATTTTTTTTAAATTAATTTCACGATCTATTAAAACGAGATTTCGTCAAAAAGCGAAAGAATGAAAAAGTAAATTAAATAACGAAAATTCGTTGATAAGAGTCAAGAAATTGAGGCTGAGAAGTCGTCAAATGAAATTTACTTTTTTTAAACAACTTTAAGTTATTAAAAATACCACTTAGATAGGTTAAATGCATTTCAGCTTAACCACACAACCGAAACATAAAAGATAAATTAGAATGAAGTCCTTTAAAGTTTTTTTTTCTCCCTAAATATCTCAACTTATTTAATTACCATGCTGAGTCTTCTTATAACTAGATTTTCATTTAAATATTATATGACTATTAAGTTATGTGTTTGTGTGTGTATGTTTTATTTTTTGTGTAAAGTTTAATTTATCTGTTTTATTCAATTACTAGTCGCGATTTCTATTTATTTATTATCATAAAACATTTTCAATTGTTTCAAAAACTAAACCCAAAAAGAATAATGAAATTATAAAATTGCTACTTTAATTATTTTGATTTTTTTCTATTGAGATTTTTCTCTCGATTAGAGCGCATGGAAAATGATGTCACTTCCTGTTACTGCAACAACGCATTGTCTTTAATCTAATTACTTTAAATGTCTTCTATTAAAATTCATCTGTTTTCTTTTTATTGTTATTGTTAGTACAATTATCAACACTGCAAATTTTTAATTTCTTGACTTTTGTTATTGATGAACGTTGTTGGGGTAGAAAAAGGTAAAAAAAAATCCTTTGCTCAACAGTTGTTTAATGTGAAATATCAAAATAAATAAAATTGAAGCATAAACTTGATAAATCACTAAATAATCTACGTTAATATCGAAAAGAAATGTCAAAGTCTCGCTTTGAATGTTAAGCGAAGAAAAGCAACTTTCGATAACATTCAAGAGACGAAATTTTAAAGATTAAAATTCGACACACGTTGATGATCTCAATCAATTTCAAGCTCAACTTTTAGTATTTAAACAATAAAAATATAAAATTGCTTCATAAAAATATTGAAGTTCTCAAACATACAAATTAAATGAAAAAAAAAATTAAAGCTTTCAAAGAAAAATCGAAAAGAAAACAAAAATTTAAATTAGGAGAAAAAAAATTGAAACCAAAATAAATTGACTTAAAAACAAACTAAGTATGAAAGTTGTTGGTTTTAAATTTGTTTAATAAGCTAAATTATTAACTAAGAATTAATTTCTCTGTGGCGGGGTGTCCATCTCGGTTATTAATCTTTTCTCCTTCTAAATATTTAATTTAATTATTTATGATTCACATTTTGTATCAATTTACGGATCATAATAATTAATTAATTTTTTCTATCTTTCACACTCTCTCGCTTGGATTTTGTTTCTGGTTTTTGTTTACTTTTTATTTTTATGTTTACAATGGACCCCAAATTATTAAACCAAAGAACACTGCCCACGCTAACACCAAACCATGAATGGTTTTTATAAAACTCTCACCATCTGAAATTCTTCTTGCGACGAACTTCAATGTCTCGTCCAGCAGGATGACTGGAATTGAGAATTTCATCACAGTGACCCATTCATCAACACCCAACGGAGTCACTTGGAAAACACCCTAAACAGAAAGAAGTTTAAGTTAATTAATGATTCAAAACTTGATAAATTTCCATCTTACAGAAAGGACTTCAACGTATAAGATGACGAAGTGAAGGGCGAATGATAAGCACATTGATCCAACCAACCACATGTTGGTCCATGGTGGCATAGCAACAAGTGATTGATTTTCTGACAAACTGTTTAAATATTAAATTTATTAATCAAATTAAGAGATTTAAAATATCAACAAACCTGTTCATTGCATTCAACATTTCAATTGTTACAAGAACTGAAAGTGCCATTGTCATTGGATGTGGATCAAGGAAGACTTTGCAGTCAACACCTTTGAAGTCATCACCACCACCAAGACATTGCATGTGATGAGATAATTGCCAGAAGCTAAGTTGGGGTCCAGTTTCAGAATACATGAACCACCAAGCAGCTCCACCAACAGTAGCGGCACCGACATATCCACCAATAGCCATGTAACTATAAATTAAAATTACTTTCTTATAATTTTCTCAATAAACTTTTTTCAATGACTTACCGGAAGAACAACCATCCAGAAATGAGACCTTCATCAGCTCTACGAGGTGGCTTTGTCATGATGTCCAAGTCAGGTGGATTGAAACCTAAAGCGGTGGCGGGAAGACCATCAGTGACCTGAATTAAAGAAGAATTAAAATTAATCATCAATACAGAAGAAAGTCAAATAAACTTACCAAGTTGACCCACAAAAGTTGAACAGGAATGAGAGCTTCTGGGAGACCCAAAGCAGCTGTTAAGAAAATTGAAACGACTTCACCAATGTTTGAAGAGATGAGATAACGAATAAATTGTTTCATGTTGTTGTAAATAGCGCGACCTTCTTCAACAGCAGCGACAATTGATGAGAAGTTATCGTCAGCCAAGACCATTTCGGAAGCAGATTTAGCGACAGCTGTACCTGAACCCATAGCAATACCGATTTCGGCTTTTTTCAAAGCAGGAGCATCATTGACACCATCACCTGTCATAGCGCTAATTTCATTTTGTGCTTGCAAGAATTCAACAATCTTTGACTTGTGAGCAGGTTCGACACGTGAGAAGAGACGAGCACGAGCGACAGCTTGTTTCTGTTCTGAGAGTGGTAAATCATCAAATTCACGACCTGAATATGATTTTCCAGTTGTGTCTTCATCTTCACCGAACACTCCAATACGACGGCAGATAGCTTCAGCGGTGGCTTTGTTGTCACCAGTAATGACAATGACGCGAATACCAGCAGCACGGCAACGAACGATTGAATCGAAGACTTCTTTACGTGGTGGATCCAACATACCAACGACACCGACAAATGTAAGATTAACTTCATAAGTGTAGAATTTGCTAGACTCATTCAAGTCCATGTCTTCGGGTTTCATTGGGGCATCGCCAGTAGCCAAAGCCAAGCAACGTAATGTGTCACGTCCAGTACCATATTGACGTGTGAGATCCAAGATACGATTCTTAAGTGTTGATGTGAGTGGAACTTTGCTGGTTCCAACACGAGCATGTGTACAACGTTCCAAGACACCTTCTGGTGCACCTTTGCAGAACATTTTAGGTCCATTTCCAAGACGTGATGATTTCAATGGTGTGCAGTAAGATGACATCGATTTACGATCGCGTGAGAATTCAAGAGTGAATTCTTTCTTCCACTTGGTTTCAATTTCTTGACGAACAACAATAGCAGCTGAACGACGATCCAGTCCGGTCTTTGGAACTGAGAATGGATTCAATTTCTCAGCGAGAACAATCAAAGCGGTTTCGGTAGCTTCACCAACTTTCTCGAAAGCTGCCTTAACTTCATTGAAATCAATAGCTGAATCGTTACACATAACACAGATTGTTGCCATTTCTTGAAGGATGTCATAGTCGGAGGCCTTAACTTTCGATCCCTTGATGAAAAGATCGCCGATGGGTTCGTAGGTGGATCCAGTCATTTCGAGTTCAGTGAATGCGCTGTCATTTCCTTCAATCTTTTCGAAGACAAACATGCGAGCAACAGACATTTGATTTGTGGTCAATGTGCCGGTCTTATCAGAGCAGATGACGGATGTGCAACCGAGAGTTTCAACTGATGGCAATGAGCGGACGATGGCGTTCTTCTTAGCCATACGACGTGTACCTAAAGCCAAACATGTTGTGATGACAGCTGGTAAACCTTCTGGGATGGCAGCGACAGCCAAAGCGACGGCAATTTTGAAGTAGTAGATGGCACCCTTGATCCATGATCCACCATGGACTGGATCGTTGAAATGTCCAATGTTGATGGCCCAGACAGCAACGCAAATAATTGAGATGACCTTTGACAATTGCTCACCGAATTCGTCAAGTTTTTGTTGCAATGGTGTCTTAATTTCTTCAGTCTCCGACATTTCAGTACGAATCTTACCAATAGCGGTGTTCAATCCAGTTCCAATGACAATACCACGAGCTTTACCAGCGGCAACATTTGTACCTGAGAACAAAATATTTTTCTTGTCTTGATTGACAGCACGTGGATCGGGAACAGCGTCAGTGTGTTTGATAACTGAAACGGATTCACCAGTCAAGATGGATTGATCGATACGAATGGTTGTTGAGAAGATTTTGATCAAACGAATATCAGCTGGAATCTTGTCACCGACTGACACTTCAACAATGTCACCGGGAACGATTTCCTTAGCACGGAGCTTTTGAATACCGCTCTTGTCTTGACGGACAACTTTTCCCATTTCCGGTTCGTATTCCTTAAGGGCTTCAATGGCTGATTCCGCATTTCGTTCCTTAAAATAATCAATGAATGACGTCACTTGTCAACTGACAATCACTTCAATGATACTTACTTGCCACACACCAACTACAGCATTAGCGATTAAAATAAGTAAGATTACGAATGGTTCTACGAATGCCTCAACACCTTCATGTTCTTCAAAAAGAGCTAATACCTGTCATCATCGTCAACGTCATGATCATTATGAAACATAAAAAAGAAGAGAAGAAAAGAAAAAAAAGAATTAGATGATGAATAATGATGACTTAATTAATATTTAACATTTTCGTTGAGCAATTTTCCATCTTTAATCGCTTTAATTGATTTAATGAAATATTTATAGGTTTTTTCTACTCATTTTTGTTTTTTTGCCACGCACTCAGCCATCACACACCGTTAAAAATATTAATAGATCGAATACATTGAATACATTCAGAGATCGAAAGAGAGAATCTTGGACAATAATTATCGTTGATCTAAGCCAAAATATTTTTTTTCACTGTTTTCCTTCGGAATACGTGAGTGGGTGGAAAGAAAATATGAAAAGAAAAAGAAAAGTCTGGGAATTGAATGAAAGTAAGTAAGTTGAAGCAGTTAGCTGACCGAAGTGAATCAAATGAACCATTTTCTCATTTAATAGCTTTTGTCTGTTTTTAATATCAAATCACATCATTAAAACTGTTTACTTGATTCACCAATCAAGACTTTGATTTTCATTCTTTTTTAATCGATATTCATCAATGTTAAAGTAAAGATTTTAAGAAAGAAAATTCCCGCGTGATTGAATGATTCATTTGTCGTGATTTGAGTCTCTTCTTCGGCTTTAAAAAAATGATATTTCTGATAATAAAATCAAAGTAAAAAAAGTCATAAATCTTAATGACATGACTTGAAACAAAAAATAAAAGAAATTTTCAGGATATTTCGGCTAATTAACATTTCATGCTCGTTTATTTTTTTAGAATAACTGAACAGCTGAAAAGCAAGAAAAATTTCTTTTGTCTTGCTTCTTGCTCTCGAAAATAAAAATAATAAATAAAAGAAAAAAAAATAAGGCTGCCGATAAAAATAATAGTTCACGAATCTGAACAAACGGATTACGACATTTTGCAGGAATTTATAGGAGAAGACAGTGAAGATCAAGAATAGCAACAATAAGCAAAAGAAAAAAACAAAAATCTAATTTTCGAAGTCTTCCTCCCCCTCATCTTGCTTGGGCATTTTTCGCGGAAAATTATTTTCTCATGAAATCACGGTATGGGTTTTATGATCATCATCAGTTTACCTAGTCACTGTCTCTCTTACTCTCTTTCTTTCTTTTTCTATAAACTGCTTGTTTCTACTTTCAAAAATAAATATTCTAAAAATATCCACCCGCAATTTCAAACACCACAAATCAGTTTGAACAGAAGAGAAACACAAAATAAAGTTTCCGTCTTGTCATGACTGTATGTAAAGTCCCTAGTTCTTCTATAATGATGAAGAAGATAAAAGAAAAGTGAAATATTTATAATGTTTTAATCGTCTAGTTCGATACGAGTTCTATTCATTTGTTAGCAGGCTGTTATGCGTCTTCATCTTTACAACATCGAAACATCAACAACAAGCTGAGATAGAAGGAGGAAAGCGAGATGAAAACAGATCGACAGATGAAAAATATTTTTTATTCATGAATTTAAGCAAAAAAAAGATGAAAATCCTCGCTTGTTGTGTGTCTTGTTCGAGGGCAGGTTACATAACTTAATCTTTTCTTTTAATAAAGTGTTGGCGGCGGGCCGTGAAAAAGAGTCTTGTATATTTATGAGATAATTAAAACATTGAGAGTTCAGGGCGATGACAGATTGTGTACTTACAAATGAAATAATAGCAGCCAATAACAGAATTTTAACTAAAAGATCATCGAATTGTTCGAGCACTAATTGCCATATTGTTTTCCCCTCCTCTGTTGGAAGTTCTGAAAAAGAAAAAAAGAAAAATATTTAATTAAGAAAAAATCGTGTTAATCATATTGTCATTATCACTTCATCAAGCTGTGAAATACTTTGATTGCTCAATCATCTTTAGAGTTTTATTCGTGTGAACTGAATATGTAGCAGTCGAGACGTCGATTACTTTTAAAATATTAGCATAGGTCGTTGATTCGTAGCGTAGCGTCAACACGGATTCGATCAGAAAAATCAAATAAATCAACAGATAATGAGAATCAAATCTAAACTTTCAATAATATCACGGTTTTTCCAAACGACTGACGTAATTTGGCTGCGACTGTAATGAGTTTATTTGAAAATCTCTTGAAGCTTTGAGTTAAATTTAGAAACATTCTCCTTGTAACCGTACACTTGAGCATCTCGAATTTTAATTAGAAAAACAACAAAACTTTTCTTTCCATTTCATAAACATTTCAAGATGTGCCAACACAGGCCAAGCAAACAAAAACAGGATTAAAGTGGATTTGGAAGACCACAAAAAGGATTTTGATGTGTTTTCAACAGAAAGAGTTTCAAGAAGTTGAAACGAATAAAATTTACTTTGAGCTTTCTTACATTTCTCTCACGTGTTTCCGTGAGCATCAACAGAAGCATTGATTCCATTTATAAAAAGTATATTAATTAATTACCAATAAATATTAATCATTTTGAATGTAAAAACAATCTTAGGGGTTTCTTCTCTTCACCATGCTTTCAATCGTCTTAATAAATGAATCAGAATATTTAGCATGTGTCGACATTTCAAATAATCTCATGCTGTTTCAACAACGGGCACATGTTATAGTGAAATTCTATTAGCAAACATTCAAGGTGAATCAATAAAAAAATTTTTCAAGGATAATTTGCTCGATATAGGCAATTTTCTTGCTTATCTTTTCTCACACACTGAACACTAACAGAATAGTATCGATGTATAATTTATTTCCGATCTTTTACGTCATAAAATAAGATTTAGAAGAAGAAAAAAAAACCAGCTCTTATTGGTCTTATTGACGTCACAACTCTTAAATGTTCATTGTCTAAGTGCGACGAGAAATTTGCAATACAAAAAAATAAATAAAAATGAGAGAGCCGTTAAATATAAACAGTTTAAAGTAATAAAAAAAGCGTTTGGTTCTATGAAATAAGTAAGTCAAACAATTAGAGCTGTGTAAATTCATAAAACCGTGAGCCGTTGCTGATAAGAAATGGAAATTTCTGAAGCGAATCATTTTAACTGCGTCATTCTTTGCTTTGTTCACAATAATATGCTTTGAAGTTTAATAGAACATCAGCTGAGTCGTTGTAATGACAATAATACTACATAAGATGCAGAGAGTGAGAGGAAAGGAGTGCGAAAGAGGAAAAAATTATCCCAATGTCAATTACCTCAGCGCAACAAATGAAACATTTCACTACCTAGCAAGTGTAGCAGTTCCGAGGTGATAACAGTTTATAAAATATTCTGTAGTTAGATACATGTCGAGATCGAGGGCGACTAATAAATTTGACAGCTGATAAATAAAACTAGAAAATCAATTCAGAGAATTGTTGAGTGCTGATACTTAAATTGAATACCCAAATGTGTATTAATCTAATTAAATGACTAGGACAAATGTAGTTTGTGGTTTTGGAAGTTGAGTGAAAATTGCTGCTGTTCGAATGACGATAACAAAATAAAATTGAAAGAAGAAAGGTTGTGCATTTCAATGACCTAGATAAAGTCTCCCTGTTAATGTATCTTCACCATTGAATATTTCCACGTAACTCTTTCGCGTACGAATCATTGACTCGAAAAATGTCATCTGCAATTACGATAAGATAATGCAGATCTCAACTTGGCATATGAAGATTCACCAAGCGATAATATTGTTTTGCATTGATAAGAGATTATTCACTCGCAAATCTTTTGTTTACACTCTTTTACAAGCTTAAATAAATTTTTTGGTGACAAAAACATTCAGGGAAATAAACAATTAATGTCCGATTGAAAATTCCTGCTACAATAAAGAAATGAACACTAAAGAAATATTAAACAATCAAATAAGCTCGTTCTAAAATAGAAGTCAGGAGAAAAAAATATGTTTTTGAAGTGAAAGAAACTTTTGTTCAACTTACCATTAGGTCCATATTTTGCTTGAAAGGTTTTGACTTGATCTGATGTTAAGCCGACCTCATCATTCGTTCCGAAATATTTTAATACTTCCTCGACGCTTTTTGCGTGTCCGTCTTCCATGGTTTATGGATTTTATAATATGTCTGTGACCGTAAAATCTAAGATGCAATTATTCTGCGAAAAGGTGACAAAGCACAAAAGATATAAGCACAAAAAAGCTTTGCAACTGCAACTTCTCAACAACTTTAATTGCTTTGACTTTTTTTCACTTGTGCAGCAGTTTATTTTCGTTTTATAAAACTATATCCACTTTGTTTATTATTAAGTTGATTGCACAAAAACTTTATAAGTTATTATAACCTAAAAAAAGTTTTCATCAATTTTTTTGTGTATTTTTTACACGTCAGTCAATCGACAGAACATCAGATTGAATTGTGAAATTATTATGACGGATGCAAAGCAACGCTTTTGCGTTTCAGGACCTTGCTTTCTCGTATTTTATCACTTTTGTAGGCCGATTTACGCACAGTTTCATTAATGATTTCTCTAATAAATGATTTTTCGTGTGAAGATCAATTTGGCGACTGAGCAAAGTTGAAACTTACTTTTGCTTCAAATCTCTTTTGATTTAAAAAGAATTTGTAAGCTAAAGACCTTCACAATGTTCTACTTTGAATTCATCCGAGTGTTCAATTAAGATTACTTTAAGGTGGTTTAAAATAAAATAAATAAATTACTGAGCTTAGTATGTAGTGTACAATAAATTAAAATTTTCTTCTTCCCAGTTGCGTACCCTTACGAGGGTGTCAAAGTACATTTTGTGCTGCGTGAAGTTAACAGTCCTTATATTTTGAATTATTTATCAACGATTCTTTGATATCATAAATCTGTGTGAACTTACAAAAATAAAAAAGTTTTATTTAGAAATTATTCTGACTATTTGCAACAGTTTTGCTTTCAATTTCATTTTAATTTATTAAACAGAAAATTTTCGAGTTTTCTCAATTTTAAATATTTCCTGGACCTAACTTTTTATATAGTCTTATAAATTTTAATAAAAAACATCTGGAATCTCGATTCCTTAAGAAGATCATGTGCGGTTCCGCATTCATCTTCATATTAAAACATTTTTTGCTAAGAGGAAATTCATAGAGTGCTTAAGCTTATTTATCAATCATAGACCTCTGTCATGACGTTACTATTTAATGTACTTGCAAAAAGGCTTAATTAAAAGCTTTAACGATGCGAAGAAAAATTTCTCTCGTTAATAGTTCGAAGGAAAAATCAACAGATCAACAGTCAGTCAATACTCATTTCTCTCGCTCATTCTATAATTAAATATTTTTGCTACCTAACTCACCAAAAAATTATTAAAATAGAAAGAGGAAAACTTGAAGATTATTTTTAATAGCTGGTTCGTGTTTAAATATAGACACTCAAAAAACTCTTATTCCTTTACATTTTACTTACGGGGAGCCAATTCTTATTTTCTTCTTTTTCCTGCCTTAAAATAGTATCACTTTCATATATTACCTAATAATTCCTTTCAAACTCTCGCTAAATTTCAATTATCCTAATTCCCATCGTTATCCTTCCTTTGAATCATAAATATCTATGCAATCACTTTGATCATTCTTTACGTATTATTAAATTGAAAATATTTCATCCGCTTCCAGTTTATCTGCGCACAAGTGAAATCCAAGTAAGTATTTTAATTATCACAATCTGGATATATTTTTTATTCTCCTTTCATCATCATCATAATTTTTATTCTTTTTTTTTCTTCTTTCTTTTTTGATCTTTCATCGAATATCGAGTAGAGTAAAAAAAAGAAATTATAATTCCACTAGATTTCCATCCGGAGGCCAAGGATGTTTGATTTAATTTGAATAAATATTTTTTTATTCTCTCTTAATTGACTTGTCATAAATTCATTTTATTTATTTTCATTTGTCACTTACAATTATTAGATTATTTTTTCTTCACTTATCAATTGACATTAAATATTAACTACACACTTAATCGGAGAGAAAGTTAAAAGGACCTGGTACTAAGGTCCACCAGAAAGTTACTAATAGTCCCACCTTACAGTATGACTATTAGTTTTGTACAATCGAGAAGATCAACAACAACTGATCGTCAATTCAGTCAAATATTTTTAATGGTCAACGAAATAATGAAAGACGAAGAAAACGACGAAAATCGTTTTTTTTTTTCTTCAATTTTTACATGAAGTGAAAATACAATAAACATATACATTCATGCATCGCGAAGGAAACTTTTCTCGCCCCGATCGAGTTTTCTACATTTTCTTTCCGTCTTCTTGTGATAGAGAAGATTTTCTTTTCTTGGCTTCCATCCCAAGCACACGATGAAACACCATCAAATCGCGAGCGTTCCCGGGCAGGAAAAAATGTTATACTTTTAGCCGCAATACAATTGAAATGGACGTCTTTTTCTTCTCATCATCTCAAGCAAATCAGAGATTTTCGTTTTCTTTTTCTCTAATTCTCCCTCTAGACAAGACAGGCAAATAATAAGACGACACACGAATTTCACTTAAACCTTTAATTTACACTATAATAATTACAATTAAATAAAATTTTTGTAATGCAATAATTTTGTTTTAAATAGATCCCAGGAAAATCAGTTTAAATTTGTTGGCGCGACAAAGCATATTTTATGAATGTTTAGATTAATTAATGCAAAAACATTTCATCTAGTAATTTCTTTTAACATTTTTCAAATTTCAGTTCCCGGTTGATTTGATGCCCGACCCTTTTGTCAGCTTAAAATACACTTTAATGTGTTGGCATGATGAAAACATTAAAGAAATTTATGTAGCGTTTAGCATAAGCTGTCGTTAAACATCAACTCCATAAATCATTGAACAAGGTAGAAAGTTAATGCCGGAAAACTTCTTGATCAAGGACTAACGTAACAGTATTTTTAAACAATCTCTAAGTCGTGACAAAATAAAAACAAAGAACGATTTTCTTTTGAAAACTTCATTGATACAAGCATTAAATGAGGAAATATCAAAACACGTGTAGCAAATCTCAATAGGATTGTTCATTTTCAATGTCATTAGCTTTTTTCAAGCAATGAAGTTTCCTTTGTTGAAAAAGAAAGTTTGTGACGCACCTGATGAATTTTCCTCTCTAACCGCATCAAAAACATCGTTGCTTCGTCCATCGACTCTTCGACTGTCAAGATTTTCATGGTCACGGTGGTTTGACATCAAAAATATTTCCACTGTGGCTTTTCTTCAATAATAAAAAGAAACTTCTACGCGATCTTTTCGGAAAATTTTTCGTTTTATTATTTGAGTTTTAATTATTTATGTTATGGCATGTTGATGGGAGTAGATATTTAGAAAATGAGTCAATTTTCATTAGATACAATGACATTCATCAATTATCAAAGATACAAGGGAAATTGTTATATAACTTTCTCTTCCCTCCACTAATAAATACATTCAAACATGAATACTGAAAAGTTAGCAGAAAGAATATTTGACAAAAAGCCTAGAAGAATCTAAAAATAATCGCCATCGAAGACGTCAACAACAAATTTTATCTTCTCTTATAAGTTTTGGGAGAAAATTAATATTTTCATTACATAGATTTTGGGCAGGGGAGATGAAAAGGGCAGATATCTTAAACCCCATGATCAAATCAAAGTCATAGTACCAAAACCCATCGAATCAAACTTCTGATCTATCAAAGTGTCTCTCTTCTGTTTGATGATTTCTCAATTTTACGAGTATTTTTTTAACGATTTGAAAGAAAGTTATTCAACAAGATATTGTGCTTGTAGCAGTGAAAAATTCACAAAAAAAATTATTTCAAAAACATATTTTTTCTCTTGATTATATGACACGATGAGCTCGGGACGAAAAATAAAATTAAAATTCTCAGATATAAATCTAATAGCGTAAGTTTAAGCGCATTAATAAAAAATTGCATTAAAAGTTATAAATAGCAACAACTGTCCTGACAATTCACTTCATAGTTGACCTAGAATCATCACACAGCCATCAATAATTTCTTCCATTCAGCGGACAGTTGTCATCGCATTCGTTACGTGTTCGGTATAAAGGGACTTATTTTCACATGAATAAATGCAAATAATAGTTTCAATTAGGGTTGTCAAATCATGCCTGACATCAGGCATGACGTCATGCCATGACGTCAGGCCTGACGTCAGCCTGACGTCATGGCTGTCATGGTTGATGTTTTTTTGTATGGGAGTTTTTGAAACTCATTTTACACATAGAAAACTTGGTTTTATATGTACAATGTTTTCTTATGATATGTTCAAATAGCAATTCTGAACATATCTTTCATACAACATAAAGTTCTAAAACCTACGCATCGCGAGATAAATGAATTTAAATTTTCCATATGAAACGTAAGTATGATATTTTTCAAAAGCCAACTTTCGTTCTTTAGCTATAAAACTTTAACTATTAGAATTAGGTATAATGTATGTTTGGAAAAGTTGTTCCTTGATACATTCTGCATCTTCTTTCCATAGATTGTATTTCTGTAAGGTGACACCAGAGGGCGCTGGAAACAAATTAACTAACAATTTATCTCCAGCGCCCTCTGGTGTCACCTTACAGAATCTATTAAAAAAAGTTGCAGAATGTATCAAAGAACAACTTTCCCGAACATACTTTGTACCTAAATAGAATAGTTTATGATTTGTAGCTAAACTGCAAAAATAATTCATGCATGAAATAAAACATAATCTTGACATAAATTTGATAAATTCTTTTATCTCGCGATTATTATTCATATTAAACTATTCTATTTAGGTACAAAGTATGTTCGGGAAAGTTGTTCTTTGATACATTCTGCAACTTTTTTTAATAGATTCTGTAAGGTGACACCANAGAATTGCTATTTGAACATATCATAAGAAAACATTGTACATATAAAACCAAGTTTTCTATGTGTAAAATGAGTTTCAAAAACTCCCATACAAAAAAACATCAACCATGACGTCAGGCCTGATGGCATGATGTCATGCTTTTGTTCACCATGACGTCATGCCATCAGGCCTGACGTCAGGCCTGACGTCATGGTGAGAACCCTAGTTTCAATGTAATTAAAATTTCATATCTCACACTGAATTTTTTTTAATAAATCATGTCACAATTCATATTTGTGAGACAGTGGCAAATTTAGTTGTGCATTCATTTAATTAATAGACAATTTCGTCATGTCATGAAATGCCAAAGTCATCGTTGCATTGCCAAAAAAATTTACAAGAGAATTTTTCTATTTCGCGAAGGAAAAATTAAGCAAAAATATCTAATTTTCATGTTTTCATCATTTTGATGGCATTAAATGAAGGCAAAAGAAGAAAAAAATTAATTTTTATAATTTTTTACTTGAGTGAGGTGTTACTTTAGATGAGAGTTGAAAAAATAGGTTGAATATCTTGGCATCACCTTAATCTCACTTAAGATCGTTTTTGTGAGAATTACGTTTGAAATTTCCTTGAACAATTTAAGCATCATACATCGTTTGTTTGACTTATGTTGCTTAAGGATGTTTAAATGTAAAAATACTCATTGCTAGGTAGTCTAAATATCGTTTTATGATTCAGGCAGAAGCTCGAAGCTCTTTTGAGTTGCTAAGTATTATAATTTCGGTGATTGAAAATGAGAAAAAGAATTTGTCGCGCAAATCTACACCTGAAATACTTTAATCTTGTATTTTACTTCTTTTTAAGCGCGGGTGCCAAATTAGATTATCTACCACGAAAAAATATTTACTTATAGAACTCATCAATACATTATTCGTCGTAGACAAATAATGCGACAGAAAACTTGAAGAATGTGAGAAACTTAATTTTCTCATTTTTGTTTGGTATTTATTTTGCCTTTATAACTTTGCATAAACCACAAAACATAAAAAAGTTATTTTTGACGAAGGAAACAAATAAAATAAGCTGAAAAAAATTGAAAGCAAAGTCGCGAAAAAATGTCAGCAAATTTCTTTTGTTTTTGAAATTTTGATCAATCTGCTTGTCCTTTTAGACATCTTAAAGCTTTCTCTAGGTGAATAAAAATTTCTATTTGATATTCAGTCAAGAAGCTTGTTACATAACTTTCATCACGCCCTTAATGATCCATCGCAATAAAAGTTTAAAGAAAAATAGATTATTAATGTCAAAACATAATTAATCCTCCGACTGAGCGAAGAAATATGATGACAAATGTAGTGCTGACCATGAAACTCTTCGCGCGAACGTTTCGATTGATGATCGAGAACAATAAAATGAAGAAAAACTTTTTCTTTAAATTTATATTTTCCCTTTTACAAGAGCATCTTTTTCATTAGTTTATTCCCCTATTACATCACAACATTGGTTAGTTTACGGACACACGTCCGAGTCATCTACATCTGTTATAATTTTAGAAGATTCCGTCAGAAGTTTTTTGTACTGACCGTCACGCGACACTTTTTCTGGTCCGGCTTTTGCGTATTTTCGAATGAATTCAACGAGCGTCGGTCTGTTGATCACACTGAATTCCAAGGACGTTCCCCAGCCTACGAGTGCAAACGGTCTTTGCGGTGAAAGTTCACGTGAAGGTGTAATAATGTGACGGAAGAGACAACGTTTAACTATTTTCTTTAGTTGATCGATGAGATTTTTATTAGCACAAGGATGATAAAGCGCAACGATTGCGCCATGTTCAAGATTGTGTAGCCATCGTTGAGGTGGCAGGTAAATGTATTCGCCATACGCTGCCCATCTAAATATTATTAATAGATCAAGTTTATAATTAGGGAAGATTTAGTTGGTATTGTAAATCATTTTACAGTGGTCGATGATATCCGAGAGTTGGAATTCTTTGTTCGTAGGATATAGTCTCGTTCATGCATTTGTGAACTGGCGTATAAAACTTTGGCACATTGTATATTGTTTCAATTGGCTCAAAATCGTAGTTTGGCTTGTAGCTCCTCTCAAGGCACGTGAACATTACGGAATGTTCATAATTATTTGGATCAAAGTCAGTACTAAGATTTGTCTTTAAAATAAAATAATCGGGATAAGCAGCACGTAATTAATGTGACATGAAATGTTAAATATATTACCTCGCCATCGTCGCATTCGCTATTAGGGATTCCCATTATTCTATCTCTTTCGTAGCTTCCATCGTTACTATTGTGTGATGATGGAATTTCTGGAAACCTTGATATGTATTTAATTTTGTTAAAGAAAAAGTAACATTCATCATAAGCGTGATCTATTTTTATCAGAAGATTTCATTTTTATTGCATACCATTTTCCTTTCCAACTATCTGTTGTACTGTCAACAGTTTGAATTTCATTGGGATTAGTTGGAAACCATCTTCCAGTCCACTTATCTTCACCTACAAGTATTGTTTAGAGTTATAAGTGGAAATGTTTTGATTTTTTCTTTCCATTTTACATGAAATTGTGACAAAAAATGTAAACAAAACGATTCGGTTATATGAAAGCATTATCTGGATAATTTCTCTAAACAAATTTAATTTTGATCGTAGGCTCATGAATCTTAAATTCTTAAAAAGTTTAACTAAGTCCTTGAACTTCTTATATTATTTTTAAATTTATTTCTTTTCATAGTTTCCCAAAAAATTATAGTATAAAGGGCACTAAACTAAGGCCAATAAATGAATCTGCTATAAAAATACGAAAATTCAAAATTAACGTTTTTTCAGTTAAGCAAAAATATAATTTTTATCCTTAATTCATGAAATTCTCTGAAATAGCTTTTAAGTATGTAAAATTACCATTCATTTTCTTTCAATTTAGGCTGCGAATAAACTTTTTCTTTCTTCTCACTCTTAAAAAAAGATCTAAATTTTGTCTTCACTGCAATCGAATATTTTATTACTCATTTGTTTAAAAAATGATTTACTTAATTTTATGAACATATTAAGACATCATTAGCATCCAAACCATGTACAAGCTAAAAGCTTGAGCATCCGTTATATTATTTTTTAATATTTAAGGTAGCAGTTTCTTTTGAATTTTTGGCAAACAATTTCATTCACTACTGATTAAAACTTTCTTTTCTTAGGAGATATTGCTTAAACATTGATTTCGCAATCTTTCATATTTTTTGGCTCTTTGGCACACTTCAAAACCAATTATTAATCTATCGTTGATGAGCAAAATGCATTCAAAAAATTTAACTTTCGCATATCAATAGATATTAACCGTAGAACCGGCTGATTCTTGTGCGATTGAAATGTTTAAAATACTTTCACGAATGAACTACTTGATTCCCAATAGTTTCTATTTAATTTATCTTAACATCTATAGAGTTGAGTAGATAACTTGAAAATTTATTCCAATGATTGTGCTTTATAGGTTTTTGGTAGAAAAGAAAATTGATATAAGTTTTTTTGTTTGGTGGATAGATACTTGAGATTTATGTAGATAAATTTTTCATCTTCACCAACCAAAGTTGATTCCAGTCATTAGATAAAATTTCTGGTTGAAAGGCTTGTAAAACTCACTGAGCCTCTCAATGGCCTTTCGATCAATCTTTGGATGACTTCGGCCTTTAGTTTTCCCCTGAAATAACAAATAAAACAGCGTAAATAATTGTAGCAAATTGCCTGAGTTAAAACACTTACCAGACAATGTGGAGTTGATCTCGATTCAGATTTTAAGAGGCAGGGAAAGCCTTTCGTTGAATTGAAGTAAAAATGCTTTTCAGTTATCACTCGTTTTAAATTGAGAAAGTCTTGTACACGATAAAGCTCTGCAGCGGGATCAGATATGAGCCTTTCACCGCTCACGATTAATAATTGTTTGAGCGGAAACCATTTCAGCCACCGCTCTAGATATTTTGCGTATACACCAATTTTAATTGCCCCATAGCTTGTATCGACAAGTTCGTAAGAGCCATTGACAAAAGATAATTCTTCAAATTTCTTCATATCTTTGTTCTTGCTAAATGATTGCGTGTAGTCACTTATTGCTCTTGTAACTGGATTGCGAACGACAAGAAGTAATCTGTAAGATGTAAGATGTAAGCATCAATTAGTTCAATAATTTTTTAATTAAGACGTGAAACTCGTTTTCATACTTAATCTTTGGATTCATTTTGTACACTCTCGATGGCACTGAAGACGTTACGAAATATGATGGAGTTTTTTCCATAGTTAACTGACCTGTCACAGTTGGTGGCATTTTCTTTCGATACCAATTCAATCCGAATGTGTAATGTCGTTCAAAAAAATGAACTTCACAACCGGCAGCTCGAACTATTTACATGAAACCAGTTTAAAGTGTCATGAATTTGTAAGTCTTATTAAACAAGTTTTAATTCAATCATTTACCATCAGGATGAACTCTGACAAATTCAAGTAAAGCTCTTGTGCCAGATTTTTTAACTCCAATCAAAAGAACATCAGGTAATCTGCGTGCTGAAAGATTTTGTGGATTCACAAGTCGATATTTGAAAGAACTTTCATTTCTATTATCATCATCAGTCAATGATACGATTCTAACAATACTCCCAAAGATGATTTGAGTATCGTCGGTTATTGTTGATTGAGTTGAAGTGTTGAGGAAATTATAATCTGGAAACTGAAGCAAACTGTTTGAGTATTAAATTATTTTCACTTTTTACGACTCACCCTTCGAAAAGCTTTATTGAAACCTGACAACAAACAACCATTAAAAAGGTAAAAAAAGTAGACAAGCAATGTTGTTGCGATAATTGTCGCTAAGATTGCTTTATTTGTACAATTAATAATTTTCACATTATCAATAATCATTTTAAATTCCCAACTTAGTATTTTCACCGACTACCGATTAAAACATTCACTTAATGAAATAATCAAATAAACATGACCCAAAGGTCAAACATAAATAGATTTCTACAATTAAGATTTCAAAAGACGTTTAAAATTAATTTTCCCTACTTTAAAACAACAAATAATTTGTTAGAACATTCCGAAGAAAAAAAATTTTTCCACACAAACACATTCAAAGGAATTGGTGAAAATTTCCCCAAAAAGGATGTGTGGGAGGTGAATGAGAAAACGCGGGTAATTTGAAATTTATTCTTTATTGGACCAATGAAGCAAGTTGTTCCAATTGTTGTTTAATAAAAAAAGATTTAAAGAAAGTGTGAAGAATCATTAATCGAAAAAAATCCCAAATAAATAGAAAATAAATCTTTGTACATGCATTCTGCTTCATCATTAAAAAACGTAAATTGTTAAACATTATTTTCACTTTCAACTAAAAAGTGATTGTAGATTTTTATAAACTCAACAGGTTAATCGCTCAAATTTAATTTCATTTCACCTTGATGAGATAAAAATACGTAAAAGCTAATCTATCAATTCGCAAAATCTTAATTTGTTTCGGTAAAGAAAATTTTTCGTTTCATGCAAAATATGAAGAGAAAAATCATTCAAGCAACGGTGCTTTCATTCAATTTGATTTGAACATTAAAATCGGCTACAAACAGAAGTTTAATGTGAATAAATCTAATTGTTTCATTATCATTAAGAACGGTCACATAATTTTGTTTCGTTGAAAGTTTGAACAGATAAATTACTTCGACTGACTTGAAAATACAAAAATAATGAACCAGTTAGTTGACAATCGGCACACGACAATTCCAAGAATGACAATGCGGGATTGAATCTTTTGCGTTTTCACAATTTATTGTCTATGATAGAAACTTAAATTCAGATATCATAAAGCGTAACAATAGCCAGAAGAAAGTGCTCAGAACTGAGCCGATTTAAGTATTCACAAAAAAATGTTTTGTGAAAAACGGAACAAATCATCAACCAAATTAGAGTTTTTTGGAGAACTGGAACAGAAAATTAGCCGTTAAGAAATTAAGAAAAGTCGATTTGCTTTTTCTCTCTATTTCACTGTTTTATACATGTACGAATTGCGTAGTAAATCTTGATATTCCGAAGGTTGATGATCATGCAAAAGTCGATAAAATACGTAAACGGTTCCACTAGAAAGAAAAGTTAATTGGAATAAGTGAAAGCCAAAATGTCTCGAAGCTTTTCTAGAACAAATGTTTTCAATGTCTTTTGGAAATACCTAAATGAGGTTTTCCTTCCCTTTTTCAATTAATGGTTTTGTGATTTGTATTTAGCATGCTTGTTTTTCTGAATATATTTTGTCGTTAGAAGCACGTGATGGTCTTCGTTTATAAATCTTGAACTAATCTTACTTCATTCCACATATTCATGCCAAATTGGCATACTAAAATTTCAATTTCCTTTTGAAGTAATCTGAAAATTAAAATCAATAATCATTTGTTTATGCATTTAAAAGAGAAAAACATTTCAGATTAACATTCAATAAATAAATAAATAATTTGTTTTATTTGCTTTCGATTTGATGCTTTACAATATCATTCAACTGGTCAATATCGTTTATGCTTTCACACTTTCAGGAAGTTCAAAATTAACGGGGAATGATCGTCCATAACCGCCATATCCGCCACCATGGCCTTCCTCGTGACTTCCGCCGTGCCCACCATGAGATGATTGTGAATGGCTGTGGGAATGGCTGTAAACTGGTTTCGAGATAATCTCATAAGTTGTTGATTTTCCACCGCCTCCACCAAGAGATTTAAGTCCAGCAATAGCTGCTAAAGTCAATGCCATCATTGCGGTCAAAAGAGCTTTTCCAGCAAGTGCAGCGACAGCTCCCAAGCCTAAGTAGGATTAAAAATTAGAAGAATTAATTTTTGCTTTAGTTTCATGTTGTTGTTCGATTATACCCATTGCCATCATAGCTCCTTTCATCATCATTGCCATTCCGATCAAAGCTCCATAACCACCACCTTTCTTTCCGCCTAGATCTCAAGGAAAATTTCCATTATTTCAGTATCTTTTGTCTTTCAACTTCCACAAAAACTTACCACCGCCTTTACGTGATTCAAAGACACTCGATGTTTCTTCAGATCCCAACTTAAGTTTCAAGCTGTAAGATTGCAAGAAGTCTTGAATCTTGGCAAGTAAAAATCCATTTAATCGCTTTTCGGGACTGTCTGGGAAAGCACGAGCAAGTTCTGTAGAACAAAATTTCTTTTATGAGAAGAATTTTCTTTTTTGTTTTCAATAATTTCGCGAATAAATTTACCGGAAACAATCTTTGAGTTTTGGGTTTTGTTTGGGTTGTTTTCGCGCACCAAAGTAACACCCGATGCAAGATTGAATTCTGTATTTGTGGTTGAGATTTTGTCAATTAAACTTAGAACATCCAATTTCAGGCACATTAAACTGTAGGAACTTTCACACTTTGCTTTTGCATTTCCTTTTTGTTCGGAGAGAATGTCGTTGGCCGATGAGGCTGCTGACGTTAATCCAATGATGACAAAAAGAACGAATAAATTGCACTTCAGGCCCATTTTCGATTTTTTATTATTTTGATTTTTCTGTTTTTCTATTAGAGCGATCAACACTTAGTTAATGTTATGAACACGATGATCAGAAGCACACTGAGATGAACGAGATATTCTGGCTGTCTTTATATACCGAAAAAGGGAAATGTTGGATAGCTTTTTTTCGGTTATTGAAATCAACAAGACTCAAAAGTGAATTGCTTCTATCTATCCACTCTTTGCTACAAATTTTTACACTTTTTTTTCGTTCATGCCTATTAAGTCATTTCTTTTACTCTCTTTCTTTCTATCATAGCGCGCAAATCTTTTTAATTTTTTTTTGCCTCCGTTGTACATTTCTTTCTTTTTTTCTATTTTTTGAGAGAGAGCAGAGCAAGATCACGGCCGAATCATCAAATTTTCTGATCATTTCGATGATTGGACGCACTTGCTTGAATTAAAGAAAAGAATGGAAGCAAACAAAACAAGAAATGTTTTTGAAAAAAAGAAAAAGTAAAACACTTCACTTATATTTTTGATTCATATTAAGATGAATGCTTCTCGATATTACTGCTCGGTATGCTAAACAGCATAAACATGTTAAGGGATAGACATCTAATCGAGTTTTAGTCATATTTTATGTAAGATGTAGTCGAATGTTGTCTTAGGCACATCTCATGTGATGTTGGGTGAAAAGTTACAAAATCATTATTCAATGTTGATTATCATATCGCGTTGGTAGACATTCTTAAAGAAAGTTTAATTAAAATTCATCACACTTTAAAAGTCTTTCTGTTCCAATAAGATTTTCACCATCTGATCATCATTTTTCAATTCACTTTTCATTAAATGAAGATGAATTCAACATCGAAATGATCAACCAGACATTAAAAGTCCATCAAACATTTTTTTCTCTATTGGAAGAAACAAATGGAGCATAAACGAAATTGGAACCATTTGCGCTTTAACTTTGAAGTCTTGTTTGTTTGAGGCAAATATATGATGATAATGAAGCTACCGTGACTGTGAAAATAATGTTTTACTTTAATTTGATTTTTAATTGCAATGTTGGTGGGTCAATAAAATATTTTTGGCTGTAAGAAAAAAATTGAAAAAACTCAACGAACCACTGATAATTTTGTAGGCTAATTGTGAAGAAAGAAAGTAACCAGGCATATTTAAGAGCATGCATTGGTCACAATAGTTAATGCTTTGATCTGCACCACTAAGCCAAAACCTAAAGATTTACTTTGATATTGAACATACTTTTCCATTCCGTGTATCATAGCATGTCTCAGAAGACAAAGAAAAAGCCCAAAAGTATATCAAACATGTGTAACGAAAGCGATCTTGTTCGGAATGTTCGGTGGAGTTTCAATCTCAAAAAAATTTACTCCAAAAGAAAGTAAATAATTGAAAAAAAAATCCTGTTTTAGATAAAATCTTCTTATTCCAAAACAACTAGGTAGTAAAAAATTTCAGTGATAGATCCATGACGAAGCTATTCGCGACACGTTTGAAATAGTTCATAAGAGACTTTCTTGATTAAAGAAATGAAAAAAGAAAATCATTGTCTCGGAGAATACTTCTTGAGATTTAACAAATGTTTCAACGATTCAATGACAACAAGTGTCTTAAAAAAATTGTCGGTAATTCCTTAACGATGCTGTCTTCTTCAAAACCTCAAAGCAATTTGTTTGAAATTTCAACTGAATGTAGTAGGACGAGTGGAAAGATGAAATTTGAAAATAGAACAAAAATTATAAAAGCGGTAATTAGAAAACCATGTCAAATTTATTATTATGAGTGGACCAAATCATTTTTTTTTTCATTCATTCAACAGAGAAATAATAGTAAAAGTAAAACAAGTTGATCGAAATTGAGCGGAGTTCTTAAGCATTGCCGAAACCGTAATTAGAGCAAAGACTAGTTTGTTGTTTTTTTGGGGGGTTCCTGACCAACTTAGATGTTCAATTCCGCTTAAAGCTTAAATAAACAGTAACGTGGATGCTTTAATGCATTGTTTAATGGCCCATAAAATTTCAATTGGAAGAAATATTTATTTGAAAATGTTCGATAATTGTTTTCAGAATGATTCACAAATTTTATTAACGATCATAACCATCGGTCAATAAATTATAAATAAATTAAATAAATAGATTTCCAGACAGCTTTTACACTTTCTTCTTAAACGTTTTGAGGTAAAGTTTGATAATTGTTGTTATTGTAGGCGTTGTAAGCTAAATCACCAGCAGGTGCTCCATTTCTATTCCAGTCACTCACGATTTCTGCATTGAAACCGGAATTTGAGGGATTAGCTGAAATATAAGCAGTTGTAATTTTTTCTTGTTTCTTAGCGAAGAATTCCTTAACGAAGGACGACGCAGCAAGGATCAAAGCGACAAGTCCAACCTGAAATGAGTCATTTATATTTTAATTCAAATTCTTTATAAAATATTTCGCATACCTTAAGTGCTTTCAATGAGATAAGTGAAAGGATCGTGAAAGCAATTGGAAGAATAACGGCAGTCTTGAATTTAAGAGCCAACAAGATAGGCAACATGAGTTTCTTGAGCTTTCCGCGTGCTTCTGCAATTAAGAAGTGAGACTTGTAGCATAACTTGCAGGGGCAAATCAAAATTTATTATTTCATTTTAATGAATTCGAGATGAAAAGCTCTCCTTCTTTAGTTTTTAGGGTTAATGACCTAGAAAAGCGTAAATAAACAGGTTATGATTGTAAAGCTAAGAACCCGACCTTCATTTGTTCTTTTTCTTTAAGATTAAAAGCGAAAGGAATGGAAGAAAATATGTGAGTTAGGTCAGAATTTTATGATTCAGTATTTTTATGATGCGATTAAGCTTTGGTTAAATGTTTATGCAGCTTTAATGATCAAGCGAGAGAAGAATAAAAGTTTATTGATAAATAGTTTGAAGACTATAAAGGTTCTACTGTTTGAAATGATTATTTTTATAAGGCGGATATTTCTTTTAATGATATCTTTTAAAACTTGTGAACATGTGGGAAATAATAATTTATTTACAATCATAATAAAACTCCCATGGCTAAGCAATATCATAAAAGTTCAAGGCTCAACTTTCTCATAAGAAATTAAAGATCAATGATCATTTATTGGTGATGTGCGATGACGAGAGTGAAAAGATACACTTGACCCTAGGCCATTTAATCAAAACCACGAAATTTTCGTGACCAAAACTCATTAAAATATTTTTCATAACCAAATCAGGAAATTCAGTACTTTGACTTCTCCCACTTTCTCCAAAGACATCATCACCGGTGTCCGTGCAAATCTAAAAGCAACCTTACGGAGTGTCAAGGCATAAATAGTCGATCATTGTAAGGTTTACAATTTTCCCCCCACTTCTCCAACTCCAACTGCTTTTCCGTTGAAACTTTAAATACATGAAACGTCTGTGTAAAGCAGAAAACAAAATCATCGGTAAGAGAAAGCGTTTCTCATAAACTTGAACGTGAGGTGGGATTCTGTTTCTTTCTTTCTTTCTTTCTTCGAAACAAGGTCAAATGAATATATAATGTAAAACTGTTTTCTCTTGTGTTGTTTCAACATCAACATATCCGTGTAATTTCTGTATTTATTTATTTTTTTTTCGCGGAATGCAATGACACTATGGGAATCTGAAGACTGAAATATTTTGACAATTTGTAATAATGATGATTTCTTTAATAACAATTTTCACATTGAAAGCTTAATTGAAGCATTTAAGAATGTTTGATTAAAGTAAAAGACGATGAATTAACAAATTATCCGCTGAGATTCAAAAATAAAAAAAAATTACTCAATTTTATGAAAGTGAGTGGCAATTTCACGCTTTATAGAATGTTTAATGTCCAAGTGGTTTCACTGACAATGCTTAATAAAAAAAAAGAAATAGATCATTATCTTTACTTTTGGTCTTCATACGCCGGCTATTTTATATAAAGAAAAAAATCAGAGTAGAAATTTTATATATAAATCACCGTTCTTTCATTAAAATTGCCTCAGTTTCCATATGCAGATCATAACGACAACTGTTGAGCTACTCGAGAGAAATGTAAAAGATTTTTCAAATGATCTGCTAAGGAAGTAATTTAAGTTGGTAATTCAAGGTGAAATCTCCAACAAGAAACTTGCCGACAACTTAACTCATCACTTCTTAGTGCTATTGAATGCTGCGACTCAGCACCATCAGACAAATCTCTTTAATTTTGCTTCAACTTTAACATTCAATAGAAAGAGAAAAACTTTTTTTTTCTATTTTCGTGAATTATCTTTACAGATTTCACTACTTATTGAAAGGCGGATCGTAATGCACAAATTATGATTTGAACTTTAAAATGACTTGCTATCAACAACAACATTTAATGAGTCTTGAAATTTTCAATCATCCAACTGATGAGTTTCTCTATCAATTGCAATACGAGCATACATATTTAACCTCTGGTTATAATAAGCTTTTTTTGTCAATAAGCAGAGTTAATGGTTGAAAGTTAAGAGCTTATCATTATGAATATATAAATATGTTAGCAATAATGTATTGCAATAATTCTTCAACGTACTTTTGACTTTCTTAACAATAACTGGCTTTATTTTACCTCCAACATTCGTGCGCGCTTCACTTAATTCAAAATTTACTTTGTGACTTTGGAAATATCGAATGATTCTATCGGTTAAGCTTTCAGAACGTGGGGAAATGTCACCGGAATTGTCAACTTTCTCTAATGACAAACCACCAAATAATGGTAAAGTTTGTTCTTCATCTAACTTGTTGATCATGGTAATCACTTGATCGTCTGATGGAACATTTTCACACGCGACACAACTAATGAACGCGAACATCATCGCAACAAAACAAATTTTCATTTTCATTTTAATTAAATTTCTTTCCTTCTTTCAATTATCACAATTGGCAAATTGATTCGTAGGCAATAGAGCACTAAATGAGTTGTCATTCTTTGATAACAACTATTTATAAAGATGTCTAGATATAGATTCAACAATTCAATCGAAATTGTGGGAGTGGATAACATTCCAGATGTCCAAACATGTCCACGCAATTGTTAAATTTGCGACAATGAACAGTTAGAAGAACTGAAAATTAAATTAAATTAAATTTCAAATGACAAAGCTCTTACGTGAGATTGCATATCGGATTTTTGTTTACTTTCAATACTTTTCTTCTTTATTGTTTTTTATTGTTGACACACGAAACATAAATCCAACATAAGTAATTATTTGAACTTTTACAGTGCTAACATAAGCAAACGAAGTGCTTATTAACACATCATTTCGAATGGTCTAAATAATGAATTTTCTTTGATAAAGTTAAGCTCGCATATCTGTGGTTAAGGCACCATGCATTTACATAAATATTTATTCATTTGGGAACGTTCTCAAACATTTGTCGTACGTGGATCGAGATAATAAAGAGCGCGAAGAAAAGACGTTTGTAGCATAAAATAAAAGAAGGAAAGAAAGAGATAAAAAAACAGTCGATTTTGGCAACATCACTGACTAATGATGCGTATAATCCGTTTCGATATCTGTCTCTCCCACTGACGTCTGAAACCAATAAAAATTCGTTACGCTTCCGAAACAAGAAAAAAAGCGATCGAAGATGAAAGTGAACGATTAAGCGTTTCTTTGATTGAAGATATTGTTCCGGCTGATTATTATGATTCAAGAGTTGCGTAAGAAACAGAAACTCATAAATAATTCTTTTTGCAAAAATCTTCTTTTTACTTTTATTTCATGTCTTTTTGTTTTGTCATTAAATTGTTGAACATTCATTCAATAAATTAATTTTCGAGAATCAAATCAAATAAATTAAATAAATAAACATTTCGAATTATAAATTAATTAATTAATTTTTAAAGGTAATTGTTGGTTCATGTTATAGAAATGAGAAATTATTTCAGTTGTTAGTTGATGGAAGGTGAGTGAGGATTAGACGAAGACTTAAGTAGATGAGAAAATAGTTTTGGCATCATTCATTTTGTCCATAATTAAAGTTATCATTCTTTTGGGATAGTTTCAAATTTCAAGTCGTTACTGGCATGTGTTTGAGATAGAATAAGTTCTTAAGAGTAAAATCTTTGATAGCTTTCAGAGGTGTTAGTAGTGTGAAAAGTGTTAAAGTTTATTCGGTTTGAGCTTGACCGCTGTAAGCTAAGTCTTGGGCAACGTCGTAGCTACGCGCATATGGGTAGCTTCCGCCACCACCGCCTGATGACCATCCTTGAGAACCACCGCCATATCCTCCAGCAGTTGCTGCAGAGTTAGCATAGCCACCGCTTGATCCTAATTTGATAAAATATTTATTAATTAATCCTCGTTGCCTTTTGATATTCTTCACGTACCTCCGCCCAACAATCCACCGCCTAATCCTCCTGACAAACCAGCAACTTTTCCTAAGATTCCAAGACCGCCACCACCGCCTGAGCCTCCTCCTCCTGCTATCTTTGAAACCAACAAGACTACAGCCAAGAGTAATGCAATCTTAGACACAACCAAAGCTTTGAATGCCAAGAGAGCTAAGCCGACAATGAAGATTGGAACAATAGCGAGCATCTTCTTTCCGATGAGACCCATAAGCAATGGTCCAATCAACTTCTTCAATTTCCCACGACCTATTTTGGGCAGAAATTAAATGAATTAAAATTAAAATGAGTGTGATCTTCACTTTCATATCGTAACATTATTTTTTTCATTTTCATTTCTTTTAAGTATGAAAGAAAGAAATTTTCACCTTCATCAATGGCACGTGAGACTTCCTGGGTTGTGTCAGCTGGGAATTTGAACTGAAGAGTATGAGAGGCAAGGAAGTTGTTTAATGTATCCAAAGCCATGTCGTATAAACGTGCTGATCGTTGTTCCGGTTCAGTTGGGAGGGAAGAGACGATTTCATTCTCTGAAACTGCCTTTCCGGCGCGAGATGTGTAAGTTGGATCTCTGATGAGTGACGTGAAAATAATCGAGTGGAAATTTGTTAAAATGTTATCAATTAATTTAAGTGATTGTTTCTTAATTTTATTGACAAGCTTAAGTAGCACAGTTTCTTTCTGAATGGAATGCTTTTAAAGACGTTGTCCTTAATTGAACTCATGTGATGCTAGTTGGTAAAGTAACAACCGCAATGAAAAGAAATGTTTGGAATTGAGCTTGGGTTTGGCATGAGACGAACTTCCATTCTGTTATTTTTAGCGTTAAAGTTATATTTTTCAAGTGATTAGCAAGTTTAAGTTTTGACCGCTAAACAATCAAGAATTGAAAATTAGACTTCACTGAATAACTTTGCCAATATTCTGCACAATTATCAAGTCCACTTTTTCGTTTTCTTCTTTATTTTTTTCTGTTTTGTTATCACAAGAATTGGTTCATTCTTTTCATGTTATTCACCTTGCCAGAACAACTCCTTCAGTGATTTTGATGTTTGATGCACGAGCAGCACGATTCAATGCAGTAATTCCTTTGATTGCAAGACATGAAGTGATGTCTTCGTTGTCAGAGCAACTTCCGAAATATTTCATCACTTTGCTAACCGAACTGTCACTTTCGATCTGATTATCAATAACACCAGGTGCAGCCAAAGTGCTGGCAAATAACACTGCGATAATTATAAACACTTTCATTCTGATTTCTTTCTTGTTATCTTAATTCTTTTTTTTCAAAGTTTTTTTTATTCCTTTTCTTATAAAATTCACTTTAAATTTAAGAATATTTCACGCTTGAAATTCCGATTCGTTTTTCTAACAGTTCGTCGCGTCAGAGTCTGCAATGAGTTGTGATGTAGTTTTGGAGATTGTTTACCCTTTTATACACTTCTTATTATTTATTTTTGGATTTTTGATGATATTTTTTTAAGTAACTTAAAGAGATGATAATTTTTTTCTTTTCTGTTGTTAAAGAAATTTCTTCTTGCGTGTACATACACAAATTTTTATTTCTTAAGGCACCACACTGATACCACAACTTATTTTGGTTACTCTCTCAAAGAAAAGTAAAGCTCAGAAACATCAACCCATCTTGGGTCTTCCATTTCACTTGAGATGACATCGACGTGAGCGCGAGAGAGAAAAGAAATTTAAGGTGTAGCGCGATGTATACACGAGGATGAAAATCTTTTTGTTAATTTCCGATATTTTTCTTCTTATATCTTACTTAGTTAGGTCTCTCATTATTTGTTCATAGAAAGCACCTTGGTGTGATTTGTTAGAATTTACATGGTTTGAGTGAGTCTATTGTGTGATGTATTCAAATATATGTTAGTTTTATTATGGGGATGGTACGGTCAGTGAGTCATGAATTTTAAGTTGCACATGGTGCTGTGATCAGCATAGAAAAAGAGTTGGAAAGTTTAGTATTGACTAAACATTTAAATCATCTTCCAATCAATGTCTTTCCCATTATCACACCTGTCAAGTTGAATCGATATTGAGTCAGATATAATTTCACATGTATGGGAATTGTTCAAGAGTCAGTACATGTGATATTTTCATTTACTCTTCAATGCTTCTTATGGGTTATGAAGAAGAACAGACGAGGATAGAAAAAGTGAAAAAAAAAACTTTCTTCGTGATTGAGTCAATTGTTCTGAAGGGAGAAAAGAGAAATATTTTTATGACTGGGTGTAGCACCAAAATTCGTAAATATGACGTGATGGAATTTCGTTAACCCATATTCAATTTAAATCTCTTGAAGGCTTTTCAATGTACATTTGTTGCTGCTCCAAGCGGTATGTTTACAACGCCCTATGATCTAGTGATTAACACATTTTACTTAATTATGGTAATTTTGAGGATCTTTGCTAAATAAAAGATTCTGAGGAGTGGAAAACTTTCTAACTGACGAGGTCATGGTCGGGCATTCAGCAGCCTAATGAAATCGAAGGAGAAGTGAAATATAAACGGAAACAGTTTTAATAAATATCATTTCTAATGACTTCATGAAATCCATTAAAGTAAAAGATAATAAATAAGACTCTCATTAAAATTGTTTCCTATTGTGTGACAATTGAAAAGTGAATTTGAAAATTCAATTAAAGTGAAAATTTTTTTCTCACATTGTTTGGTCAGTTGCTGGAATTTATTTTAAATATTTCTTTAAGGCACACATAGTCAGAATTATCGACATGTTGAATATTCAAATCAATGTAACACTTTCCGAATGAAAGCAATTTCTTTTTACGCTTCTTTTCTTCATTTTTGTTCACTTATCGCCGGTTCATGATGTTGACTTGAGCGTCTCATTTGCGTATGAATTTCGCAATTAAACATGAAAAACCCATTGTTTTGATAAGATCTAAAATCTTCTTAAAAGTACTTGATTGTTTATTGAAAAGTGTTAGGCACGAGTGCTTTCCAAATCTCCAAGAAATGTAAATAACTTCATGCGTGGGATAAAAATCGGAACAGTCACTTTGCAAATATTTACCCAAATAACACAAAACCTTCTTACTCGCTTTTGCATTTTTGATTTGGAATGACAAATACAAATATTAATAAAATTTATTAACAAACAATACTCATTACATTACGCTCAGACCTACCTCAGCTTAAAGTCTTTAAGAAGAAATAAAAATTAAATAAAATACGCGAGACTCAATAAGTATTCTTGGAGGATTTCATTTATGAGGTTTTTAGGTCGCTTTCAGGTATGCAAAATATGTGACTTCAATTAGACACAGTCAGTGCTGTGATCGTCTCACAAGTCACAATCAATCATGGAAACGAAAAATGAATGATTACCAAATTAAAATTTCGATTTCTAAAAAATATTCTTTTCATTCGTCTCAACGATCATCAATTGTAATAGTTTTGACTTATCTATTTGCTTGTAATCGTCGAAGAGATTAGTGCTGGTGATTATTTGAATGTCCATTGGGCAAGATTGACCCATCATGACTTTTTCTTCTTTCCTCAATTTACCTTATTTTTAATGGACAAATAAGACCACAAAAAAGTGTCAAAAGTTTAATTAAAATTCACAAAAAATACAAATGACTAAAGACTCGTTTTCATTTGCTTTCATTCATAAAGTTGTTAATTTCATTCACCATACATGCGGCTTTTGAATGAAGAATGACTCACAAATCGTTTTGCATAAAATGCTTTGCGAATAAGCGCGTGAATATGCAAATAAAGCAAACTGTAATATTTATTAACGATATGAACAAAAAAAAAAAGGCAAAAGAAAAAGAAAAGAAATAATAATAAAATCTACAACAGCATCCCATTAAACAACCGGAATTTCTGTAAACGAATTTCAATGTGAAGTAATAATGTTGTTATGACGTAAAGCAGACACGATGCTCATAGAAATTGATTATTTTATTATAATATTGTAAATCAGTAAAGAAAACTTTCTAAAGACTCTACAAGTGTCGCATATGGAAGTGCATCCGTGATGATTCAATTGACAACAATTTCATGAATAGCGGTGTGGCAATATTATTTGTAAAAGAAATTATTGACGATGAGCTTTTTTTTTCAGTGTTCAGTTTTGAGGTAAAGGTGAAGCCTTAAATATTTAGTTGAAAATCTCATGAATGTGACACGTTTTCAAAGACTTCTTTATGTTCATCATTTGTAGGATATAAAAGAGAATTTGTCAAATTAACGGTGCTGCTTAAATTGTTATTTCAATCGTCGGAACAATGTTAAATAAGTTGAGGAAAGTAAAAGCCCTTTTGTTTCATCAAAGTGATGAGTAAATATATGAACAATCCATCGACACTAAACAAATAACTATGGTCCGGTGCTGCCTAATTGAAACAATGTTAACAAATTTCAACAGTCTAGAAATTCTCACGAAATATTGTGAGCCATAGCACAGCACGTCAGTCGTCATAGAAAAGAAAGTAAAAGCTGAAAATTAAATTTCTTTGTTGAATCATGAATCAAAATAAAAAGTGAGAAATCTTTTTCTGTTACTTGTTGATGTTTAATTTTTATGCGCATTACTTGAGACTTTGAACAATGAACTTGGTTTATGAAATTGTTCAAATTCTAGCGGATATGAACTTTCTTCGTGTCTTGAATACTTTTCTCTCTCTCTCTCTCTTGTCTTTTCTTATTCATTAAAGAAATCTGCCCGTTGGTTGTTACCTTTATCTTGTACTTTAAATTTACCTTTTGCAGCAGCATATCAGTTGAGGGCATGGCTATACATTTAGATGAATATCTCATCATACATGAAAGCTTACATCTTTTACAATAAATGGAACAAAGGTACAAAAAAACACAATTGAATGAGAAATGTTCAGTTGTAACATTTTATTACTTTTTTTCTTTTAAATACATATTTAACTTCCATTTTAACGCTCAATTATTTCGTACCATTCATGAATCATTAAAATTACACTTTCAGTTAATGTGATGCGATTCTTCTTTATCTTATGGATAGTTAGTGTAAAAGACAAAAAAAAATGGTAAATTAGCCTTGAAAAATTTTAACAGTCATTCATTTATTTTCTACTAAGCAGCGATAATGTTTCAATGCTAACAAAATGATCAGGAGAAAATTCCGATGCGGAAGTATTTCGACACATTTACCAATAAACGTTAGTTAAGTTTATCGTGCAGATTGATAGACGTTTTATTATAAATACTTAGCTTAATTAGACACATCAAATGATAAATGAGAGACGGTTGGGTTTCATTCACGCACTTCTTTTATGGACCGTAAAATCATCCAATTTATGTAGTGATATGGAAAATTAATGAAGTGGAAAGTAAGTAAGTTAAATTTTCTGATATTATTACGTCAAATCTTTTCAAAAGAATGTTAACGGTCATTTCTAGCTGTAGCAGCTTAAATTTTGTGACACTACAAGAAAGGAAAACTTAGACGGTTATTATGATTAATTTGCTGATCTTTCCGCCCATCTGCTCGATTTCTATTGAGCTTAGATGAGAAATGGTTCCATAAATGAGTGTTGTAAGTTGTACCAGAATTATTAACCGATTTTTTATTATTCTTGAGTTCATCTCTGCCTCTTGTGTCCACGTTGAAATTTCTATTACCATCAAATGCTTGCCATTCTTCTTCTGTAAGAAGATCGTCACCAAAACTTCCAGGCAAATCACTGCCAAATTTAACGTCAAGAGTGTGGGGAAACTTTCCAGTATGATTTCCTTCCAAATTTCTACCGAAATTCTCATCCCAATTTTCCCCATCAAAACTCTCGTCGAACTTTCCATCGTAATTTTCTCCAAAACTTTCATCGCTATTTGTGAATGAGTCTGGATTATTTGCATTATATGGAAAGTCATAGAAAAATGGTGTTGTGTCAAAAGCTGTTTCCGGAGCGTATGTGATTGGTATGAATCGACTTTCTTCGTAAAACTCATCATCTTTAGGTTTCCGCCACTTTTTTAATGGAATGTGAACAAATTCGACTTTAGTGCTATCAGAACTTCGATGTTGCGAAGATGAGTTGAGATATTGCTTGATTGCAATCAGTGATGCAAGCACGAATGAAGCTTTGCTTAATACAAAAGAAATCACACTCAACATCGCTATTTTCTTTAAGAATAAATGATAAAGCACCATCTTCATTCCAGCAAGTGCAAGCAATAATGGTCCATATTTCTTAGCATGATGTTTCTTATACTTTTTCTTTCTGCTATATTTGTCTTCATCCTCACCAACATAATCAATATCGTAATTATTATCATCAGTACTTCTGTAACTACTCTCAGTCATCTAAATAATGAAAAATTTCTTTAAATGCTTAAAAATATTTCTTGTGACAATTTTGTTTACATTTATTCCATTGTTTTCACTGTTGATGAATTTTTCTTCTAAAATGAAACATTTTTTCACTTTAAATTAACATTATCAGACGAAAGAATCTCACCTTCTTTTGTTTCTTCATTTTCATTAATAATAATGCTTGAATTATTGTGATTTTGAGTTTGTTCACGTTCAGGTTTGTCTTCAACTACTTCATAATGCACCGACTTTGTATCAACTTTGGACAAGTCTTGGAACAAAGTTAAAATTCCTAATGTAACGATTAATCTAAGTTTCATATTCCAATGAATGATTTGTAACTAAGCCAACGTCCGAACTCTTCAGTGGTGCTTACTGCTATGCATTGTATAATTAAGTTACGCAATTACAGTTCGAGAAAAAATCTCTTAAATAACCACACCCGTAAGAATGAAAGAGATAAAGTTAGTTCGAGATTAAAAACCATCTTCAATTACCGCACGAAAAATTATTTGAAATAAAAAGTAATAATTAGCAAGAACATGTTTTTCATTTGTTTTAATAATCTTTATTTTCTTTCATATATATCTGATACAAAAATCTTACATATCTAAGTTTCAACCATTGTTAAATATATAGAATAGTTTTTTGTGTTATTGTTATTCGTATAAGGGAATAACTGCATTAAAATATCTAGGTATGAAATACGAAACCGAGAAAAATCATTCACGCACAATTTCAAGCTTTTTTCTATCCTAGTGCGATCTATGAGAGCTTTTTGAAAGCTTCAAATTCAAAAGTTTTGAAGATCAACATAAACTATGTTTCCATAGCTATGTTCGCTATGATTGTAATTATGAATCGCATGTTTTTATAGACAGACTCATCATTCATCATTGGAAAATATGTCATGTGATTTATTATTTGTGTCTATTTAGATTCTTAAATGTTTACGAAAACTACAGGTTTAAATGATTACATGAGCGTGACAGTGATCATTTCTAAAGTGGAACAGGAAAGCTGAGAACTTTTACTTTTATTCTTGTTACCTTAAATATACAAAAGTTCATGATGAACTTTGAAGATGTTATTTCTTTGATTTTATCTTGATAATTGTAGGAATCAAACAGCGTGTGTGATGAGGTTGTGCTTCATGACGAAACATTATTTTAGAGTTTCAACAAATAGCGTGCGTCTAACGGTGTTATAGTTTCAATAACAAGCAATTAAAGAAGAGAAAATTGAATCTTGTGTGGGTTTTATTGTGGGAAATAAATGTATGTGCTGTTAAATTTTGTTGTGATTGTGGAATGCTTTTTAAAAACTTGCTTTGCATAAAGCCATGACAGCTGAAATGAGAAGAAAATTAGATTGAAAAGTGCAACAAGAAAAAAAGTGCTTAAAAGTTTCACCAAGATGAATAAACTTTTTCAGGAGCTTTCTTACCACTAAATAGTGCAAAGAAGAAGCCAGCAAGACCTGCAGTTTTTACAAGAAGAAGAAGGCCAGCTGAAAAGAAGGAAAATAAAATGTTAGAAGAATAATTGTTAGCCGGAAGATTGTGATGGGAAAATAACTACAAAACAATCACTTAATTTCTTAACCTTCTGTCGATTTGAAATCTTGATTGTTAAAAAATAATCTTTAATCCTACATAATTAATAATATAAATTATAATAATTTTGTTTCTTCTTTTTTCTTCTTTTTCTTTTTTCATACTTCATCGTTTCCATAAAAGTTAAAAGATGAAGGAAGAAAAGACTATAAAAATATTTCAAGAACTTAATGTTAAGGAAGAGTAGAGATTTACCTATAAATACAGGAATCAACGTAAAGAATTTCATCTTATACGCCAGAAGCAGTGGCATCATCAGCTTGCTTGCCATCTTGTATCCTCCACCTTTCTTTACTTTGTACTTCTTTTTGTGATGTTTCTTGAACTTATGTTTCTTTTTGAAGAACTTGTGTTTTTTCTTTTTTTTCTTTTTCTTGTCATGATGACCATGTCCATGTCCGTGGCCGTGCCCATGACCGTGGCCATGCCCATGTCCGTGTCCATGCCCATGATGTCCATGTTTATCTCGTAATTCAGATCCGCTGTAATTCTCATCTGTTCATATAAATAATCAAATTTAAATCATCGTTTGTGGGAAAGCAATTCAAAGAAATATTTACCCGAATAACTCCCTTCAATTGAATCATCTCTTGCCTTTTTCACTAATGCAGTTGAGTTTGTTGATGGTCTTACATTTTGAATGACGACAACACTCCTTTCGGCTGGTGAAATATTGGCAGCTTTAGTTTGTGATCTCACTGACGTTAAGTTTTTAACATAAAAGTCTTTGTATATCACTGCAGGTTCGTTTGATTTCCATTGTGGATCGAGTTTTGCCAATCTAAAGTTTATCTCGTTCTTGGGATGTTGAGTGATAATCGAACTGATCAAAATCACCAAGGAACAAAATACAAGAACAGAGATTGCTCTTCGCATCTTATAACTTTGTTCAGACACAGAAGCTTCGTGTTTTAACGTCTTCATTGACTCCCATCACTAGAACGATTGAATTTCTTTTTCAATCTTCAACTGCTGGTGTTGCTGTAGGATTGATGACAATCAGAATAGTGGAAAGAATGACACAGTTCAGAGTTGATGACAAATTTGAATGCTGAATGTGCCAACATAATGACTAAATGTCTATGTAGGCAGGTTAAAATATTTTTCATACTTCAGTAAATGTTATAATTTCCCAAAAGTGTTGTTATGCTCATGAAGCAAATTGAGATTACAACTTCAGTTCTTTTGATTAGTCTTAGAATGGTGAACAAGTCATAGAAAGATTTATCAGAAAGTTTTGCGCTCTCATTTGACGTTGTGACTTTGTAGAAACGTGAGGTATTTGACTCTGGTGCTTTGGTTTTCATCTCTCTTAAGATGTTTCTATCTTAGTGTCAATTGTGACTTTTCATTTTTGGGACTGTGGTGAACTTTTTTTATAAAAAGAAATTATTGAATGAATTGAGTAATGCATTGACAAATTATGTCTAAGATGAAGATTAACCGCAAAATATGTCTTCGGATTGAGCAAAGCATTTCCTTGAGTCATTAAAGATTCATGAGTGATGTTTCCTGAAAGATTTTCATAAATTCAGTTAAGTGCTATCAAAAATAAAACAAACAACTTTCATTGATTCATCTAAAAATTTGCTTCTTTCTTTTTTATGTTTTTCATTTTTCTTTTCAATTTTCCAACATTTAAAATTTCTATTCAATAAATAAGAAAATAAATTAAAAACATTTTTTTTAAAAACGTCGCATTAAAAATAAATAAACTTTCTTCTAATTGCAGAATTACCATTCGTTTTGATACAAACATTAACTGGTAAGTTTGTAGTGTGATCAATAATAAATAATAAAGAAATGAAGCATTTTAAATTAGGTAAAGACGGAGAGAGATAGAGAGGAGAGAGAAATGGAGATAGAGACAAATGATATAAAATTATTTATGATAATTGAGTCTGTTTGGTTAAAGTTGAATGAAAACGGTTGGGGAAATACTTGAAAAAATAGAAAGATTGGTTCCCAACATAGTCGTAAAGTGTGAAAAGATTTAAGCATGAAAAGAAATTTAAAAAGAGATTAAGAGAAATGTTAATCATGACATTTCTTATGGTTTTCAATTTCTACTGAATAATTGTGTTCATAAGAAGCTGTGGAGCTATGCTTTCTTCATCTTGACAAGAAGAATGACATGATCGTCTAAGTAAAATAAAAAGAAAGAGTAAAAGTAGAAGGCAAAGAAACAATGTTAAGGTTTGAGATCAATAAAGGTATGAAAGTAAATAAAGCATTAAAGAATGAGAGATTTAAAGTGAATTAAAGTAAGTACTTTAAAAGGGAAAAAGTTATTTAGATATTTTAGAAGCAGATTGCAGACATTAAAGTTAGTTTAGGAGAGAGAAGAAGAGAATTAAAATAAATAGCACAGATGTCGATGAAGGGCTGACAAACGAGTTTGATGTTGCAGCTTATTTGTGCGCGCGATAGACGAGATTGTGATTGGCCATCTGTTGATCGATCGAACGTTCCCATCCACCGCCGCCTCCAGCTGCCCAGCCTTGTTGTCCACCACCACCAGCTTGCTTTTGTGCGATAATCTTCTTAAGTCCAATGATACCAGCAAGTAAAAGCGCGATCTTCGAGACAATCTAATTAGGAAAGATTAAAAGTTTTTATTGATACAAATTTTTCTTCTTTTTCCTGAGATCTTACCAAAGCTTTTCCAGCCAAGACATAAAGGCCGGCAATTGCAACTGGAACCATCGAGAGAAGCTTCATGAAGAAGCCAGCCATCATCATCGACATCATTTTCTTCATTTTTCCACGACCTTCATTTTCATCAAAATTAAAATAAAACAAAAGAAAACAAAAATGATTCAATTAATTTCACCACGAACACCGCAAGTTTTTAGTGCATGTTACCTTCTTCCAATCCCCGGCCCAGTTCTTCAGTGGATAATTTGGGCAACTCAACTTGTACAGTTCTACCACTGACAAATGTGGCTGCTTTCTCGACAAGTAATTCAGTTAATGCTTCATCGCGTGCTTCCAATCCTCGCGGAAGATTCTTTTCCAATTCATTCTCACTCATCACTTTCAATTCTGGTGCATTTGAATTTTTCACAATTTTAAATCCTTCATTGACGGTCAACGAATCCAAACGGGCAACACGATCTATAAATGTGATGGCTTTTTTCTTAAGGCAGGCTGTCAATCCAAATTCAGCCTTATTGCACTCATCATAAACACGTAAAAGTGCTCTCGTGCCTTGATTGTAAACATCTTCAGCATTTGAACTCGCGACAAACAATACAATAACTGCACAAACTGTGAATTTCATTTTTATATATTTTTTTTCTTCAAATTCTTTTCTTTAATTAATCACACTGAACTTTATTTATTTTTCTTTGCTTCTTTTTTCTTTCAACTATTGCAAAATGAATCACAAGCAGATGATGATCATTGAACCACGGCTTTACAATTACTGATACCAAGTTCAGGGAATCACAAGATATTTATATATTAGAAGACAGACCCGGGAGAAGAAAAGCGCACGAAAAACACTAATCGTTGTTGTAAGAAAGAAGCCAACGAAATAGAAAGAGAAGAAGAAAGAAGTTGTACAATTGAAGAAAATGCGCCCGCAGTATGAAAACAATTGAAAGAAGTAGTGGAAGAAAGAGTCAAAACTATGTTTTTGCTCACTCTTTTATTCGTTTACATAAATATTTTACCCCACGAAAATTTCTTTCTTTCACATATTAAATTCTAAGCTCACATAGCTCATGCGAGAGATCATAAACGTGGAAATCTCTCGTTTTCTTTCAATGCCATGGAACTGTTGTTGTTGTTGTTGTTATGAGACGCGCGCGAGAAAAAATTTGCTTCAATCGATTGTTTTCCACTCTTCACCTTGACTCGTTTTTTGTAGTCTTCTTTTTTATTGTAATTACATTAACTTTTTCTTTTACTTACTGTTGTGAACTTTTTGTTTTTGTCCAAGAAGTGCATAATTGATGATGAACAACTTTACAATGCACTATCATAGATTCCATGCACATAAGGTTCGCAATGATCATTTTCAACTGCATGTCTTCTTTTTATTTTTTATTTTTCCTTCTACATCACGTCGGTCGTTAAGAGTTGCATTATTGTTGGAAATGTAGAAATGATAGAGTATTCTCACGAATTCGGCCAGTGTTCAATTGAGGCCACCCCTAATTGTGGCATCCTTATTTTTTAATTTTCAGGCCTTAAAATTTATTTTTTCAACAAATAAAAAATATTTGTTGATAGTTTAATGAACAAATTTCAATATAGGCTGCTTACTGGGACTTGAAATGAGTTTAATTCCGCATAATAATTAAATTCATTTCATCATAAAAAATTCCCTTTTGAAAACGCCATTTTTTCGCCCCGCTTCAAGTTTTTAAGAAGCAAAAAATAACATTACTTTAAGTTATTTTATTCATTGAATTGCCAAAAAACAAAGTAAATCATGTGCAGAAAAGAACATATGAAACAAAATTTCGTAATAGTTTGTAATAAAAAAACTATTAAAACTTTTGCTCACACATTTTCGCGATCAAATTTGGCCATATAATTTTTATATGGAATCGCATTTGAAAAATTTCTCACCGTTAAATTTTCAAAACGTGAGCAATTCTTAGCATCATGCTAATTATTTAATTAAATGATCAGAAGTACATTCTAAACATAAATTATAATCAATATATTGTGTTATCGACATTATCTTTTTTAATTTCTTTGTATTTTTGATTTTTTTAACATAAAAAAACAATTTTTTTAACGCTTTTTCTCGAACACTGGCCTCAAACGATCATGTAATGTGGCCTCAATTGAATTTATATGGCCGAATTAAAGACTTTAAGTTTTATTTTCGTGTGACTCAAGTAGAAGTCGCATATTTTTTCTGTAAAGACAAATCAACTCTTGATTAGTTGATTGATCTTTTAAAATAGAAAAAACAAAAAAAAGTTGAACTATAAAAAAGTTATTGACTCTCAAAGTCAAAATTTCTAAAAACTGGCCGTTTGACGTGAGATTGCTCTATGGGAATTAAAGACGAGAAAAAGGAAATTGCACAAGTGAAAGAGAAATGAAACATGAAAAATGTTTATTCGACATTTGCTGATTTTGTGACGAAAAGAAAAAGTGAATAAATTTTCTTACTTTTATTTTTCTTCTTCTCGGGATAGAATGTCATCTTATGATTCCAATTTCATTTAACTTTATGAAAAGAAATTTGAATCTGAAGGTTCACAACATGCGACATTAAAGTTTTTTTCGACTCACTTTGATATGAAACATCCGACATCTAATGGACTTGTTGTTGCTAGAAGTTAAGCCAGAAGCAATGTAAATTAAGTCAGGCATTAAAAAATATGTTATAAAACATAAGCTGGTATGATTTAAAATCATTTTGACTTTCTTTCGAATGAACTTGAACGTTCTTATTTTGATTTTGGAATTTAAATTTTTCGTGTTTAGGAATGCTGCAAACAACTGAGATTGTTGTTATTATTTGGTAATATAAATTTTAATAAAAAAAGTTAGTATGGAAAGTTCTTTCATGATGGCAATCATGTATCGTGTGAGAAGTGGTTCAAATACTTAACGATCGAGCAATTTTCCCTTTTGCTTTGTTTCCCGTGCTCATCATCATCATCAACAAAGTAACAGCAAACAAATTTTCATATTTTCTTTGAATAGTGGCAAATCATTCTTATTATAAGATTCATGAGCTTTGGCTTTTCTCAATAGGTAAACAAACCTATACAAAATCTCATGATTCAGACAAATTAGCTTTCTGCGAACTTTGATTCATGAATGCGAGACTACACGCATAAACATAAAATGATTTAAATACTTTCATTCTCGAGATTTTCACTTTGTGGCTACTGACAATTAAGAATTCATAGTTGTAGGGCATGTCGTCGTTTTCACTTGATGTTTGGTTTGGTTGAACAACAACGACATTCTATTGTCGATGAGAATTGACGATGACGAAGCGGCATGTTTTTTGTTTCTGTGCCATTTCAGAGGCATTTAAATTGTTGATTGTTGTCTGGTATTCCATATTTCTTTAAACATTTTATCAGAGATATTAATCAGCTTAAAACCACACAAAAAAGCTTTTCTTCATGATGCGATCATTCAACATTGAATGAAATTTCAAAAATGTAATCAATCTTGACGGTGATGTCAATGTGCTCTAATTTTTTTTATCCATAATCTTAAACCTGTTAAAGAAACTTTTCCCTTTTCCCTTAAAGCATAATTCTGATAAATATTTTTCAAATCGAATTGAATTGAATTAGCAACCGCAAGTGCTGTGAGTGAGAGCGCGACAATACAGCGAAAACGACGAACGAGACAGTAAGCAGTTAAATCTGGTTTACATAATTTTTCATTCATGATTTGATTTGTGTACGTATAAATTGAATCTCAAGAGACGACAACTTTGTTTTCATTTGGTTTTTACTTTTTGATAATTAGACCATGAAATATTTACGGTTCTGTCTTCATAACATACGTAAACGATACTTTAGGTCATGTTTAATTAATATGCCTACACATATTCGATGGATATTAGAAAGGTTAAGTTGAATTCTTTTCATTTATGCTTTTCTTGCATTTATTTCTTCATCGGGAATGGAATTTCTTACCGAATCAACCAAATCAACTTTCAGTCATAAAAAGAAATATGAAATAAAATTTCTCCATTTGTTCACCTTCCCAGAAGCTTTTAAGAGTTTAACGCACTTGAACGACCTGATCCACAAGATCAAGTCGTCGTGCGAATGCATAAAATTGTGCAATTAATATTTTTTCTTCAGAATTTACTTCGACACATTGCAAATTTACAACTGTCAATATGTACAACAACCAACCAAAGGCAACGATAAGATTTTTAATATCTGTAACTTTATTTTTGTGATGTTTTCTTTTTGAAGAAAGTGAAAATCATTATTCTACAATTACAGGGCGTAAACATAAACCTTTTCATTATGTGTTTACTCGCAGACATATTTTGGTGGAAATTTAACGCGTCTTTAACGAGAAATTGTGCGAGTATCGAAGGTAAATTGTTGTTAAGGTTTAAGGTGCGTAATTGAATCTCGTTAGCAGTTAAAAACTTGGTAATTAATGAATGATTTAGAAATATCCAGGTTAAGTTCAATTAATGTTATTTCTCTTAAACTTGTACTGTTGTTTCTCTTCTTAAATACCACAGCAAGCAGTGCATATTTATTTATAACATTTCGCCGCTCGTGCGGTCAGTTTTTGCTTGAAATTTATGGCATTTTTTTTTATCGTATCGTCGGTCGACTTTTAAAAGTATGATTTGCAATTGGACAATTTTATTACCACTGTGCGGAAAATTAATGCAAAGTGAAACTATTGTTCAGTGAAAGAGTCATTTTAAATTTTAAAATCAAACAATATCTATTATGAGAATTATGATTAGCAAATGTCTTGGAGACTTGGAGGAAAACTTTTATTAAGCTCTGATTAAAATTGAAAAGCGTCAAAGCTTAATTGACTTTGTTATAATTTGATCACAGCATCGATTCGCTTGAAGACATAACTCCACAGTGATTAGCATGAGCAATTGATGTTCATATGCTCGTGGTTTGGATAACCATTATTCGCCGATAGCATAGAAAATTAGAATATAAAACATTTTGTCGATGTATGATAAATCGTACAATTTGAAAAAGCACGTTTTAAATCTTCCTTTTTCGAAAGTGTTGTTGTGGTTTTTCATTAGCAATTTTGGGAAGCATTTTTCATTTGATTTTGTGTTTTAGCTATCTAAGTCGAGGTTTGATTAATAATCTTTTTAAATGTAAATTCATTCACATGAATTGCCAGAATCAACATAAGCTGTCAGCGAATAACTGGAGTATAAATGTTACTAATGCGATAAGTAAAAGTGTTCATTTTCTTCTATGTATGACCTCAACTGAATAAACTCGCATAATGTGTGAAACTTTAGAATTTATAATAAAATAATATAATTTTTGCAAACATTTTCTTTCATCTGTTTATTATAAAGAAACATTTTTTTAATTATAACTTCATTAAATCATTCTCTTCTTCCCTCATTCCCAAGCACTTCCACATATCCACCGATCTCACGAATTTTCATTTCTTTTCTCGCGCGTGTTTTCAAATAAACTTTTCACTCATTTCACTTTCATCAAATTGAATAAGCAAGCTTGTGAAGATGTGCATTCCTTATGGAATATTAAATTAAATTACAGGTTTTTCATGTGTGCGACTTTTTTCTTCTCTCTTTTTATTTTTGTTCTTAATCGCTTCGGTTATTGACATTTCACAAATTGTAAATTTCTTTTTATTTAAATGTCTTTTTTAAATACAGTCGATACTTACTTTTTACATAAATAAATGTGTTAAATATCGGAATTAGATTAATTTTTATCTTTCTCTTAAAAGCAGTAAAAAAAATCATGTCGCCATTATTTAATTAATGTCGATAATCAAACTTTAAATGCACAAGTTTTCCCAGTCTCTTTGCAATTTTTATAATTTTTATTCGCCATGTTTCCAGGCCTTTCATTTTCTAAGCTTTTCCTTTCTATTGACAATCGCTTACAATCGTGAACAGCATAAATTTCCTCGTCTCATCATAATGCATCAAACGATCATGGAGCGAGGAAAAGTCACGATATCGACAGTGAAATTCTTCAAAGTTCATTGGAGTTTGAGAAGCAGCATAAAGTTCAAATGAATTAAACGAATTTAATGTTTCGCAAATATCTTTATTATAATTGAAAAATTAAAAACAAATTTTATTTTAAATCATGAATACAAACAAGTATCTAGTAGAAGATGATATTCACCAGAAGCTGGCTAAATTCTAAAAGGCTCATCAACGGACTTATGCAAATCAATCTTTATTTAAGGTAGAAGAGCGAATATAATTTCGAATTTAATTTTTTGTCTCATCTTTCTTATCTCCTTTCTCATCATCTTTTGTGGTCGTGTCTTTAATCGAAGCTTTTTCTAATGCTTTTACGAATTGTTCCAAATCACCACTATTTGCAGCTGAAACAGCATCGTCACTTAATTTAAATTGAGAAACAACAGGACCGAGTTGACCAGATTGAAGGGCGTTGGAAAACATTGAAAGAGCTTGTTGGAACTGTGGTGATGCCAATGTATCTTTGAGCTGTTGTTTGACAGCATTTGGATCCAAAGGCTTTCCTTCCTCATCGATGCTTGGCAAATGAGCTTGAAGTGCTTGTAAACGCTCAGGATCTGACAAGATTGAATTTATAGATTCAGAGTTAAGTGACGTTGACAAATCTACGTTGTGCTTCGACCCACTGGCACCGCCTGTGTTCATTCCAGCTAAATAACTTTGAAGTTCTGAAAGGAGAACGCGAGACGCATCTGTACTGCTGCCACCACTACTTCCACTGCCAACTGCTGGTGTGCTCACTTCTGTCGTTTCGTCAGTTGATTTCTCCTTTCTGGGAGCTTTCGGTGTTGCAGGTTGAGTTGTATTCACAGGAGTTGCAACAACAGCTTCTCCTGATGTTGTAGTACTGGTCCTTGTGACAGATGAAGGCGTCGATGACGTATTTCGTCCGCCTGATGAATTGCGATTTATTGATCCTAATAATGAACTCAGTCCACCCATTTGGCCAACGCCACCAAACAACTGCATAAGCTGTTGTTGTGACATGTTATTGAGCATGTACTGCAAATCACTGCCTTCACGATTGCCACCACTGCCACTGCTACCGCCTCCTGATGATGGCGGATTATTCAGCAATTCATTTACACGACGACAATATTCATCATCCTTATCATTGGTTGGTTCTTGAAGCCAAAAGAATAACTTTCGATTTGATGATTTAAATCTCAACAAGAAAACTCGACCATCCTTGCATTGCTCGACTTTTTTGAATTCGCAATCATCGGGGAAGATAATCAAATCATCCTCAACATTTCCGGATGTTCTGTCTTTCCAACAAAAATGAGTTAAGCTAAAATTAAATTACTTAAATAAAAGTTTGTTCTGCATAACTTCATAAGCTTTCTTACCCGTCATCAGCCGAATAAATATAAAGAAGACCTTTTCTGAAAATAAATAAATTGCAAATTGTTGTTGTATTGAGTGAAATTTTTGCGCAATCATCACAAAAGAGCTTTTTACCTGTTATCAGGATGAACCATCTTCTTTTTAACACCGCCTTCTTCTCTATCCACCAAGTTCATTCTTCCAGCTTTGAATTCAATTGAATGTCTGTTTCCAGACGTTGAACCTAAAGATGAAGCAGCTTGGCCGAAGATCGACATAATTTATTTTTTTATAACTTAATTCGAATCTAATCCGCGTATTTTCAAGCAAACAGCGATATGCTGATTGTTAACTTTAAAGTTGATTCTAAATGAACGGTAAGTTTTACCTCTGAAAAAATAATCACGAATTAATTTCTCGGTGTTTTTGAATGAGTTGCAAGAATTGAATCGAGGTTATTAAGAGAATGGCCGGTTTTTGTTTATGACGTCTCGAGATAATTGCCTCGTGCCCCGACGGTTCGCGCGGATTTGACCTTCCATACAAAATGTACATGGGTTTTTGTTTATGACGTCTCGAGATAATTGCCTCGTGCCCCGACGGTTCGCGCGGATTTGACCTTCCATACAAAATGTACATGTTTTTGTTTATGATGTCTCGGGATAATTGCCTCGTACCCCGACGGTTCGCGAGGATTTGACCTCACATACAAAATGCACAGAAAAAATTTCTCCGTGCACGAGATTTTCTCCGTGCACGAGATTTCCGATGGTAGCGCCGCCAATGATGTAAAAATAAATTCACGTTACTCTTCAACCGATTCAAAATTAGTCAAACACCTAAACAGAATCTCTTGCCCTATCGTTCAGTGAAAAAATTCATACAAAACACATTCTAGCAATGTTTACATTAAAATTATTAAATTCAAGCACGATTTCAAGTAGATATACTTGCAGATATGTTACATCTGGTTCTCAAAAGCTTTTAGGTTTGTTTGGAAAGAAAGAGAAGGAACCAGAACCTGCTGAAAATGCTTTAGAAATGTTCGATGCAGATCAAAATGAAATCGATTCAGAATTGAAGAAAGAACGAATTCAAGCAATAAGAAACAAGTCAAGACTCAATGATAATCACCGCAGGTTACTTCTAGGTGAAGTTCCTTATCAAAACGCTCAAAGTTGGGTTCACAATACATTGAAATATAAAAGAAAATTATATGGAAAGCTTGGAGAAAAAAGCGGCTTAGATCCAAGTAACCTGATTTCGAAATAATTATAGACAGTTAATTAATGAATATTTTGTTACAGGAATATGTTTTTGGACTCATACTGAGATCGAAGACAAAAATGAATATGAACGTACAGCATATCCAAAAACTGTTCAAGAAATGATTCAGATCAGTGAACAGGATAAGAAAGAAACGAAAGAAAAAGAATTAAAACGAGATGAAGATATTGCAAGGAATCTTGAAAAACTTGAGATGTGGAAAACTGACATCGTAAAACGAAAAGAGAAGAGAGAAAATGTAAGCAGACAAATTCAAGATTTTTATTGTTTTTTAATAAAATTTAATTCTTTTATAGGATGCACGAGTGGCCAAAGAACGTAAGGATCGACTTATAGAAGAAGTTCGACGACATTTCGGTTACACCATTGACATTCGTGATGAGCGATTCAAACAAATGCTGGAAGAAAAACAAAAACAACAACGCAAAGCTATGAAGGAAAGTAAACGTCAAGAAAAGGAATCAAAATTGCTTGAAAAACTTAAAAGTGTAAAAGCGGAAGACAAGCTGAGTACGGAACCGTCGGAAAATAGTGATGAGAGTGATCCAAGTGAAGAGAAAGATGAAGACGTCAATCAAAACACGGAAGAAGAAAATGTGAAGAAGTAATGTAAAATGAGAATAAGTTTAGTCAATAAAAAAAATTTAAATCTTACCTAAAGTTGAAACTTTGTTGAACTTTTCAATGATTTATTCAGAGCAATGCATTCTGTTATGTTAGTTGGTTAATAGATTAAATTTTATTGAAACATATTCATTGAAATATTAAAAATGACATCTACAATTATAATTTGAAACCGTTTATATATATCTATGCAAACTATAAAGGTCCCTAAATGACAGTGAATAGAATCTCTAAGTTTGTAAAAAATACTCCTACGATTTTGATTTTCTATTGCTAAACATTCTAAAGACGATGTCTCATAGGAATGGAAGAAGATCTCAGCTAGATGGGTTTCCAACATTAACTTAATCAGAGTTAACAGAGTTGTTATCATCATTATGAAGGCACATGATTTTGGAATTCTACGGAAACGGTAAAAGATAAAATTTGCTTAATTTTTCAATTTCTTTAAATGACTAATGGATTTGTTGTGGCTTTGGACCATGAATTGATATCACGACCCAAAGGTTCAATCAATTTTGTTTAAAAAAAATTAAAGAATACATAATCGTACAATTCTAAACATATTTAAAATTATCATTTCCAAAATTCAGATTACAATTTTCATGAAGCAATCATAAAATCAACGACAAATGAAATGTAAGCAAATGATAAATTTATTAAAGGCAAATTTACGAGATAAGAAGCAGCCAAAAATTAAAAGCATAAATAAATACATTTTTTCCAAACTAATTTTTGAAACATTTCATCGGCCTAATTGTTATAATTATCATTAAATCGATAATATAAACGGTTTCAATTGATGTTTCATGTTTTTGTTCAATAAACTTTTACTTCCGTTGTTTTTCACGTTGCCTTTTAACGATGAACTCGTTGATATACTGAAATAACATTAAATAATGACGAAATATAAACGTTCAATCATTCAACATTTTTATTTAACTTCATTTTTGACAAGGTTTTCAGTTTCTTCTTCTTTAATTAAAAAGATTTCATCAGTTTACTTAATGTCATTCACAATAGATTTGTCCTAGAGCATCTTTAAGGAAAACATTTCATTCGTTGAGACATCTTAAATAGGAATCTTTAATGGATCATGAAAAGTTTTTATTCGTAAAGAACACATGAATCAAGTTCTCTCTAATTGACACGAAATATTTAAAAGTTTCGATTCTGTATGAAAAATACCGCTTTAAAATGTCTCAATCTTCGATGGTACAAACATTATCGTTAAGTTTTCTTCATATTAAAACAGCTTCATTACTTAATTCTTTTTTTCTCTTTTGTCACAAACTTCTTAAACTTGAAAAATAATTTCTGAGATTAATTCCCAAGTGGTGTTAAAAGTTACCAGGAAACTTTAATTTTTACAGCTAAAGCTTTTGTCAAAAGTACGAATGAAAGAACAGAACAACATTAGCAGATTATTTTAAATATATATTTATATATATCGAATGTGCGTATTTTTTGATTGATGTTTAAGTCCAAAATTGTTTTTAAAAATTACTGCCTTTTATTTTTACCTAATTAGTTTTGATTTCATTTGAAAACAAGCGACTTTGCTAAATTAGGTAGATAAGCCATGAAACAAGAAGAAAATCTCAAAATTGTTGCATTGTGTGTAATTTCAAACAAAACTAAATGAGAAAGAAAGAAGAAAAATAAAAGTCGTTCATGTGAATGAATAAAGTGTTTGTTTTCTCAAATAAAGATCAAAAATGTTGTTGATAAAAAGAACTTTAAAAACTTTAAATTTTATTCACTAATTAAGTAATATGTTTAACCTTTCCTTGTATTGCTTATTGCTTCTTCTGGTTCACTACAGAAAATATTCAACAATGAACTATTTATGAACTTCAATTTCGATATATCATTTTATCTACAAGTTTTAAGATAGTTTTTCTTACATTTTCTTCTTCTTCGTTTTATTACAAAATAGTTTAAATTCTAGCTAGGATTTTTATAATAAGAGCACGATATTTGTGCGGTTTTGAAGCTAAACTTTTGTAGAAGAAAATTCTCTCTTATTTTCATGTCATATGATTATCAAGCATGGTTATAATCATGCAATTCTCAAAGCTTGTAACGCAATAACGTCGTAGTGGATTTTCATTATTATTCTGAGCCATATTACTTATTAAATATTTATGTACATCAAAATATTTATTGCCCTGTTCTATTCTATTAATTTTATTAACACAAGTTATAGAAATATTATTTAATTTTAAAATTTTCAAGATGTCAATATTAATTTCTTATAAATTTCCCAAATTTGGAAATTCAACTTTTTGCACATGTTAAGCATACATTTTTGTCTGTTGTGATTGTTTTTTATTCTCTTTCTTCCGTATGAATTTCCAAGTTGAACATTTTAATTTAATTCTATTTCCAAATTTGTAGGTAAAGTTTTTCAAGTACTTCGAATATTTGAGAAAGTTTCAATTTAATTGACTGGATAAGTTTTTCTTTTTTCTTTGTTAAAAGTTGAAAATGAATGTTACGATTTGTGTTGGAATGTAGGTGGATATTTGGAAATGAAATGAAAAAGATTTATGTAGAATCAATTTGGATATTTGAGATCAGAAATTTTATTTAAAATAATTATTCATGAAATATTTTAGATATATCAACATTTAGATATTTTAATTAATTATCTTTTTCTTCAGCTTATTCGAGATTAACAACAAAATTTCTTGAGTAATGAATGTCAGAGGATGAAAATCTTTGAATTAGATATATGGTATTGCGACTTAGCTGTAATCATTAATAAGGCAGTGCAATCCAAAAATATTAGATATTTATCGTTTAACATACATACAATTTTCTTGAACATAACGTTTTAAAATAGTTCGTCAGTTATTAAGTATAAGGCTAATTTTGTTAGTCAACTTTCTGTTTGGATTTATTCATCGATTTACATGTAGATATAAAGTAAATAATTTAATTTATTTAAAATGTTTCAAATAATAGTTAGTGGAATTCAAAACGATATACTCAATAGAAACAATGTGGTTGTTTTAAACTTTTCATTTAATCGACGACATCGTTCATGCTTTTATTTTTATCAACTGAAAAACCTCAAATTTTTAGGCTATGAAACTTTACATACATTACAAAACTTTCCACGCTATGAAGAAGCTCATTTGAAAAGCACTTGTTAAACTTTTGCCATTCAAATATATATAATTAAGCAAAGCCAAAGGAAGCAAATCAAATTAATTAAAAAAGTTAAAGGTTTTCCTTTCATTACTTTTGTAAGTGTCACGTGTATTCTGTGTGTGTGATTGTAAATTTTATTAAATATGAAACAAATAGTTTTAAAAGCCAGAAAAACAAAAGTTAATAAAATGTTGAGCAAAATTCTTTAATCAAAATAATGAAAAGGAAAAAACTTATGAGAAGTTTGTGAATGTGTGAAAATTTTACCGATGCACAAAGCACGAAGAATTGCTCACTTGAAGTTGGGCACAGTAAGGAACCTGAAAATAATAATTTAAGTTGTGATAAAAGGAAAGCAAGAGATAGAGAGCAAGAGAAATATAAAAAGAAGAAGAGACAGAGATAGATAGATAGAGGGAAGGGAAAGAATTATAATTAACTGTGGTGTAGCGGCGTAAATATCTTGCTGTATAAGTAATTTGTTAAGTATCAATTGTGTTAATATGTACAAATAGTTTTCAACATAAGAGAAAATGAATTTGGAATTGTTTTGAGAAAGTTCAACTAGATTAAATTTAGCTTAAGAGCTTTCAAAGATGCATCGAGAACTAGCATCAACAGAAGAACGAAACTTATAAACGAAGCCCATTGCAATTTGTTTTACTTAATTTTTTTGCTTTTGTGTCAACTTTTTCCTTAATTGGTCATCTTAATATTCAATTCAAAGGCAATAATTTACAGAATAGATAATGAATTCTTTATGTACATACATAATTTTGTCTTTTTTAATGCTTTTTTTTATCAATTTCATTACGTGTTTCTAAAATTTCCTTGTTTTGCGACTAGGTAGATGGATAATCAATTTACAATCAATTCTCACTCACCTTACAAACAGTGGTGCATGATGTGCAATCTTTAGATGGTAATTGCAACGTTTGATCATCTGAATACAAATGTTTATCGTAGAAACATGGCTTTCCAACAGAATTTGTTGTGTTATCAAATCCACATGAATCACCAGGACAACGACGACAACAATCGCCCCTTTCCAACGGTAATGGATTTTCACATGTCAATGGCGGACATTCCATCTTCCAACAATCAAATTCACCGTACTGAAAGTGTTCAAAGTTTTCTCATTAAATATTTCAAAAGTTTAAATTATGAATAAACTCACCAAACATTCACATGTCTGACATTGATAAATCCATTGCTCGCCACTTCTAAAAGTCACCTGTTTAAGTTCTTGATGTTGACAAGACTCTTTCGGATCACATTGTGGACAACACAGTTCTCGGTCTTCGGATTTTCTCCATTTGGAACAGTCACATGGAGGTTCAGCACATGTTATAACTCCTTTTGAACAGGTACACAAACTACATGGTTGATTTCTTGGCCTTATTTGACTTTGATCAGGAATCTCGTTGTTCTCGAACATGCAACTCAATCTGCACTGATTGCCCCTAATATCCCTTGACTTAAATGTATTAAGTGATGACTCCATCGAACGAAGGTGATGAAGATTGTCGCATTTACACTCGAAGTGACCATCAGTATTGACACAAGTTGATGATGGATGACAACTATGAGTGTTGTCTTCACACTCATCAATGTCTACACAATTGTTGTCTCTCATCTCATAACCGGGTTTACATTTGCAATAATACCTTTGAATATTTTATTAATTAATAACTTTATTCTACTTGCAATTTATTTATTTACCATCCTGGCATATTTATGCAGACTGAAGTGTTTGTGCATCCATGATTATTTGTTTTACACTCATCTAAATCTTTTTCACACGAAGCACCTTCATAACCGCCTCGACATTCACACTTATTTGGTGAAATGCATTCGCCACCATTAAGACAATGTGGTTCACAAACAGGCACGCAATAACGTCCATCACCAGCATATCCTTTCTTGCATGTACAATTATACGAGCCTTCAGTGTTGGTGCAAATAGCATTTTCATTGCATTTATGTTCACCGGCTTCACACTCATCAATCTCAACACAATTCCATTTATCGGAGCGTGTGTAGCCATCAAGACATTCACATTCATAGGATCCATAAATATTGACACATCTCGTGTTCATATTACAATGATGTCCTTTCTCGCCACCTCTCTCCAGACACTCATTTATATCTGAAATTGAGAATTGAGTCATGTGTGTCAGCATGATGTTTGATTATAGCAGCAGTAAAAAGAAAAAGCAATAGAAAACCCACCAGTACAGTTGAAGCCATCACCCTGAAACCCTTTGTCGCAATGGCACGAATATTTCGGACTGACGTTTAGGCAACTTGCTTTCTCATGGCAATGATGTCCCATAGCGCAATAATCGGCATCTTTATGGAAATAGCAGTTAAAAATTGGAAAAATATTGTAATCAGATAACGGTTTGGTTAGCAACAAAACAAATGTCGTTGTGTGAAAAGCAATTTTCTAAAATTACTTCATTATTCAGTCGCCTTTAATGGGCTCCCTTTCTATTTGTATAATACAAAACAATAATTTAAGAAGTAACTTTTCACTGTTCTTCTTCTTCTCGCTTCATATCTTCAAAAAACAAAGGCAAGGGAGGAACATTAAAAAGAAGATTTATTAACTTACCCTGGCAGTATTTACAGCATTCGTCTGCAACCGATATCTGCTTTTCTTCGGGACATGTTAACTTTGGGCATACAATGTTGACACATTTAAAGCTTCCATCAACACAAGTACAGTTGTTACACCCTGTTATATGTTTATCTCCATGTTCATAATCTATTTTGTTGAGATAACATGTTTCTGAAGAAGATTTATTGAAGAAAAGAAGAAACAAATTAATAAGATCGTTAAACAATTTCTTTCTTCTATTCCTACTTAAACACTTTGGACAACATTCGCCTTCAGCCATTATTGGATTTTTACACTTTAATTCTCCACATGGCCTTTTAAGACACGTGACAACACCTGATTTACATTGGCACTGATCACATCCCGAATCCCATTTTTCTCCATCTTCTCGACTCAACGATCCATTCATTGAGCATGATTTCTTACAATCGCAACTTTCCAAGTGCTCAATTTTCTTTAAAGAGTTTTCTAACTGTTTAAAAGAAGAAACAAAGTAATTAATTAGTAAATTATGAAATTAAGTCTTCTCTATTTACTTACTTTTTGATTCAGTTGAAAGACATTATGTTTCAATTCCATAATGAAGGATTGAAGTTGCAAAAATTGTCCACACGTTGGACATTGAGAATCCATATGCTCGCATTGTAACTGATATCCGTAGGGACCGGGCAGTATGTGTACATCTTGAAATTCCCCCTGGAATAATGTAAAAAACGAAAAGGAGAATTGAATTTCACTGCCAGACAATGACTTAACATCACTTGACTGACTCACCTTGAATAAAGAGTGACTTTTTAAATTTCGTTGTCCTACTAGTAATTGCATATTGGAAGCACTAAAATTTCTATCGGGTACATAATGCGTAACACGCTTATACAAGGGATGGCAATCAACGATTAATTGTATTTCAGTTCCGCTAATTGAAAGTGCTATCTTGTGCCATTTGTTATCGGCTAAACGATACGGAAATGACTCCATATGAACCATCAATTCATTCTTAGGACCAAAGTATGAATAATGAAAGCGAATTTCATTTCGTCTTCCACTTGATTGTAACTCTAAATATCTAAAGAGAAAAAAACAAAGAAGATATTTTTTGGGGTTTCAATTAGTCATTTTTCATTTTTCTAAACTTCTTTCATGTGTCAACACAGCTTTTAACTTTTTGTATTATCATTTTGATTAATGAAGAATGTTTTAAATCATTTAAGAGGTTTTTAAAGAGAAGATGATACTTGAATAAAATCTAAAAGGCGACCGACATTCAGTCACCATTACGATTTCTTGAATCGTTACTAATTTATGCCATAAAAAGTTTTATTTGAATGTAAATTCGAGTCGTCTGAACTTTGAAAGAACTTCCAATCCAATAAATTTAGGTTAAATCAACAATCTTACCTATTATAGCCATTTGAAAACGAAATAATTGTACCAGGATTTCGTTCATCTTGTTTCAATGTTGCGGCAAATGTGAAGTCTGAATTTCTTTTCAGCAGCTCCACAGCACGCTCATAAGTTTTGTAGGGTAGCACAAGTTTTCGATTGGTGCCTTGAAGTTTAAAGGCATATTTCTTTTGAGTACCTTGTGTAATGCTAACGCCTTCATATTGGGAAATATTTGCGTGCAAGTTTAATCCCTTCAGCAAATCTATTCCGGGATCGAAAGCACCGCCTGAAAAATATATGCAAATTAAAGAAAATGATTTCAGATTCAGATATGTGTGAATTCATATGAACAGAGATTTAAATATAGAAAGAATTTTTATTACCTAACACGACTAAGTAGCACATTATTAGCAGTAGTGCTAGCGTACATCCTAAGGATGTAATAACATTTATAATTGTTGATTTCATGGCAGAGCTGTCGCAGTTCGCGGCCTTGGCCGGTCGAGCTCAACAGTGTAAAGATTCCTAACGTACAGCAACATCACAGACTTCTCTAACTATTCGCTAAGTGACTTGAAACGCTTTTCCACTTATCCATTGATTAGAATTTTATTTCACTAAATTTAATTGAATTTTCTGTTTTCCTTCTTTTTTATGTATTAATTTGGGTTCCTTTTCAATTGTGTTTAAATTTTAAAGTCTCTCTCAAAAATTGCTTGTTTTCTTTTAATCACACTTAATAAAAGATTCTGTTTTCTTGTAATCGATTCACTTCCGTCTCAAACTCTCATTGCCAGACTATCAGAATTGATTTCCATTCTATTGAATATTGAATTTGTTTAGAAAATGTTCCTAAAATAACATGGAAAAGTGAATGAGTTAAAAGAAGAAGATAATAATCGCCGAAATATAAGCCTTTGATTTTATTTTATTCAATTTTTTTTTCGGGGGATTATTAATCATTTGTCTCATCAATAACTATTCTTGTCGTTTGCTTTTATGTTGAGTCGGCAATGTTATGGCAACAAACTTTATACAAAAATAATCAACTCCAATGAATAATTAAAAATATCTCGTCACTTTTTTTTGTCTTTTTGTCATGACAATTTAGTGGTAACTAACTACATGAAACTATTTTTAGAAACAGAGCTTTATCGTAATTATCACACGGAAATCACACAACATCTACATCACCCTTCCACTGTCGACTGAATGCGGATGAAACAGAATTATAGATTTTTTTTGACCTAAAGCATATGTCGCGTTTTATTATCTATCCGTACATATATCGTTCTGTTCTTTTTCCTAGAGAGTGAAAAAAGAAACAAAAAGAGCCTATGTGTGATAAAATAGTTGTGTGAAAGGTCAAATATGTAGTGGACGGACAATTCGAAATAACTTTCACAAGTAAATGGAATTTTCTTTTTCTTCTTCAATTCAAGCACTTTTACAGTTCACTTTGCGATGATAACAGATGACAAATTTGAGTTGTCGATTATTTATGATTCAATTGAGAGTTTTAAACATGTGAATTTTCAGCTCAATGTCCACAAAATACTCCAATTTCCATCACAACCTAACCTAGAAGCAATTAAAGTTTCCACTTCACTATCATTTTGATTCACTTCGACTCAAACTCCAACTCACACAATCCCCATTTTAAAAGTTAAATAGAATGAAATTAAATTAGTAATCATTAAGTTATTCCACAATTTACCTCAGAAATTTGATTAGAAATCTCTTTTGGTGTATTCGAAAAGTGTAGTGGTTTCGAAATGAAATAAAATTCATTAATCTACGATCCTGCGCAGTACGCACGAAAATTCAATATTTTATTTCAACCAAAGAAATATTTTTGATGAAACTTTTTTCTTTTGCAATTCATTTTATTTCTACAAACGTTTTTTGATCTACGACGGGTCACTTTGAAACTTTAATAGTAACACTCAAATTTAGCAACTAACTTTGATGAATTAAAAACTGTATTAACAATTAATACTTTTTTTCAAATGACAAACAGATATTGCTTTCTATAAAGTTTCATTTAAACTGCCCCCTGTTGTGCCGACGGCAGACGATTGTAGTTTAAGATATATCGATATAATCTGATACCGGCTCTAGGGGGTGCGTTTGATTTTCGAGGTTTTAGTTTCTACTGTGCTTATGTTCACCGGTTTTCTTCTCACTTTATGTTGTCACATTCACCCAGTGGTGAGTTTTTAGGACATGGACATTGGCTTTATGAACTTAATTACAATTTTATTTGCTTATTATTATTTTTTAATTAAACTCAATGCTCACTTTATTCCTCTAAAATTATAGTTTATGAGCTGAAGAGTTTCTATGACAACTTCCCCTTTCAATCGTGAATTTTACCTTTCTACGATGTTATTTGTTTAAAATGTTATTGAAATGGTCGTTGCACGGTTGTTGTTTGATTGCAATTGCATAATGGGAACTATGGAAATAATCCTCGTGATGAATATTTGTTTAAAAGAAAATTCTTTCAAAAGAATTTTCATGAAAGTTTTTAAATATTTTTCATGTTGTATTTATGGAAAAAGGCTTTATGATATTAAAAAATGTGTACATAAAAATTCGATAAGCTTTCTTAATGTTAAAAGCTTGTAGGATAAGTAGGGTTGCTCATTGCTTGTACCAGCATGCTGGTTTTTGCTGGTTTTTCCACCAAAAAACCGCATGCTGGTAATCCAAACCAGCAAAAAAACCAGCGTTTTTAGAAAAATGCTTTTTTCAACGATTTCTCAAACTAAAATTGATTGAAACATGAAAGTTCGATTTAAATTTCAAGAGCAAAAATTATAATTTGATTAAAATGATTAGGTAATTTGATTAAAAAATAGATAATTCACTCATTTGCTTACGAGATCTCCAAGGTATTTCGACTTTAATAATTTCATGATTAATATTTTTCTTATTATGTCTTGCAGAATATCATCGATTGTAAGCAGTGAAGCTATGTTCAACGAATGAAACTATCTTACACTTCTTACTATCGAGAATTTAATTTGTTGTTCCTTTGTCACCATTTAGACGTCAGTTAGGTATTTTGAAATCAACATGTTCTTGATCTAATTACTTAGTTGATTAATAGAAGATTCTCTCAATACATACATGAACATAATTAATGCTTCCATCTTTTCGCTGATATTTAACTTATCAAATGCTGCTTCTATTTTTAACGTCAAAGGATTGTTCAAATCTTCAAATTCTTGAAGTTTTGTAATTAAATATAATTTTANAAACCAGCAAACCAGCGCTGGTTTGCTGGTTTTCCGAAATTGTGACTGCTGGTTTGCTGGTTTTTATTTTCCGCTGGTTTTGAGCAATCCTAAGGATAAGAAGATATTCCCTGAAAGAAAAGTTTGGTAATGACAACGATAAGAAAACATAGTCGCATTCATTAATTAAGTTTAAATTTAATAAATTTATGAATAATGCTAAATGTTTAAGCATTAGATAAAGTGAAAGACATAAAAATCAACCAGTAGCATATTTTTACGATTAATGCTATTCTCATGTTATTTTCCCTTTTTTTGAATTCTCTTTTTTTCAATTATCTTGTAGCTTTATGCTCTGTAATAAAAGTAATGATGTTTTAAGAAGATCTCAATGAGATAGACATTTCATTGCTTTTTTTTCGACACAGACTGAAATTTCATTGGCATCGAAAACGGTTTGTTGTTAACGCTAGCTTAAATGTACTAAATAAAAGGCAACAAAATCGTTTATTTCTTCTTGAATTCTTATTCAAATGTCATTACATCTTCATCACTGAACTTTGATGTTCTATCTAATTCAATACGGTGTTTGTCATGCATATAATTCGTTCAAATCGTTTGAAGAGTGAAAAGTGAAGTGGTTTGGATCTGTTTATTATGTGTGCCTTATGTGAGAAATTTCACTTAACATTTCGTCGGCAGTTGAGTGAAAAAACTAAAATACAAGGCGAAAACGAAAGAAAAGAAGAAAAAATAAAAAGTTTTACTAATTATTCTAACACAGCTTATCGAAAAATTGTGTTAGTAATCGCGAGCAGAAATTACACGCTCTGAAACCTCAAATTGTGCATTTTCAAATGCAATCAATTGAATGATTCCCCTCTTCTGATGGAATCTTTCTCTTATTTCATATTCTAAGAATTGCATTTTGAAAAGAGAGGCAACCGTAATCTTAAGATGTGCATAAATTTTTGTGCATATATTTTGAATGCATTGTGAAGTTTAACCATCAGTTGTGTTTAATGCTTTAACAAGAGAACTCAATCATCATTGCATTGTTACACATAAAAAAATTATGGAAGGTTTTAAAATTGTTTTTAGTGTCGTTCTTATAGTTTTATTTGCTAAAACGTCAATGACATCATCAACTACCGAAAATGCAGTTAAAGTGATGAATAAAATTTTTAATGTGTGTGAAAACAGTGAAGAGTTGGTGAAATGTATGAAAATTCAAGCTTTAAAACTGACAGATCGAGCACTAAAATTGCCAACAATTAGAATAACTGATGGATTGACAATTATAAAAAAAGAAGAAGTCGCTGAAAATCGTTCATTTAATGATTTTGACAGCGAAAAATTTATGAAGTTTCCATCCTCAAAAGTTGATGAATTGTTTTTTGATCGCATCAATAAATTTATGGATTCTCATCAGCTTTCGGTAAATGTACCACGCCTGTTATCATCATCAGAAACGCCAAGACTCGTTGAAGAGGGAAGAAAAAAGATGAAGAAATACATGGGACCGTTTCTTGCTGCCTTAGCACTCAAAGGCGGTATTTTATCTATGGTTTATCACTCAATCGCCATTGTTGCTGGAAAAGCTTTAATCATAGGTAACAAAAGGGAGATTTGTCTTCAATCATTTTCATTCTTATTCTTATTTGTAATCAGGAAAAATCGCACTTGTTATCAGTGCCATTATTGGATTGAAAAAGCTGGTAACACCCGAGGGACATGACAAAACAACGTATGAGATTGTGAAACATCCGCACGTTTCAAACAGTCACACTTACTCATCCAGCAGTCATGGAGATTTCGATGGACATGACGGCCAGTATCACCGAAGTTTGGGTGACAACGTTGACATGATGATGCAAGATAGAGCTTATCGAGGTCATAAATAATAAAAGCAAAAGGTGAAAAGAATTAACAACAAGTTAAAAAGAATGAAAAGCAATTCAAAGAATTAAACAATTTAATTTATTTCTTAGTCTGTACTTAAAAATGATTGTAATAAATAATTTATTAAAATTAAAATTAAAATGTTTCAACAATACAACGGCTTGAGATTTGATAAATGGAAGCAAAAGAAAAGCAAAATGAATTTCAACAGATTTTCAGGTACCTGCAGCTGAATCAGCAAACGATACAATCTTGAAATTTCGTAATTTTGTCTAAATCCCTTGCTTCTGTTTTTCACTGACTGTGATAAAAAGCTTATACTCCATCATAAGTTGGCAGTGTTGAATGCCCTCGGTACGCTAAATCCTCTGAAACTTGCTGATGTTGCTGTGCCAACACAGGTGACATTGCATGAATACTTTTGGTTAAAAGAGCGAAATGGGTTTGAAGATTATTTAAGGATTATTTTTCAATTTTTTATGATTGAAACATTACCTTCGTTGCCATCCTTGTTTTCCGACGTCAGCGGCATAAACAACGTGTTCACTTCCTCCAGTTCCACCCGATTTCTTCAAACTAGACTGTAATGAAGTTAATTAGATCATAAAAACTGTTCTTGTTGAAACATTTGAATTGTTAAGATTTATGGAAATTTACCAGAGCTGAGAAAAGTAAAGCAATCTTTGCAAGTATCAAAGCTGCACCTGACATAAACGCTACTTTAGACATAAACAATTGACCAAAGAAGGCCATTAAAGCCATGCCTGAATGAGACCAAATTTAGTTCAAATAAAACAGAATTTCATCAACCAATCTTTACCACTCATCATCATATGTCCATGCTTTCCACCTCCATCCTTCTTTTTACGAGCTTCGTTGTGATCTGTAGGACTATCATCCTCTTCATCTGAGAGTTTCACCTGAATGACACGAGACTCGAGAAGGCTTTTAAGCTTCTGACTTATAATATCATCAAACGAACGACTCGTATCACTTTCCGATGGATTCACTTTGAATTGTGGATCCCTGTTGAGCGACATTTTCAAATTGAATACGTTCACGCTTAGCGGATTGTCACTTTCAATGATTTCATCTATGATATCAATAACACGTTCTTTCAAGCACTTTGACACATTTTTCTTATGCAAACACTGGCCAAAAATACTCTTCAAGTCATCTTTTCCATGATCGATGAGATTCTCTGAAACAGGTGGTGCTGTTATCGTTGTTGGTGTTGCAAAAACATGAGATATTAATCCCAGAACAAATATCACTTTCACTCTTAAGTTTATCTGACGATTCATCTTCATCATACTCTGTCAAGAACCAAAACAAAACTACTTGTTGAACTCTCCGATGCGAGATATTTTATAGTGAAAATAACTCCCCATCAACGAATGTCAAAGTGGAATAGGTTGGATGTTCTAGTAATCTAAATAATTTTTCACAACCAAATGGTAACGAAAATGACGAAAAATACTTTAAATCTCTTAGGAAAAGGTAAAGAGCGATAACATGTGCGATATGATGATGATGATTTTTAATCATAAACATAAAGTCAGTAGACGGGAAAATGTAGGCATACATTTCGTCGTGAGAGAAATTTCAATTTCTATTTTCTTCTTCGTGAATATCTTGACAAAAATAATTTTAGTGTTTTTTTTTTGGGATCGTTTTGTTAATGGTGTCGAGAGGGTGCTTTGGAGAAATGTTAAAATATGTATTCGCATACATTAAAAGTTACGACATTTGACGATGAAGTCAGTTGATTAAAGCTTCGATTATTATCAATTTCAAATCTAGAAGAAGTGAAATCTGAAAAAGATTCACACTCCAATTGATATGAAACTTTTGGAAACTTAATCTTCTGAATAATTAAATAAACATTGTAAGATGAAGTTAAGCTAGAAAATTTTATTTATTTTTAACTTAAGTGAATAAAATCACATCATTAAGCAAAAGTAAGAAATTCAATTCGGATTAGTTGCCCACGCAAAAGACCTTTGGTTCTGTGGTTTGAAATTCAAATATTTGTCGGGGTCGAGTTTCCTTTCGTGTAGGCGTGAAGCTCGGTCTTTCAACAAATGCTTTTTATCGTAATCGTAGAAATGATCGATTGCTTCTTCTTCTTCAGTTCTTGGAGTATTGATTTCAAGCACTTTATAAACACCAACTGGTTGATGGACGATAGGACTGGCATATCCATAACCACCATATCCGCCTCCGCCATATCCACCCCCACCCAATCCACTTCCTAATGAGCCAAGCGTTGCAATTCCACCCAAACCAAAGAATCCCGAAATGAAAAGAGCGAGTTTCGATAAAAAGGCTGCTTTCTTGCTAATCAATATGATTGCCCCAAGAATAAGTGGAAGAAGTGTTGCAAGGTTGAATTTTAATCCCAATAGAAATGGCAGCACAAATTTCTTCGTCATGATTCGTGCTAGAAATAAATTACAAAAATATAAAAAATTCTTAAAGTTTCTCATAAAAGTAAGAATTGAACAAGCCTGAAAGTGCCACAATGAAAGTGAATGAAATTCGTTACAATTGCGATTCTGATTCGTTTTAACTTCAATTCAATTGAGCACAAAACTTTGGTCATGAAAAGATTTTATCGCATTCATGTGAAGTACCAGATTACAAACGCAAAAGCTTTTAAAAACTTTATGTTTCACATTTCTTTCTTTCTTTCTTTCTTGAAGTCAGAAAGAAGAAAAAAGATTTCGAATAAGTTTACTCGACATTGTCTGGAAAAGCACAGCATTTTCGTTATATAACATGGCAAGAAATGCTTATGAAAGTTTTGAATTGAATAATTAAATTTCATCATTTTTGAGATTTGGAATTTAAATTTCTCACCAGTGCTTTCTTCTTGGTAACCGTGAGAACGTTCGTCGTATTGTGAGTTGGGGTCGATGACAAATTCAAGTAATCCGCCAGTTATACTTGGACCAACTCTTAATTGTAATCCGGGGATGAAGCGACTCATGTCCCATTGTAAACTTCTTTCACTCATTACTGCTCCAGCATTCTCAAGAAGGGATCTGAAACAATTCAAACTTTCATTAAAACAGAATAATTTTACATTTAATTAATTCCAATTTGCGGTTCGACATTTGAGTCTTATTCTTTTAATAATACTTAGTTAATATTTATTTTAGATTTCATCCATTGATTAACCTTTTCTTTCTATGGAAATTACTTAAAGCTTCACTGATGATGATTATTCAGTAATTAAATG